TCAAATTCTCAAAAATATTCAAACATCAATAAAGACAATCAACTTCGACACTTAAAGTTCAAAAATATCCATCACTCCCAAAAATACCAACGAAAAAAAAAAATCAACGAAAAGAAACAAGAACCATGAGAGAAATAAAGAATAATATGAATAGAATGGATGAATGAGCAAATTTTTATTTCCATAGTTGTAACTGATATGATAGGGATGGGAAGGAAAAGGACGGGAGAAAACATTGGACAGTGAATATTAAAGCTCTTGACTTACTACATAGAATAAAGTTTGTAATAAAATCATTTTTTTTTTCTCTCTTTTGGGCAGTAAAATAAAATAGTATATGAGTAAGATAGTAGCTTGAGAACATTGTGGCGTACATACAAGGAACGACGAAGAAGAAGAAACAATAAAAAAAGTAAATTGAAACGCATTCATCATAAGTTGTTGTTACTTTCGTTTCGTGATACGATGGTGGGGGTATAACCGACTAGTGGTGGAATGTAGTAGCATATGAGTACAATTTTATAGCTTTATAAATGCTTCTCCATGTAAAGCAATGATAGGAGAGGAGAGAGAGGCAATCTGAATTGAGTTGGATATAGCATTACGAATAACATATTTTTTCTTCTCATTCTCCACACATGAGTGGATGTTGTGGGGGGAAGCACGAATAAAACACATTAGGAAACCTCATGCTCCATCTATCGTAAAACCATCTCCTTTTGGACAGAGGAATATGATTTATGACACAGTTCGTCAAGATATATGCATGTAGATATAAAAAGTTAATTCAGATTTTTATCCCGCAACCGTAACTAGAGAGCAAAAAATCATTTTTAATAAATCTCTTATGCCGCCTTAACCCCAACACATTCATTCATATAAAGCTCATCTTTTGACTCTCGACTTGCTCTCGACCGAAACAATTTTATCCAATTTATTCTTTCATTCGTTATAATAAAAAATGAAATTTGATTAGAATTATAATTTGTGATGAGGCAATTTTCCAAAGCTTTAAGCATTTTTCGTGTGGTTCCTTGCTGCATATTTCAATAATATTTCATTCCATGACTACAATTTTATTGTTTTGAGATGCTCAGGATGAGCTCAGTGACCTTTTTCCTAACAAAGTGTATCAAAGCGCATCAAATTTCCATTACATGGTGCATAAAATTCGTTGTAGCTACCAATTGGGAAATATTATGATGCTTAAGGGTATAGTGATTTGTCAAAAGCATATAAGAACATTATTTCCGATTTGTTTATTTTAAGCTTTGATATTTAATCGGTTTGTTATTGCTGGATACATATATACATTGAATTATGGCATCACAATATTATTTTGTGGAATTTGATTGAAACGTTTAACGACTTTTATAAATTTACAACCTGAATTTGGCTACATTTTAATTTGAATTTAAATTATTTATGACGGTTAAATTTTTAAGAAATTATTTTTTAAACTTATTTGAAGGAAATCCAACGTTTAAATACAATACATCTTAGGCTGCAAAAAATATGAATCCTTGATAATTTTGACAACCACAAAACCATTTGAAAATTACTTATCAAAACCACACCAGCAGCTTACATTCAGTAAGTGCTAATGAACCCGATTTTCCTTTTTCTACTCCATTTATACATAACAATAACAATAAAAAAAAATATTCCACATGAGTAGATGTGACAAGAAATAATATTGAACATGTATGTATGGTAAATGTATCCTTAGTTCCATTGCATTTGCTGTTGACTTAATTCATCGTTTTATTTCGTACACGCGCTAATCACGACGTGTGTTATATCATTTTGACTACAGCTGAATGATGTAAGCTAAAATTCTCTTACAAAAGGGTGAAAATAAGAATCGAGCGACACAAAAAATTACTTCCATATTATGAAAGGAATTATTCATGCAGTGCGAAATAAAAAGCGGAAGGTGATGAAATGACGACAAGCATAGCAAGGCAAGTAAATGAAATGAGATGTGAGATGTCGATAAAGATTGGAATGAGAGGTACGTAGATGTGAAGATGATAAAAAGAAGAGAATGAGTGTCAATTGAGGTGGAAAGAAGCACGATGAAAAAGTCTCAAATCGGCTTTTGAGCATGAAGAAGTGTCATAAAATGTAGGAATAATAATTTTTCTTCTCAATAATCCAAGGATTTAAAATTTCGCTTAATTTGATTGACTTTTATCGCATTTATGACAGAATATTGTCACGACTGAATCAGCAGTAGGTGAGAAAGCACCTTTTTGTTATGCCTGTTAAAATCACTGACAGATTTAAATAAAGGATTATGGATTTCAATGACTTGAAAAGAACATTTTCTTACATGTAAGCATAGAAATGGCACACATATTAGATTATGGATATTGTCTCATATAACCATAAATTGGTTATGATTATTTTTATGTCCTAAATCGATACACATATTAAAATTGATGTCGGTGCTTTTTCAGAATATGAATGAGGATGTGCTTAGATGAAATTTATGCTTCTTTGGAAGAATCTTCAGCTTGTTTATTGAATATCGTCGTGGATTACCATTGAGCGGTTAAGTTTGATGGATATTTTATTTACCAAAATATCAAGAACTCTTGTGGGCTGTTCACATTGTTCATTTGAGGATATTAAAAGCAGGTGGGTAGTCAGGGAAATCCAACCTTATCAAATAATATTTGATGAATGCCATTTATGAATGACTCCAAAAAGTCAACTAAGAACGGTCTCTATGGCTCATTTTGATTGCTTTGCTCTGTAAGAATATTCCATGTTGGATTAATAAATCACTGTGGGCTGATATCTTTCAGTAATGCATGTTTAAATAACAAAAAAAAAAAGCTCCCAAAATCCGACATTTTTAACGTTCTTAAAGGTGAAAAATCTGTGCTTCTTTAATTTATATCAAGGAGATTATCATGGCTTAAACATTTGTTGAGCATTTCTGACGGAAGTCATGCGAAATTTATAGCATTCTTTAAATAGACATTGAGCTTGAAGATCTCATTTTGTGTATCCATCACAATGTAAATCAAACCTGGCAAACCTTTTCAAATACTTTCTTACTATCTTCGCTGGCTGTGTAGATCAATTGTGATTCATGACATTAGTGAGCTCTGTCAGCCCAATGCATTTCATGTTGACCATCTGCAAAATCAGATGACTTTGCATTAAAGAGCTTCCATATAAAATCAATTTTTCATTATTTTAATGAATTCTGTGACATTTATGACACAAATTTATTCAAGCTATGGGGCCATTCACTTATTACGTAACGCTTTTAGGGGGAGTCTAAGATTTTGTTACGATTCAAACAAGGAAATTTTTTTTTCATACAAATTTTGTTACGAGGGGGGTCTAAGAAGTCATTTTTTCGCGTTACGTAATAAGTGAACAATTTTATTGAAATTTTTTGATGTCTTCTTGTGATTCATGCTTAATTTTTTGTAACATTCAACGTCAATTGAATACTGATTACCTAGAATTTCAAATTTGTCGACAATTTATTTGAATTGAAGAAGATAAAATGAGTTTTGAAAGAATTTCTTCAATTATTTCTAAATGGATCTTTTGGATGAAATACTTGGAAGACTTCTTGAGTGCTGCTGTCATAATTATTTATCATAAAACTTTGAAGGTAATTGATTTTGCACCTTCATTTCAATTAGAGTCTTGAAATTAATTAAAATTCTTTGTAAACTTTCAATTAGCTGAAACAATAAAACTCTACTAAACTTATTAAGTTTCAGATAGAAAACATGAATTTAACTCCAAATAATATATATCGAGTATGTAAGGGCTTAAGTTACTGAATAAGGAGTCTGTGTTAAATTTATTAGAGTAATAAAACTAAGATTCAAAAATAAAAGCTAATTAAACACTAGAAAATAATTCACAGACGCTTTAATGTTGAAAAATTTATTAAATTCCTTTAAAATACATTAACTTGATTAATGTAATTTGCTGCCAACACAGTAACAACCAGTCATTTATGAGATGAATTTTCAAAAATTTAGATGATTGATGCGCTGAGTAAAAATAGAACTGCAAAACCATCAACAAACTTAATTTATATTATTATTTTTACAAATAAAAACCAAAAAAAGTTGCTTCTACAGCTTCAAATAAACATCATGCTGTTGTATTCACATGGAGATTTCTCATAAAATTTTCATTCTCTGTATTTTGCAGCTATTTGTTTAACAAATTCCACAAATATTCTATTTTCCAAGTGCTTTAGAATCCTTAAAGCCAAACAAATGAGAAAAAAAAAATATTTGTTCACGGCAGGTAAACTTGAAATCCTGCAAAAATCATCACTGGTATCTTCAAAATTTTGAGAGTATTTTTAATTTCATGGTGAAGAAATTTCGGACATGAAAAAACTTTCATAGGTATTACTCTGCATAGATATTCAAAACCTCAAGTGAAAAATATGTTTTTCGGAATTTCAAAGATAATGAATTCAATCCTGGATTAAGGAAAATTGTTTTATCAAATCCTTTTGTTATTTTGCTTTGAATGTGTGCCGATGGATGTAATTTGTTTAATAAAGTTTTATAAAATCTAAGAAACCTTCAAAATAATTGAAAATTTTATAAATTTGTTGTTTGTGTTTGGAATCGTTCCATTATTAATCAATTACTAGTGACAAAAGGTAAGCAACTATGTTTATAAAAACCAGAAACTAGTAAGTATATTGGCACACTTTTCATATCTGTGTGATTATGGAAATATTTGCCATATTTTCAAGTGTTTCAATACTAATTCTCACAATCTGATAGTTTTTTTTTTCCTTCTTATCTCAAACAAATATTTGTCAGGTATAAAGAACAATGAGAAAGGAAAAAGCAATTTGTTGGAGAAGTAGGATGTTGAAAATATGGTATTGCGGTAAGTAAAATAACATTCAAAAGTCACAGAAAAGGCAATGGTGAGAGGAAATGATGATAATGATGATACTAGTAATTTTAGCTTTAATCTTCATGTTGACTTACCTAGACTTATAAAAACGAATATCACAGTCGCTGATTTTAACATTTTTTCATCCATTATTGTTGTTGTGCTGCTTAAAAAAGTCTTTTTTTACTCTCGTACTATCGTAATTTCTGCTTAATGCTGTTTCACAACAAATTTTAATTCTTTTTTCATGAGAAACTTTACGTTTTTTTTCGACTATGCCACACTGCTTAATGCTTCATTTGTAATCCTCATTTAATACTACTACACACTAAAGATGGAAGAAACTAAAAAATAAAATAATGTTGAATGTTTTTTTATGTTCTGCACATTCCATGGAGAGGCATTAAGCAAGTAAGATAATATTTTGGGTTTAATTACTTTAAATTTTTATTTTAGACCATTTCAACATTCACAAATACACAAAGAGAGACTCATTTCTAGATGAAATAATTTATTTAATTTTCCTTTCTCTGATTAAGGAAATTTTTACTCTTTTATAAATTGGTTTGTGAATTCACTTTGTCTTATGGATTGACTAGGCTGATTTAAGATTCAAAAGATTCTATGTGACTAGTTTTAGTATATTTTGTTTATAAGGGTCATTTATCAATGACGTCAATAAAAAGTTGGACAAAACATTTTATTCACATACCAAAAATGTTCCAAAATCACGAAAAGCTTAACTCAATACAGTCTATACTTTCCCTATCTAAATGACAACTTTGTTATGTTCCCAAGCACTCCTAAGCTTCCAATTCCAAAGAAAAAGAGAAGTTCATTCATTTAAAGGGTCTTTAGGATTAGCAGATAATCTGCTTAGAAAGAAAAATGGCACAAAGCGAACACAGAATTCTTAATCATATCAGAAAATTTCTCAGATGTTCAACGTACACATTCATATTTTCCCACAGAACAGAACGTGAATTTGTGATGTGCTTTTGAAGAAGATGAAGTTTATGAAAGCAATCAGGGCTAGGTATCTAGGCAATGATTTTAATTTTTTTTATTCATATTGAACTTCAAAGCATTTGGAACAGCAATGATGATCTAGTAGATGCTGCTTAATAATAAAAGTATAAAGTTTTTTGAGGTAAACCACGAGAAATGAGATGAGTGGGAAACATTTGGAGGTTAGCAACTGAAGGTTTTTTTTTTTTGGTATGCAAAGTAAATAAGTATGAAGCAACCCAAATGATTTTATGCTGAATAGGATTAGGAGCTGAAAAAGGCTAAAGCTGTCTCCTATTCATGTTGTATATGCAGGGTACTGTAAATGTTAGTTTAGGGCTCAGTAGTATTGAATTAAATTAGTATCCTAGCTGTTTTATAGAAGATCCAGTTCTGATAGATTGTAAAATCTATGAGGAAAATTTTGGAACCTTATAACTAACCCGCATGACACTAAAGTCTCTAAAAATCAACCTAGAATCTATTGAATCATAAGTCTACAGCCTCAAAAGATGCATCTTAGTCATCTACTTACAGATTACAACTGTTTTTCCTACTATCATTTAATGATGATGATTGCTCATTTAATTTCTACAAATACACACACATAGACACAAGCACAAACTGTTAAATAACAAAAAAAAATATTTTTTTAAGCACACAGATGAATAAAACAATTTCAGTGCCTTTTCACACACTGGTCAAATAGCAAAAGATTTATGGTCTTCATGAGAAAAATCCTTTTTCTGTTTTACACTTAAATAAACGGAAAGTTTCCGGACATGTAGCAATGAGTTCCTTTTTTTTATACACCAGCAAGAACTAATTGCCGTTCAAGTCTTTTTTCTCATTGTTTACAGTGCCACTATATATTTTTAATTTTCACTTCCTTTTCAACGCACTGCCATGCTCATTTCTAATTCAATGACATCCTTTTTTTTACTCTTTTATTTTCTGCTAATTGCCACATACAGATCCGCTGACCATTATATACATTATAATTGTTTTTATCATCATTATTATTATTTTTTTTCATTCACTTGCTGCACAGCATACAGGCCATGGGAGATCCTTTTCTCAAACCGACCGAAAAAATTGTGTATGAGAACGCGCACATAAATTTCATTTGATATTCTGTTCGCACAAACTGTTTCGTCTTCTTCTTATTGCCTTATTTCTTTATGTCTTCCTTCTCATTCACTTTTTTTTTTGATCAAATGTTTCCTTCTATAAATGAATATTTCAGTACTATAACGCAATAGTGTTGGTAAGCATTACTTCCTGCCGGTAGTGGCAAAAAACGAAATTTATTTTTTATGTGTTATGTACAGAAGGAAGAAAAAAAAGGTTTACGCACGCATATCTTTCTGATGCTGCTTGAAATTTCCTCAATAAATGAATGATAAGCACTCCACATACAGGAAGATATGTGCTATTTTTGGTTCCTTTGTTTATTCACCATCAATTCGATTGAATAGCTTTCACCTAATCAACCATTTGCTGATATTTCATATGCACAGTCCATACAAAAAGCTTCCCTACTTCCTATTGTAGATCATGATTACATTCAGTTATCGATTGCCCAATACATAAATGATGATGATATGATGGGGGGATCCTGCCTGTGAACAAAGCATTCATAATAATAATAATTAGTAATTTATAGGAGGTGTTATCATTAATATTATAAAAGGTGGCAGAGTAAAGGTATCGATCGAATAAAGAGCATCAAACTCACTCTTGCCTATCAAATTTAATCAAATTTTGTTATTTGCTCAAACAAGTCACAAAATGGTTAATAGGATTTCAGTGATTTTAATCTAATTTTATGGTTCGAAAAGTTCGATTGAAATTCGATTCGACAGAATTCATTAGACGTCGATGACACTTTTATTGGATCTTTCTTTTTTTTATGCTGTGCGTTAGATTTACTCTCAGGTTAATGTTCTAATAAAATTTAACAAGTTTTTCCATCGCCATTCTCAAAGACTTAATTAAATTATTTTATTTTCGCAATAATTAGATTTTGTGTGATGAATAATGAGAAGCTCCTCTCATTATTGTACTGTGTGCGCTTTATTTTTCATGGCATATCCAAAATTGTTTGAATTTAGAAATTCGAGCTATTGTGAATAGAAATTGCATTATTAAGTGCTGTGATCTAAAATTTATTTCATGTTCCTGCATCATCAAATGCAATTTGTTTTATGATGAACTCTATTGTTGTGAGTTATTTATTTAACAATCTATATTTTGGGGGTGGATTTCTATCAATGTCATTGATTTTTGTACAATTCAGTGAGCACTTGAAAGTTTTGTTTTATTAAGGACATACAGGATTTGTTATGATTTGAAATGTTTGATTATTTTGAAAATAATGATTTCTTGAAGAATTCGAACTCACTTTCAATTACTAGATTTTACTCATTTACGATCTTCCAAAACAGAATTATGAACGATCCCAGTAAAATACAAAGTTTAAATCATTTCATCCTTTATATTGAGTCTACAATCCATATTCTTTACATTTTTGTTCATCCAGATAATCCCAAATGTTATGAATTTCTTCACAAAAAGCAATAATCTCGAGATAGACTTAAGGTATTTACTGCAGAAAAAGAAAAATCATCAATAAATATTTCTAAAGTCCTTTGATAAACTTCAAAAGCAAAGCAATAAACGAGAATATGAAAATACCTTAAAAGACAAAATTAAAGTGTTCCAACGAACTTAATTTGTTTTACTGTCAAAACAATAAGTCATTTACTTCAGGCAAAACTGTAAGGTTATTTCATTGAAACCTTGAAAGTATGACACAAGAAAAAAAGAAGTTCAAGAAGTCTGTATCAACATGAGTTTGCTAACACAAATTAAATTCATTGGAATTCTGATTCTCGTGAACAAAATACTTGTTGACAAAATGTTGAAACATTTTGAAGGAATAAAAATTAATAATTGTTATGCCATAGGCAATGACTCGTAGCAAAGTAGCCTCTGGAGTGTCGAGTCAAATGCAGGCTGTTTTCAATTTTCAACATCTTCTTCATAAGTGAATTCAGCCTTAATAGAAAAATGGCTCCTGACTAATTTGGATTATAAACCAGTTCGTGTCGTGATCTTTTAAAATATGTGCGAATAATTAGAAAACTTTATCAGACAATTGAAATTCTTTAATTTAAATATAAAAATGTCAATTTAAAACTGCATACACAACAACACTTGCAAATATGCTTTAAAGTACAGAGGAATGAAATCTCATTAGAAAAGAAAGTGATTTATAAAATTCAGAACAACTCATTGTATTGCTTAAACAAAAGAAAAACTTTGTCTTTTCTACAAACATTTCGAGAATCAGACGAGAAATTCAGACATAAACTTAAAAATTGATGAAGTTTTCATTTTAGATCTGACTTCTTGAATAGCTTGTAAAATGTTCTCAGTATTACCTTCTCAAAAAAACATAAATAAGATTGAGCATAAAGAAGGAATCCTTAAAAGCTTTTCTAGTTGTCGAAAAATCTAAATTTAGAAGAATCTAAGCTTGTCACGAAGCTCTTCCTTCCTTTATAAGTTTCAAATTTTATTTCGAGACATTCTTTTGTTTTTATATTTCACAAATTCTATTAACTTCCGCTTTCTTTTCTTGGTAGCTTTCAGTCTTTGAAATGAAGATGAAAGGAAATAGAATTTTTTGTTATTGGATGATTCTGAGAATTATGAGGTATTATCTATCAAATTCAGACGATAGACAAATAAAGAAATTAAGTAGAGGATGAGCTGATTAAAAAGTAAAGTCCGAAAAACAATCCAGAACGAAAGTGTTTATTGAATGGATGTTGTTTTGAGAACAAAGAGCTTAGTGCTAATGTTTTTCAACCTATATGCTTTAAGATTTCTTTAGAAAATCATGTCTCTGACTACTTGTGTCGCTCGGGTCAATTTCTTTTTCTCTTAACCCTGAATCTTCTACTTCTCATCCTACCTGAGTTAATTCTCGTTTTATCGCAAAATAATTCTCGGTAAATATTTCATATTTATTAATTTTTCATCTTGAATAAGCTCTCAATTAAGAAAGAAGCATTTAGCCATACCCTTATTTGAATTTTAAGTTATTATACTGAATATTTATTACTTGCTTTGAAAATATTGTGTATTATCAAAAAATAAATTTGTTTTTATTTGCACTCAATTAATTTCCATCTCTCTTGGCAGAAAATAAAGGAAAACCAAACTGATGGGTAGAAAAAAAAAGTTGAACGACTTCTTTGAAGGTTTTTTTAAAACAAGAAATGCAGCCACATAAAAATTTTATAAAGTTAATGAAGCGAATGCGGATTGTTTGAAGAATTTCTTAGAAATTAAATGCTAAGTAGGATGTTCTAACTTTATGTTGCTTTCGTGATTTTTTTGGAACTTAAATATGTTGAGTGGCTGGCATTAGGAAGTAAACAAAATTGAAATTTTTAAATCATAACGGCAATTTTAAATTTAAATAACATTAGTTGTCGTTCATAGTTGCAAACCCCTTTTGAATCAAAATCAAGCTTTTATTGATTGTCGAACAATTAACAACGAGTTCTTATTCCATTCGGTTAATTACACATACCCAAAAACAGCTTACAATGAACAGCATTAAATTAATCTCTTTCACCAGTTTCCCTATCCGAAAAAATATTCCACAAAATGTACAATTTGAAAACAGTTTACCCAACTTTCCAAAACATCCATTAAATGAATATCCTCTTATTCAGCTCCTAAAATCCACACAAAAGTTTTTTTTTATTATAATAGAATAATTTCGTCCATGTGTCATTCACTAAATACTGAATATTTCCACCTTTTTATTTTCATCATATTCAGTCCATTCAAATAAAACGCACATGACATACAAAATGAGAAGAAGGCGATCCAAAGTTAACGAGAGAAAATAAAACTTTTTCCTCAAACCGGTGGAATTAATTTTATTTCCTCAGAATAAATGCTAAGTATTTTCACAAGAATACGAAACTTTTCGATTACATTATTTTATTCTATTTTCTTGTTCCACCTTTTCATCAAGTTACAGTCACAAACAGGATGAATATTCACTTTTCTTATTCAATGTCAAGCACATCCAACAAAAATTTATTTATTTGCATTTTTTTAATGTTGCTTTTCCAAGTGTATAGGAACCAAATGAAATAATTGTGTTAATAGACAATAGACATAAAGCAGCAAATTTTTGTTTTTATCTTTCTTCGAAATTCCTTCTTGCCACTGTGTGTGCTTTTAATGGGAAAAGTTTATTTTCTTACTTTTCTTTTGTTACCACTTCAAGTCTTTCCGTTCCTTCATCTCAAATCTCCTTGTACGAGATTTGGCAACAGAAAGGAAAAAAATTGTATTTTTTTTTTTATCACTTACTAGCCAGAACACAGCAAAGGAACTGAATTCTTATTTTCTCTTTTTAAAAATTCTGATTTTATTTTTTGCGACCAATTCCGATACCGTCGTAAGAATAACTGACAATATGAGAGGAAAATTTCCGATTATTTTTGCCTTTTCCTCGATATTATTTTGTGTCTAAGACTTGATACTTTTCGTTTTTTTTTTTAACAAAGAGAGGAACTGAAATGTGAGAGAATTGTTCAAAAATGAGAGCGAGTGAGAATCTCACAGCAGTAAGACGGAAATTTACCGTTTTTCAATTTTTCCCACTCATTTCCACCGTCGACTCATATCCTTTTTACTGGCACTGCTACTATTCATCCAATAAACCGTTTTCTGTCGTTCAGCTCCCTTTTTCTCCTTCATACTGTTGATGAATGAATGACTTTCACTTTCCATTCATTGTCAGGCACAATATGCTGTATATTTCTGGAGGGATATAAACTATATTACATAACCTTTATACACTGCTTGCTTGCTTCCTTTTGAATCTCTCATTTTTTTATTTTTTAAAATATATATAAAGGATTTTGAAGGATTTGTCCTCAACGATTTTTCTTTTTTTGTTTTCTTTTTATACAGCACAACTGCTGCCGTCGATGGATGTTCCTTCATTTAACCATCATCTTACACACATGTGTACATGATTGACCAAGAAAGTTAATGTGCTTTATCATCAACAGAAATGTAATGTAAGTGGAGAAATTTATAAATAATATTTTTTTATGTTTTGTATTATGGATGGGGTTGGATTTTAAGTGATAAACGAATAAGTGAAACGAAAAATGTCATTAAACTTTGAAGGATCCTATTTTATGATTCAGCAGAATTGGAAGCAGGTCAAATTTTTTTCAATTTAAACTTGATTTAGTAAAGTTCTTACAAGATATTGAACAAGCATGCTCCAATTCGACACAGACATTGCTAGTCCTTTTTCATTGAACATCATTTGAGAACGACTTTTAATTTATTCTCTTACTGTTCACCCTCTTACTGTGGGCTGTTCACTTATTACGTAACGCGAAAAAATGACTTTTTAGACCCCCCCCCCCCCCTCGTAACAAAATTTGTATGAAAAAAAAATTTCCTTGTTTGAACCGTAACAAAATCTTAGACCCCCCTCCCCCCTAAAAGCGTTACGTAATAAGTGAATGGCCCCTTACCTACTTTTAATCAAAAATTTTAAAACCAAATGTTAAAACGCCGTTAAAATTCAAATTTCGAAAAACCGTTAAAATTTTAAAATTCAGCAAAAGCTTTAAAAACGAAATTAAGCCAAAAAACATTTTTGATCTAAAAATGCTTTAAAGTTTATTAAAGAATAAGAAGCCGATATCAAAATTGATAGACTGACACAGATATGTATGTGTAGTAAAAACATTCAAAGAAAGTTTTTATTGTAAAGAAATCTCGAGCTTAATACAATATTCCACACACTTCTATGTGCTAGGAAGAAGAGCTTCCTTGGGAATAAAAACCATTGAACCGAAAAGTATGGGAAAAGTCAAAAAAAAGAAAGTTTTATATTGATGCTCATTTAAGGCTTAAAGATCCTATAAATGTTTATTGGATATTGACTCTGAAGCTAATTATAGTACTTGAAGGCTAATAAAGGATCATCATTCATTTTTAAGTGAATTTCCTAAAGCAATTAACCTTAAATTGATAGATCTTACAAATTTTCCTATTTCATTAATGGAAAAAACGAGTAACTTAATATTTATAAATACCTTATAAGCGTGAAGATGCTTTATTACATTCTTAGAAGATGGGCAGATTCGATGCTGAAATCAACACCCCATTTGTAAAAAAGTTATCTTAATTAAATTATAGGAGATGAATGAACAATCTTTAGTTTCGTCTATTCTTGTAAAGAAAACATGAATCATTTGAAGGTGAATCATAAAAATCAAGCTCTAGCCTCTAAACATTAATAATCGAAGTATGTGATGTGCTTTATCTAAATCTCAGCAATGAGCCATCAAAATTTTTATGGATTATTCCCAGCTCGTTATATTCACAAATGTCAGCATTTATTCAGAATTTATATCCAATTAAATACAGACGAAAACTTCTCAGAATCTTTCAAAAAATCATAAAGTAATGAATAAAATAAATCAACCAGCATAGCCACGAGTAGCATAATAACAAAAACAGACGCTTTCAATCAATAATCTCTCGATTATTTGACGATATAATGCAAGATTGAATTTATTCAGTGCCATTTATGACATGAAGAAATTTATGTAAAGTGCCCACTTGAAGGAAATTGAATTTGTTCATCTCTTTGACATCATTATCGAATTTATGCTGATGCCATAATTCGTATTGTTGATCTTTATCCATCTTCATATTTGACTGTCTGTGATTATTATTACTTCTATTGTCTCCTGTTTTCTATTCTCTCATTATAATTTAGTCAATGATGAGAAATGAAAGAATCCATCTAGCTCCTTACTAGTGACATCTATGTATGATTAGAATGAGACATATTCAATAGAGGATACTCAGTAGATTTAGTCCTTAAAAGCTAGTTTATGATTCTCAAACTTTCGTCCCTCATCCCATAAAAATATTCAATGTCGGCTACTGAAAAGCAGCACAAGTATGATGAAAAACATTGAATTATATCAAAAATCATTTAAATTCCTTCGAGTGATTAATAGACGGACTGTTATCCTTCATAAATCCTTTTATAGCATGCAATTTACAAAAACATCAGACATAGAAAGCAAAATATAAGGAACGATAATCAGATAAAATTTATATTTTCAGATATTAAAAAATTCTTCTTGTTTGATGTACTGTGCTAGAAACAAATTGTTATATAGTTAATCTCTAGACGTTTAAATGTAATTTTAATTTACAGGATTAAATTTTAATCCTACGATTTATTTCTAATGTTAAATGTTTTGTCATATTTTATTTTCAATGTTTTTCATTCACTAATGTTTATCCTTAGCTTGTAATCTTGCAATCTTTTCCATTCTTTCGTGATCGTAACTGCTATGAAGCAATAGACCCATAAGACCAGATCTCGATGCCATTGCTTGCTTAATTTGTCGTTCTTGCTCAACTAGCTCGTCCATTTTCATCCATTGACGAACTCTTTCAAGATCAATTTCAGCTCGTCTGATTTTTTCCCAGCAATAATGTTTAAAGCATGACTTTTTAGCAGCACGGCAAAATTCTCCAGTCAATTCAAATACATTCTTTGTCATTGGACATCCACAAACATCTGTGTCTGTTACTTTTGGATCTTTACTGTGTTCAGGACATAAAACTCTCAAACGTTTACAGTATGTCTTGTTGACAATATTGAAAAAGTCACAAAACATTGAATTTCCTTCAATTCTTGTCTTGAAAATACTTCCGAAACTTGCTTGACTTTCGTACTTGTTGAAACAACGTTCCATATGCCTGATTGCTGTCCTTGCGTGGATTTCATGACCACAAGTTACACAATACATGCTTGATTCATCCTCAATGTCAACTTCCCTATCTTTAGCATTTTCTTCTAGCGTACACTGCTTTGCTGCTTCAACTATCAAATCCAATTCACGATGCCTTTTATCCAGTTCCATTAATGTTGCTCTCACAATCTGCTGTTTGGCTCGATTCTTTTCCAGTCCCTTTTTATTTTGCTCAGTTGCAATACTTGGCGTTGACCACTCTTGTATTCTATTTTAAGATATTAGAAAGACATTAGACATAAAGATTAATTGAATATATTTTTTTTGGGATCTACCTAGTTGGCAAAATCTGGAAGATTCTGTTACTAGCAAGCTTCATTCCACAAATATCAGAGCAGTATTTTGATTGAGGACGAGCTGTGTATCGACATTCAGGACCTAAACAATGTCTTGGACCTTCCAATGCTGGATTAATGACAAGATCTGGTGTAACTGATCGTTTTCTTTTCTTAATCCGTCCTTCCTTAATCTTTTTGTCTTTTTTCTTTAACTGATAAGATCCCAAACGCTTTTCGCACTTGCCTTTCTTGCCCATCAATTTTGATCTACAACCTTCACAATTTCCACATCTTGCATCCTTATCCTTTTTCTTTTTTTGAATCTCTTGACTAAGTGATGACTGAGCGACATTCTGTGACGTCGATTGCTGGCTTGAAGGGAGCTTAAAAACTGTCTTTAGTGTCGGATCATCAACTTTACATCGATCACAATAATATTTCTTAATACTTTTAGATTCCTTCTCACTAATTCCAATACAATCACCGTGATACCACTCCTCACAGGAATCACAACATATCATAAAGCCAGGTTTTGAAGAACGGCAGATACAGTAAGCTACATTTTCTTCCTTTAATATTGTTGCAATTTTACTCTTTCTTTCTGGTAAATTGTCAAATTCCTTCGCTATTTCTTCTTTCTGTGAATGTAAATTGGTTACTTATAGATTGTTTAACATGTCTATTATCAAGCTTACCGTCTTAAATCTCTTAGAATCCATATTTGTTTTGTTATTATTTATTGAATGTTTCGAGACTGTTTTGGGCGATTCAATGAGTGAATTTTTTTTCTCAAACATTTTTGTAAATATTTACAAATCATTTCATGGAATCGACCATTTACATTTCATCACCAAAATTCAAAATTATTCTAAACGTTATTTTTTCGGATCAATTTTTTTTTTATTTCAAACTCAAAGGCTCGTTTGACAAGCGTGTGACAAGCTTATTATAATTTTATATATTTATTTAAAGTCTAAAGAAGGAAGCAAATAAGTACTTCAGTATACATTTTAAAGCATAAAGTAGCTTCATGTGTTGCTCGGTCAGTGTATACTGAAATATTTCAAAAAATTGTGCAAATAAAAAAACATTGCAATTTTAACTATTTTAAAGGAGGAAATCAGGCAATATTAATCATTATGACACAAAATCCAGGCTTCATTAGTCGATGGCTAGTGACAATAGTCATGGTCCCGTCTCTTGCACGTAAGATTCTTTAAAAATTCCATTGAATGCATAATAATTTGCGATTTATAAAAAAATTTCCAGTTATTCATCTTGGATGGAAGAAATTACAGGATGTAGACGAATTTGTTAAGCCGGAAGAAAGAAAGGATCTATATCCACATCAAGCATTATACCATATAATTGAAGAACGAGTTAAGAAGTTTATGCATCAGCCAGATTAATTAAATTCATCAAAAAACTTACTGTATCTCGAACTGATCACTGTATTTAGTTATTATATTATGTAAATAAAGGTTTTTCGATGTGGAAACTATTGTTGGACAATAACTACCTGAATTGGATGTTTTTTATCCAAACTGACTTTAATGATTTTTGAAATAGCTGTGAGTGCGTCCAATAGGTAGCCACAATTTGAGCATTTTTACGAAGGACATTGATAGACTATTATCTTCAACTTGTCTGCCTGTTGCACATTTGGCAACAGGGTTTAGGTATTTGCATGTAGGTAATAAAAAGTTTAATTATCTTTAATTTTAAGATTCATTCTTATTCATACACAATTGCATTTATATTTAATTCAAAACTGCGCTTTGGACAGTCACATGTGATCATTTTTTACTGGAAGTTAGTAGTGTGTGTGTATTTCGTCAATAAATTTTATTTTCTGGTAAACTTCTAAAATATCTAGTTTCTCGCGAAGAGATTGTTAATTAAAACAATTTCCCAACTAGTATATATCATGGATTTCCATTCAATTATAAATGCAGCGAAGCAAAATGTCGCGGATCCAAATAGTCGGGTAAAATTAATATCACCTAATTATACTTTCTAAATGTTCATTATGTTCAATATGTTCTGTACATTATAGAATAGCAATTATTATAAAACAAAGTTTGAGGCACCAAAAAAGACGACTAAAGAGAAGAAATTGTCGTCTGGAATTAGAAAATTCCTCGAAAGCCAAAAAGTCAAGGAAGAAGAGAAGATTCGCGAAGCTCATGAGAAGAAAATGGAACTGATGGCACGTAGAGATCCCAAAGAGCAAAGAAAGATTGAGAAGTCACTAAAAGTTATTAAATCCAGTAAGAAATATTATACAGGCGATAAGGAACTAGACGAAAATACTGAAATAACATTAGAAAAGAGTATAGGCGATAATGACGATTATGGATTCGAGAATAAATCCAGTGAAGCAATATATTTAAAGCTTATGGAACAGTTCAACAAGATGCCAACCGAAGATAAGTTTGAAAAGTTCATGAATCCCAAGAAAGCAAAAAGCAGTGCTAATAATCAACCAGCTAATGATGATGAAAATGGAGATGAATATCATATAAAAACTGGTCATCGACAAAGAGTTTCTAAAATTAAGAGTGAAGGCATTAGTCAGCCCAAAGTTAATAAGAAATCCCAGCCGTCACAGCCATCAACTAGTTCTAGTAGTTCACCGCAAAGTTCGTCAAAAAGAATAGCCAGATTCAGTAGTACAACTAAGCATGATAATGCTAAGGTCAATCAACCAGTAGAAAAGCCCAAACCAAAACTTCGTCCAGCGCCAATTGTGAACTTTGAACAGCTATTAAAACTTGCTGAACAGAAACAACATGAGGATATAGTCATTGAAATGCCATCTAAAAAGGAACCGGAAAGATTATTAACAATGAAAGAGAAAAGAGAACTGGAAGAGCTTGAAGCTTCTCGAAAAGGAAAGCTTAAAGGAAATGGAGCAATTCAAAAAATACCTAAATTAGGTGCAATACCAAGACTTAATGATTCATCGAAACAGGATCGAAATAATAATAGTGATAAAACGCCTCAAAAATTGCCATTAAATGACAAGCGAATTGAGAAAAGTGATAGTAAAGTTCCTTTCCGTTCGGACGAAAAATCTAGTAAGCAAATTCCCTTAAAATCTTCAACAAGTCCGCAGTCGTCGGGCTCAAAACTTCGTGATGCCTTAGTTAAGAGAGATGAAAGGACTTCAAACTCATCGCCAATATCCTCAAAAGTTCAACAGAAGCAACAAGTGCCACAATCATCAAAGCCACAAGTAAATGGAAATGGTATCAAATCGAAAGAATCTTCTTCAAAAGGAATCATGCCAAGTAGCTCAAAAATGCCCCCTCCTATGCCTAAAAGTGGCATTTCTAGTACAATGAATGGTAAATCTCGATTGGCACCCTCGAAAGAGCCAATTAGAGCAATAAGAGATTTTCCACCTAAGGACTTGATGCGATCACGCGAATTTCCACCTAGAGACCTAATCAGAACACGTGAATTTCCTCCAAAAGACGTTAGGCGATTAAAGAAGCCACCACGTGGCATGAAGATGAAAATGAAATTGCCAGTCAAACGTAAATATAAAATATAAATTTATAGAGTTTGAATTTTTAACGGACCTCTGAAATTTGAAAAGAATCAAGTTCAAAATTTGAACTTCGTTTTAAATCTCAAATGACAGTTAATCTGCACAGCTTTAAGGAACAGTTTTTAATTAAATTTATTGCCTATATAGGTCGCATAGAAGACGAAGACACGGATTCAGAATATGACTCAGAAATGGATGATTTTATCGATGATGATGACGCTGGCAATGATTATTCAAGTGAAATTCAAAAGATTTTCGGATATGATAAGTCGAGGTAATTCTGATATTTCAATATCTGCCTTGGAACATTTTTTTGTCTATTCATAAAATTTACATCCTTTTAGATATCGCGATGAAGATTTCGACGACCGAGAAATGGAATCTGATTATAGAACAGTCATGCGAGAAGAATTTATTAGTAAAAAGTTGGGTCTACAAGAGGATCTCGAGGATATGAAAATGGAGGCTGAGGAGAAAAAAAGGAAAGAAATGATGAAGAAGAAAAGAAGAAAAATGTAGAATTAAAAAGTTTTTAAGCTTCAAAAATTGAATTTTTTAAGACATTGGGACCATTTTATGTTATGTATGCTCTTTTTTACCATTATTTAATGCTTGTTTTAATTATATATTTACGATAACAGTGATCATTATGAATTATTTTAATAATTTAATTTAATTTTTTTGAAATAAAGTTTAACATTAATGAAATAGATTTTAATACAGCAATAACTTGCATGTGTTTGACACACCTTTTAATATCTTCTGGATTATTTAATTACTTGCAATCAGTCGTTATTTTCTGCATCTGATTCATAATCTCTTCTGTTATTTCGTCAGCACCAGGAATTTCCAACTGTACCCAAGAATCCTTTGTACTTTGTAGCTTATCGTCACAAATTGGGCAATTCTTTTTGCCTTCATTCCATTGTTCTATACATGGTGCACAGAAACTATGAAGGCATGACAGAATGACATCAGGCTTTCGTTCTAGACAAATTATACATTCATCAAGATAGTCATCATCAGATTCATCGAATGTGAACTTTGGGTCACTGTCGAGCTGATTGAATATGCTGGATGGATAGAAATTTGCCGGACTGGAACTAGCTGATCGTTGTCGTTCTTCTATAGCCTCAATAGCTTCGAGATTAGTGACCATTGTATTAAAAATGTGAAGGAACTGTTTGAGATTTATCATCTTTATGTTTGATATTTTCCTAGATTCTGGATTGATTGAAACGCACGCAATTTTAATCGTCGCTTTCCACAAAAAATGGAACTGATCAGAGCCTTTGTTTATCGCAAATACCAATTGATTGCCATCCTTATCAATACATTTTCTAGATAATTCATTCAACTCATCTATGCTCTCCTTAAAATTTTCATATGTTAAGTCGTTAAAGTCGGAAAAAATCTTTGAATGCTTTTTAATTTGGAATTGAATTGTGTCAATTGTATCGGGAATGAAGTCTTTACATGCCGATGTCTGAGATTGCCCCATTATATCCTTTAAATTGCAATTCCTTTACTAAAAAAATATTTTTTTTTCACTTCTATCAAATTACGTTGTTCTCTTTATCAGCACAGCAAGTAAACAATTTATGTAGAAAATTATTCGCAAGACTAATGCATGGAGAGGAACTGAAAAATAAATAGACAGTCCATGGAACAAATACTCAATGAAAAAAGATGCAGAACAAAAGTTTATGTTAAAAACCTCTTTTGATGTTTCTATGGTTTATTCATGTAATTATAACATAATTTTATAGATACTTTAAGGTGCATATCCATGAACTTATTGTGGACGTGAGCCACGACCGAATCCTCCGCGCTACAAACATAAGCATCAACCGTAAATAATGACATTCTATAGAGAAATAAGTATATGCTTACCAATTCAATATCGCCTGCACCAGCACCAACATCAGCTTTCTTGTCCGATGATGTTCCTGGGGCTCTTCGGTATGCTTGACGATCTTCACCTGATCTTGGACCTTCTGAACGTGGAGCAGCGCGTGGGCGAGCTGTATCTGAGCGTGTTGTACGCTTCAATGTTGATGGAACGATTTCTGGTGGCAAGTGAAGGTATTGTCTAAGATATTCAATTCCTTCATTTGTGAGGTACCTAAAATCGCAAATTACAACTTGGTATGACTATCACATATCCATAAATGAATGTTTATGTTTACCAGTAGTAATGTCTCCATGCAAATTGTTCCTTAACAAGATTTCTTGACTTGAGTGATTGCATAGTTTTGATGACATGAAGATTTGGTACGGTCTCAAGTTCTGGATGGCTTGGAGCGTGGAAATCCTTTTGGGCTACAAGAACACCTTCTTTGAAGAGATGTTCATAGATTGCCACCTTATGAGCTTTTGGCATAAACATGATGCTTGCTAAAATGATTAAAAGAACACAAAATTATAAGGTTAGACGGGGATTGTTTTCATTTCTATTTTTCGCTCGTTTCTGGCCATTCTTGGACCTATTTTCATTTTAACATTAACTATGCCTTAGTTATCCACGACATTTTACATAAAATTTTGCATTTTAAGCCGTATAAATCATTAAAAACTCACTTTATTTAATATTGAATATCTTCACGTTTTGATATTCCGAGGAGAAAAGAACGAGTTTGCTTCAATATCGCATCATCTTAAACTTTTTTTTTGAATTTTTTTCGAACGTTATGACTAGAAGCTTTCGGAAATAAGCTTTATAGCATAAGAAAACACGATTTTTTAACTAGATCCACATCTACCTCATACTTTATTAACAACTTTTTCATCTAATTATAGTATAATAATTTGACATAAATCATAAGAAAACGTTACATTAGTATGCAAAAAATTGTCCAGCACTTTCAAACATATTATAGATACAGTAATAAATTATTTAAAAAATCAATGGAAATAAATAGGAAAACTTTTGAGCTTCCGTTCCTCACTCAGTGATAAGTACAACTTGTCATTTGTTGTCTAATTGATGATAATGCAATAAAACTAATGTTTTTTTTTTTAATTTGTAGTGACTGACGAAAAACTCAATGTGATGCATTAGTCGCTTGATTTCTGGCGATAACTTAAAATCAAGTTTTGTAAATCCGATAAAGAGTTTTCAGTCTACAATGATAAGGAATAGTAAGGTGAAATCCTCTGGCTGATATGGAATGTTGCAAAGTATGACACCTGCATGTCCACAACTTACTCATACATACCTTCTTTAACAATTCTATTGTAGATTGAATAACTTCTTGCCATTTTTGCATTTCCGTGAAATGAAGCTTCTCCTGCACCTTAATTAGTTTCATCCATTCAGCAGTGTTTCTCGGTGGTGATGATTGACTGGATGTGAATAAATATATAATTAAATCCCATGGTTTAGCTTTAATAATAAGATTAAAAGTAAACACAACATTTAGCACGCACCCGATAATTTCCGATGTGTCGCTATCATCAATTCGCCATAATTTAACATAAAGTATCACATTGAAGGAAATTAGAGTTACTAAAAGAAATATCACGATCCACGAGAGCCTCTCTTGTCGCTTATTAATGTTTTTAATAGGTTCCTTTATACTATCAATTTGACTATTGTCATGTACACGTCCAGTTTGTCGTGCTATTAATTGTGTATCGTCTTTACTAATTTGTTTAATTGGAAGTGATGTTTGAATGTTACTATTTGGCAGTATTTGATTCGTGTGACTTATACTCTTTCTTGTTCTTCGTTTTGCCTTAGCTTTTGGCATATTATATTCCTGCATTAATGCTTGCGATAAAGAATCATAGAAATCCTCTAATCCTATCCATGTGTTTTTTTCGATAAAGCCTTTAACAACTCCCCACACAGACTAAAAAAAAAGACAGCAAAAATAAATAAATGTTTCCGCTTCAAGCTTATTGAATTAAACAAAATTTTATACCTTTTTATATTTTATTTGAGCATGAACAGACATGACAGTGGCATCATCAAACGTTCGTTTCATACAATAATGTAGCAAGACATAGAACGAGTCGGCATACGGTATGCCTTTACGAGTAATCAATAAAGTACAAATTAGAATGGAAATGTGATTTTGAAAAAAAACCTATTTAGCAGAGATCGAAGCCGATTTTTTCGGCTTAACTCAATTTTTGATTATTTTGATAGAAAAAAGCCATTTAACACCCATTTTAAGTATTTAAATTGAACTTTACATGCTTTACTATGATTCTGTGAAATATTTTTTCAGCATGTAGCTATGGTGTGTAAAGTTCAATTTAAATACTTAAAATGGGTGTTAAATGGCTTTTTTCTATCAAAATAATCAAAAATTGAGTTAAGCCGAAAAAATCGGCTTCGATCTCTGCTATTTAGCAAACCTGCATTTTCTGAAGTAGCATCAATTGAATACATCAATCCTTGCTTACTACACGGCCTCATAATTTGTGTTTCTGTCACGTGTGATTGTTTTGGACCGATTACTTGAGTAATAGCCACTGTTAATGTCTGAATTCTCTTCTTAGTGCCATCTTCTTGTGTTTCCCATTCACCTTGAACTAAATTTGTAGTTCTTCTCATTTTATGGAATTCAGAGAAGAATTTGGATTTGTCAAATAACAGGCTAAAGACTGTCTCAATGTTAAGAGGCAGTATGGTGTGCACAAGCTGTCTTCCTTCGTGCATTGAATTACATTCGGCATCATTTATAAAATTATCCATTTTACTAGCTGCTTCCGAATCACTAGAACTATCTGACATATCAGTTGGCAACAATTCAGGATTTATAATTTGTGATTGTACATCAATTGACGAATTTTTCTCACAAAATTCTTTGGCAATAAGTTTATTTGACAATGAGGATGAAGAGGAAGATTTCTTTAATTTTTTCAATTCCTTTTTGGACTTGATAGGTTCGTCGTTTGTCAGCTTATTGTTGGATGACGATGATGAGATTTTTACTTCCGGTTCTTCTGAAACACTATCTGCTGAAGTTTGATTCTCGCGCTCCTCGTAATTCGTTGGATCTATATAATCTTCATCATCCGTTGTTAATCCAAGCTGATCTCCGTAGCAAGTATGAACCTAGTGACGTTATTGTTGATTATTCTCGGTTAACATTCATTGATAATTTAAGCACATTTTTAACGAACTTTTTTAATTCAAATTTTGAAAGCATACATTTCAAATTCTAAAATTCCGTTATGTTTTCATTTTATAAAGTCTACATTCCAAGACAGCAAAAAAAGTGTGCTTAATTATCGCTTCGTGTAACTAGAATGATTCATGTTTTTATCAAGCATTCAATGACATGGAACATATAATTTTGATAAAGGAAAAAAAAAAAGAATTAACGTGAGATTACCCATTGCCATAATTCTTGCCGTTCATAACTCTTATGCATCAATGCATTCTGCCATATGCGAAACAGCATCAAATATGATTTATCGCGTGATGTAAATGATGTCAAAAAATGCTTTTCATCCTCAGTTGTGAGGAGAATTGCATTTGGAATGACTTTTGCAACTTTTTCTTTGCCTATATAATTTTTTTCATGCGAAAACATTGAGACATAGAAAAAAATACAAGTTAAAAATCATATGTGAGCGACTTGATATAAGCTATTAACTGTGATTATAATAAATTATTGAGGCTATTTACATGTCCCATATAATTAAAACAAAGGCATTAATGAAAGTCAAGGTCAAGTTTTTCTTGTTCTCATTGCCATCAATAATCAAGTATAAACAGCTAGATAGCAAAGCTCAAGTTTTCACACTCACTGATTGATTTCACATCTTTCCATTTCAGCACAAATCTTGTCTCGTACACAATAATATTTGCATGAAAACACACATAATTTTGAGATACATAAAGACGACCATGAACCAAAATGTCCTTTTGAATTGCACATGAATAATCTTAACATCCGCAAGTGATTAAGTTTTTAATATTTTATGATTTTTTTGCATGAAATGAAAACATAAAAGGAAGAGTGTTAGATACCTTTTAGATAATGATTGTTCTATAATTATTGTAAAAACTTATGCTGGGCGCTTCTGACAGTGACAATAATAACTTTTTAAAATGAGCACAACACAAAAATTAGGTGCTTGATTTCACTGACAAGTATTACTCAATTGTAGATGATTTTAGTGCACAGAATTATTGATTTTGAATAAAATTGCATCACATTGAACAAACTCTCTTTTCTCTTTTTTGTGTTTAGTTCCTCAAAACTTATAAATCAATCGTCCGATGTATGAACTTTAAGTGAATTATACATTTTTTTTTGGGTTGATAAAAAAATAATGATAAAAATTTGTTATCACATTTAATACGAGTAGAATCATGTATATACACAGCTAGAGCTACAAACACCTGGACAAATAATTTTTGTCACAAACACGAAGCTGATTCACATAAGTTTTTCGTTCTATTCTCAAAAGCATAAGGTATGAAACTTACCGACAAGTAAACGTTCATCCTCGGGAATACTGAAAAGCTTTTTAAAGTCATCTGAGCGGGACTTGTAGGATGGATAGATTACATTATACCAATTTTTCTTTTTAGCCTTTTCAGCTAGCGTAGAACTTGGTCTCTTTAAATCGTCTTGCGATTTACTCGTTTCTGGTGATGCACTTGTGTCTGTTGTTGCCATTGATGTCGTTGACTGACGCATGTCCTTAATCATTCCATAATTAATTCAATGTTAATGTTATATTTATGAGAAGAAATGAGAAACGAAACAATAGTTAATATTCATAAGTAAACCCCGGGACTAAACGAATGTAAATTTGATAACTACAAAATGAATTATGAATATATTAAAATGTGCTACAAATATGCTATGTACATAATCATTTCGTTTCCTATTTTTGTTATATGCTTGCGCATATTTCTTGAATTTTGCTAAAATTAAGTGAAAGGAAGTTATATGACTAAATGGCACGAAAGAGCTAAATGTATGTAAACAGCTAAATGACATGAATAGTTGAAAGGAAATAATTTTGAAACCCGTAAAGTGCTCGTACACACAAATGTATTAATACATATTATTCTAGTTTTTTTTAAATAACTCTGAAAAATAATAATAATAATTCCCATTGATGCGTTTGAACAGAGTTGCGACGGTAGGTGCTTAATGTCGACTGCTGGTCGACTGTTACAGGTCTGTTTTCGGCTTATCAAATTTAGATCTATAAATCACTCTCCTGGAACCAATAGAATATTTACAGGTCAGGTCTATTTTCATTATCGCAACTCTGTAATCGACACAAGCAAGGCAAAGAGTGTAATTTATTTTTAACTTACCAAGTCGAGATTATCATTAGCCGACACATCACTTTTGTCACGCTTATGATGTAGTTGCTGCTTTTTTGGACTTGGACTTCGTTTAATTGATGTTAATAAGATCGCTTGATTGAAAGCATCTTGAGATGAAGAAATGAGATCATCTACTGACCTTTTCCTATGCGTTTAATATCCGGAAAGTTTAGTTTAATGTTTGATACAAAAAATATTGAAGAAAATGTTAATTAAAGTTGTAAAGCCACTTTTCACATATAATTTGAGATTGATCAGCAAATTTGTGTACCAAATTTTATTTTTTGCTCTGTTAAATTGTCCGATTTAAGTCAATTTACTTGATTTCTGTGCATGTAAACTTGACAACAAATAAATTGTAAAATTTTGCAAACTTAAAATTTTTAAAATCAATTGAAAATATAAAGGTTTAATGTCTTAAAAAGCTTGTATCAAATAAAACCTGTGTATTTCTGCGCTTTTCGATGATTTCCACTTCATTAAGAAACTTACATAGAGTCTTTTTTATGAAAATTCATGCAATTCACAAATTTTCTATTATTTTTTTTCACTTCTACTCGAATTGCATAGAACCGAACCTTTATTTTTATAATGTTAAAAAATAACAACTTGAAAATCTCAATGATCATAACATAAATGTATTTCAATCAACATATATTTCATAAATTTAACATGAAATAATAATGTTTTAATAGATAAATTAACAAATCATCGTGAATTTAAAGTTTTTATCAAGTTTTCCAAATTTTAACCAACGGTTCAAAATATTTCAAAAAGTTTCAAACTTGGTTCTCTGCAATCTTTTATTCAAAAATTTAAACTGACAAAATCACGCTAGTATTTTTCAATCATTATAATTTAATTAAAAACTAAAGAAACATGTCACAATTTAACTATTTTAATGACATGAGTAAACAATTGAACCTGGATGGAGAGTTGAAGAATCAAATAAAGCCGAGATGGCAGAGAAAAATGGATAATTCAATCAATAATTCGTCAATGATGAATAATTCTAAGCTGTCAATTTCTTACAATAGTAGTTATGTCTCAGCTTTAGCTAATATGACAGTTAATAACCCAAATAAGACACCAAACAAACAGACTTATGCAGAAAATGCATCAAAAAAGAAAACTCCAAATGATAAGAAATCACCAGGTATGTAACGTCTTTTTCTGTGTATATATGCAGCCATTGTTTGTCTATTGTTATAACTATCCTTTTGTATTGTATCTGTGTATAGGACGAAAAACACCAACACCGAATAAGAATAGGACACCGACAAGCAAATGCGGTGGTGATCGTTTCATTCCAAATCGAGGAGCCACAAACTTTGAGCTTGGCAATTATCTGATTAAACAGGAACAACAGAAACAACAAGAAAATAATAATGAGAAAAATTCCGATAATAACATTCAGAAATCACCAAATGACAAAATCCGAGCTATTTCGGAAGCTTTACATGGTGTTGATATTACAAAAAAGAGAATCTTAGCTTATCAGACAAAAGCACCAGCACCGCCTGAAGATCATTTAAATCCTCTAAAAGTTGTGTACTCAACTAAAACACCAATGTCTATGAAAAGTGGTTCACGATACATTCCGACAATTCCAGAGAGAATTTTGGATGCTCCTGATATCATTAATGACTATTACTTAAATCTTCTCGACTGGAGTTCCGATAATATTGTTACAGTTGCACTCGGTCAGAGTGTTTATTTATGGAATGCTGGAACTGGAAATATTGAAATATTATTTGAGAATCAAGGATCTGATCATACATGTTCACTTTCATGGATTGAGGAAGGACGAACACTTGCTGTTGGAAATAGTAATGGGGCCGTTGAGTTATGGGATTGTGTAAATATGAAAAGACTGAGAGTGATGAATGGTCATTCAGCACGTGTTGGATCGTTAAGTTGGAATTCATGGCTTATTTCGAGTGGCTCTCGTGATGGAAATATAATACATCATGATGTTCGTCAACGTGATCATCAAGTAGGAACATCAAATGGACATTCGCAAGAAATATGCGGATTAAAATGGTCATTAGATAAGAAATTTTTAGCAAGTGGAGGAAATGATAACATAGTAAATGTTTGGGCAGCAGAAGGAACTTCTGGAACCAGCTCTACACCATTGCATGTATTAAATGAACATCAAGCAGCTGTTCGGGCACTTGCTTGGTCTCCATGGCAATCAAATGTTTTAGCAACAGGAGGAGGAACTGCTGATCGATGCATCAAATATTGGAATATTAATAATGGCAGCTGTACTAAAACAATTGATACAATGTCACAAGTCTGTTCAATTCTCTTCTCGAAGAATTATAAGGAAATCATTTCAGCACATGGATATGCCAATAATCAATTGACAGTCTGGAAATATCCCTCAATGGTTAAACAAGTTGATCTCACGGGACATACTCAAAGAGTCCTTCAATTAGCTATGTCCCCTGACGGAAGCAACGTAATGAGTGCAGGAGCTGACGAAACTTTACGACTTTGGAAATGCTTTGCAGAAGATCTGACCGTAAAGACTAAAAAATCTGCTGCAAAAGACAAGACAAGTTTCCTGACTAAACAAAGCATTCGTTAATGACTGACTGTTACCTTATTTTATTTTTATAGCTTAACTCAATTTTTAAGTGATCATCTTTTTTTATGGAAAACGTTAATTTGGATCGAAATTGTAATAATATGTTTGATTTATTTGTTGTGCTTTATTTTACTTTTTTTTTTTAAATTGTGAATTTACTAATAAAGACAGTCACTCAAGCTTACAACTCTGTGGTTGAATTATTTGGAATGATGTTAAAAATTGTGCTAGTCCATAGAACAAAATTAATATTAGGACAGTCGATTCCATTATGATAAAATGCGAAAGCGATGCTCCAATATCAAGCCACGAACCTTTATTTTTGACTAGAAAAAGGAAATTGAGGCACATGACATCGCAAATCATCAGCATAAGGATAAAAACTTTCTTGGTATCAACTCTTAATGATAAGTTTATGGCTCGATAGCAGCACGAGAGTAAATTTATAGGAATTGAAAGCTTGAAGAGGATTAAAGCCATCATTAAGAACGGTGAAAATACTACGACCAGACATCTAACCCAGTTTGGATCGAAGGAACTGATTGTTGCCATATTGCCGGTTCCGAAAAATGATATCAGCAAGTACAACATCTGGAAATGAATGAGAAATGTTTGAATTAGCTTTTAATAATATTATTTTAATCCTTGGACTAGTTTTTAATCTGAAGCTTAATCTTTGGATTAACTTTTAATTCATCAGCACTTACAAACACTAAAATGCATCGAATATCGTTGAAATCCACTTCTCTTCGTCGACTATCAGGGAGTTTCTCAAAACTAAAGTCCTTAACCTGCTTCATTCGTCTAAATAATATGAGTTCCATTTCAACCCAACTATATAAATGAACAAAGTATGAAATAAGGAACAATGGCTCGTACGATGTAGACATTAATATGTAGCATACACTAAAACCATTGCCGACTAATTTCAACTTGATTTCCATATTTAAAGGTCCAAAAATAATCAAAATTGGTGACAATAAAAGCATCCAGGAAATGATTTGTTGAATTGGAAGTAAAGCATTTCCAGCTTCTAAGTAAAATATCAAGTATAGAATAAAAAGTCCACCACTAAATAGTAAAAGTGTCTGTACAATGCTAATTCTACTCGATCGCTTTAGGTAGACATAATCCATTGATCGAAATATCCAAAATATCGTTCCTAATGCCCTGTAAAGAAATAATCATTGGAATTTAGACATTAGTAATATAATATTACTTACAGAAGAATTGAGTTCTTGTTTTCCTTGTCGACTACTTTTAGTAACGGAAATATCCCCAAACAGACAGCAGATGAGAAATATTTCAATGTCTTAAGTTTTGGTTTCAATTTCTTTCTTATCGCATAAGCAGTTATGGTTCCAGAATAAATCAGCAATATTAAGCTTAAAATTTTGCGTTCAAAGAATGAGTAAACTAGAAGTTCTGCAAAAATAATGCAAATCACAGCAATAAATATGTTGTTCTGATTAGTGACAAAATTTTGTAGGATCTTGTCTTCATTGTTGGAGAATACAAACATCCACACAACAATAGGTAGAAGGAAGTAGCCGATAACAATCAGTGGCGAGTGCTGAAGTAAATTATAAGCAATGACTAAGACTGCTAATGTTACTCCATATTGCAAAACGTTGGTTTTAATCTTCACATTTAAACTTCCTTTAATTACATATTGATAGAGAAGAACAATCCATCCAGACATGGTCAATGTCAGTGAGACAAGCAAGTCATTTTTGTAGTACATCTGATAAAAATCGATGGCTTCATAGATGAGCTTAATCATCTCGTGTGTCTTAACAATCTGGAAATATAAATCTTCATAAACTCTTATCACAAATAAATTAAGGCACGATTATCTTACAATATCGTCATAATCCTTTAATGTGAAGGACAGTCGAATCTGTTCATCGAGGAAATTAATCTCGTCCTCAATTTTTCGTTCCCTTACATTGAATGAGAAGTGGAATGTCTTTTTTAAAGACTGCTGATGAAGTTTCTGGTACATACTGTGAAGCTGATAAGCATTATTTGAGAATGCATTGGCAAGATAAGTTTTGCTAACATTTGGATACATATAAGGAAGCTTTCCAAAATTGTTTTTTGGAACTGCACATCCGATTAATGTTGACATTAAAGGTGCAGCATCTGCTTGCTGTATATCATATCGAGGAATTTCAATTCCATCAATACTGACGAATTTTCTGGTCATAAAGTCTTCTTTAGCGAACTTCCAATAATTTATTCCACGTCCAAAAGCAAGAAATGGTGTTTCAGTTTCATGTTTATGGCCAGCACCATGCGATCCTCGATTTGTCATACCATGGTCAGATGTGAATATGAATGCTGTATTATTATCGTCAAACTTCTCTTCAAATAGCTTAATAATCTCGCCAATTCCAGCATCAACAAACTTTAGATTTTCAGTATATCTTTCAGAATGTGGCTTATGAATATGACCTGATGTATCCATTCCTAATAAATGTAGAAAAAATACTATTTTGTCTTGTTCCTTAATCTCTTTAATTTTATCGTTGTCATTCAAGAACTCTTTGACTTTATCGAAAACCCATTTATCAAGGTGCTGTGTCTGTGCACTCTCACTAAATTCTTCATCCTTTGACTCATAACAATCTGCCACAACACGATTAGTACCTTTTGAAAATATAGGTACAATATCTGGACTTCCCCATGCATACGTTTTCTGAAATCAATGGACAGTTTTGCTGATTAGTGCTTATTAATTATTCATGAATCATTACACTTACTCGACTTCTGTTAAAAACGGAATCAAATTCGACTGCATTTTCTTTCCAGCCTTTAAATAAAGCTGAAGGATCTTCGTATACTCCAGCTATCAAAGCAACATGTCCTGGACGGGATTCTGTTGGAACGTGAGTATGACTTATACCAATAATTCCTCTTTTAAGTAAAACATTTTTAATAAACGGCGTTCTGTCACAATTCTGATGAAAAAATGATTCTGCTCTCAAGCCATCGCTTACAATCAAGACAAGCCTTTTAGCAGGTGGATTGTCAAGATCCTTTAAAGGATGTAAGCCTTGCACAATTATACTTCGAAAATAAATGTAGAAAACACTCAACAAAAATAAAATGTGAATTAAAACTGCACATACTATAAGTAATTTCATGATATTTTTGGATCACTTGAGCTATAACTTATTAATTGACTCTATTACATAATAATTACCATTGTAAACTGTTTATTTTACAAGATAAATCATCTTTTTTAAAATTTTGAATATATTCTAGCAACTATTCAGTAATCCAAATTCAGTTTAAACATTTAAAAATATGCCATCCGTTGGATAAAAATATAGGAATTTTCGGAATTTTATTAATTAAAGGATATAATGTGCACAGTACAGTAAAAATATAGAATATATAAAACGCAAAAATATCATATTCACACAAAATTTTCAATTTTTGTGAATATATTGTTTTTGATTTTTCGGAAAATCAGTTTTTTTTAACTTTCTGCTTCAGGCTTACGGAATCAACCCAAATACCTGATTTGTAAAAGTTTGTGCCTCAAAATACCTATCTAATGGTGAAAATAATTTTTCATTTGGAAGTTCCAGTTCCGAGAAATTGCAAAAAAAGACATTCTGTGAGTTTATCGGTGCGATAACTCGATTCAAACTCAATATTAAGACTTCCGGTTTTTTGCTTTTGATAGATAATGGCTATCGCAAGAACTGTATTGTTTTTGGAGTCATAAGGTACTTCCAGTGAAGCACAAGATGCATAAACATTTTTGTATGGGAAAAGTTTAACCGATTATTACATAACACATTTATTTTTTGTTTACAACAGAAATATTTGTTGGTAGTAGTTTGATATTAATAAAATGGTTGTGACAGTATGCATTAAGTTAAATGTATGTGAAAAAATGTTGGAACTAGCGAGTTCCTTCACAAGATTCAGCTTACTGGATCTATGTTATTGAATACATACTTTACTTGTATCATAATGGAAAAAAATTTTTTGGTTCCAGTATTGATTTTTTTCTTGCTGTATACTTACTGGATCTTGGTTCCAACGAAAGCACAATTTCAATATCAATTTAGTGGACTGGATTTAATTTTTCAATTTCAATTTGAACAAATTGTCAAAGCCCACTCAGAAATTTTTCTTATTTCTTATTTATAAAAAAATTGAAATTGAAATTGAAATTGTCAAAGCCCTTAGACATGCTTAAAACTTTACTGGATCATGAAAATTTGTTGCAGACATGATTAAAACTTTACTGGATCTTGGTTCCAAGTTTCAGACATGCTTAAAATTTTACAGAATTATAATAATTTGTTGCAGACATGATTGAAACTTAACTGGATCTTGGTTTATTGTTTCAAATATGATTAAACCTTTACTGGATCTTGATTCCAAATTTCAGACATGATTGAAACTTTACTGGATCTTGGTTTTAAGTTTCAGATATGATTGAAACTTTACTTGATCTTGGCTCCAAGTTTCAAAAATAATCAAAATGATAATTTGTTGCAGACATGATTAAAACTTAACTGGATCTTGGTTTATTGTTTCAGATATGATTAAACCTGTACTAGATCTTGTTTTCAAGCTTCAGACATGATTAAAACTTAACTGGATCTTGGTTTTAAGTTTCAGACATGATTAAAACTTTACTGGATCTTGGTAATTTGGTGCAGACATGATTGAAACTTTACTGGATCTTGGTTTATTGCTTCAGATATGATTAAACCTTTACTGGATCTTGTTTTCAAGCTTCAGACATGATTAAAACTTAACTGGACCTTGGTTTTAAGTTTTAGACATGATTAAAACTTTACTGGATCTTGATTCCAAATTTCAGACATGATTGAAACTTTACTGTATCTTGGTTTTAAGTTTCAGACATGATTGAAACTTTACTGGATCTTGGTTCCAAGTTTCAAATATGCTTAAAACTTTACTGGATTATTGTAATTTGTTGCAGACATAATTAAAATTTTACAGACTCTTGGTTTTGAGTTCTAGACATGGTTAATTTTGGATTCTTGGTCGATACATTTAAAAATCCAGTACGATCTGTAACCTATAAACCTACTGTAATCTATAAACAGTTGAACTTAACGAAGTGCACGCAAGGCGTGAAAATTTTACTTGTTTAAAAAATCCTTATAATACTTATGAGTAAAAAAATCTCAGATTTCAATAGCACACAAGTTGCAAAACTCTCAAATAACCAAAATGTTCCATATAATCTTCCTTCGACGTTGATGGAAGATCAAATATACCATTATTTACTATATGTAAAATATTTGTTTTACAAACATGTAACAAGAGTGTTCCATCGAAGTATTACCCGAGCCCGCTTAGTTTCAAATCCTAAGAAAAATCATCAAAAAAATATTTTTTTGCAGGAAAATAATATTTGTTCTAAATTTTGCATTTGCCATATACTTCACAAGAGCTCACAGAAATCACTATTATAAGTTCTCTCTAAATTTGTATGGGGTTTTCAATTAATTATTTATCTTCCTCAGGTTTGTGAGCGAGTCTTGGGCGTTCATCAGTATGCGGCTTAATTAAATTAAGTCCTTTTTGTTCTTTTTTTGTAGTTTTAGTATACTTTAATAAGTACACACTAAAACTTTTACAATAATTTACACAAATAAAAGAAAAATACTAAAGAACACGTGGAATTTAGCACGTGTTTTATCCAAAAAAAAGTAATCCATTTGTTTTACATTTGTGATGTATTACATTGATGTCTTTTTGCATTGTCCATTTATCTTCCAATTTCATAGGACATTATCTTCCGATAATACATATGTATGCAACATGCAACATATGATCTACCTTTTGGTTACTTGGGCTGTAACCTATGTTGAAGTCTGATCTACATGAGAGACTGACTGTGGAGCAGTAACTGGAGCGAAGCGGAAGTTGCAAAACTATCCAAGACTGTGAGCTATATTGAAATCGGATCTACATAAAAAACTATCTGAAAGCATATATTTGAGTGATTTTTCAATTTCATAATCTATCGTTTACTAAGTGTGAAAGTTAATAGCTTTCTACATAAGTCGTATTTTTCATATTTATAATTTTAAAAATTGTTATTTTTTTGCGACACTAGAATCATGATTTTCGTTGTAAAACGTGTTTTTAATACGTGGTATACTTTGTTGATAATACAGCAAAATGTTGATATTAAGTCTTACATTTTATTGAGAGAAGATTTTGCAAGATTTTTTGAACAATACATAGAGAGTTCTATAGGATTGTGTGAATATTCCCATGAAGCGTGATCAGCTTTATTACTAGTTTGATTCTTTAATTAGTACTCTCAACTTTCTTTGTTGATTTTAATTGAAGTTCCCTCTTATAAATGGATGCAAGAGATTTTGCTGCATTAAAGATCATCTCACTTCGATCAATTGATGTATACGTCTTGTGCCATTCATAATGTTGAACATCTAAATTTTGGGCCATGATTCGTCCAACAGTTATGCTATATCCCGTTTCCTTCTTATCATAATCACTCGGAGTGTCAGATTGCATGATTTGGACCATTTCAAATGGAATCGGGGTCATCTGAGTGTATAATTTAATAGTGATATTATGTCTCGAGTCCGAAAGTAAAAGTAGATCAAGATCAAACCAATGTGTGTCTGAAACTTCTAGTAAGAAATTCTCAACTGACAAAATCACTTTATCAATGTATGATTCATTAAGTCTCAACTGATTGATTCGTTCTTTTGCAGCCAGTTCTGCATTTTGAAATCCGACTGGCTGTGCAGCGATGATTGAATGACTTCCCCGACCATAAATTGTTGCCTTTTTAAAAATTCCTTGAAATGCCTCTCGAACTGGATCTATTTTATCTTCATTATTACTCGCTACTATAACTTCAATATTACCTCCACTATGCAAAATACTACCCATCTGAGGATCTAAAGTCACGACGACTTTTTGGACACTATCTTTTGCGATTTCCATACTGCTCTTTAATGAATCTTTCATCCATCCATAAAAAACTGAATTTTTAACACCTTCAGTTAATGGAGTCAAAGCTTGAGCTATATCCTGCATTTGTAATGATGGTGTTTCATCCTGCTCCTCACTTTCTCCTTTATTTTCATGATTTTGAGTATCGTATGGAACTGAGTCATCTTGGGAAGGAATTGCAGCTTTAAAGTTACTTCCTGTTGTCTCTTTTAACTCTTTCTGTTGTTTTAGAACAAAGCTTGGCAGTTCCACTGGTGGTGCTACTGTAGACATCTTGGAATTTTCACTCTTATCACTCATTTTTCAATAATTATTATTTTACAATTTTCGATTTGGTACTTTGTTTGTTTTTTTTTTTTATATGAATGAGACTATCCCAATGAAAATTTACTAACTCCATCAAAATATTTACGAATTTTAAAATAAACTAGTGTATCGGGTAGAAACCCAATGCGGATTATATTCACACCGTACTATCATAAGTCTTATGAATAGACCAAGATTTGCCCATCATAAGTATGAAGGTATGAAGCTTGATAAGTCAACTAAGCTTCGCTCAGCATAAGTTTGAAGTTATAAAGCTATCGCGCTATCGCGTAAGCTGAGCTACGCTCAGCATAAGTTTGAAGATATGAAGCTAGAGAGGCAGCTGAGCTTCGCTCAGCATAAGTTTGAAGTTATAAAGCTATCGCGTAAGCTAAGCTACGCTTAGCATAAGTTTGAAGATATAAAGCTAGAGTGTCAGCTGAGCTACGCTCAGCATAAGTTTGAAGATATGAAGCTAGAGAGGCAGTGGAGCTTCGCTCAGCATAAGTTTAAAGATATAAAGCTAGAGTGTCAGCTGAGCTACGCTCAGCATAAGTTTGAAGATATGAAATTAGAGAGGCAGTGGAGCTTCGCTCAGCATAAGTTGAAGTTATAAAGCTATCGCGTAATCTGAGCTACGCTCAGCATAAGTTTGAAGATATAAAGCTTGACGAATATTCCAAATATTCTTTAAAAGTTTTTTAAAAAAAATTTTCATCCAAAGTTGAATTTTATAAAAATCACAGCCAACTTTTGTTTTAAAAAATTCGTAAGAAAGGAAAGTTTTTTGCCATTTCTGAAGCAACGGCTGTTCCTACCTTGCCCAAAAACAATACAGCTCTTCTATAGAGCAGCACGGATCAAATGTAAAAAACTAGAAGTCTCTACGATGTCTCGTTATTGAGATTTCTTGCTGATTAACTTGCTTGCTTGCTTGCTTGTTTGCTTACAGAAAGCGTATTTTGCGATTTTCTCAGCAATGCCACAACCAATTTGAAATCTGTTTTTTGAAAATGATGTAAAATTTCAGGCACAAACTTTTCTTCTTGCCCTTTTATAACCAATTTTGCTTTGTTTTCTCACAAAATGCGAAAAACTGATTTTTCAATCTGAACAAAACCAATAGATTCACACGTGAAAACGGTGTGAATATAACAAAATATATTTTGATCTTGACATAGAAGTTTAGACGTTACAAAACATAGTCTGAATGGCAGGGTTGTTAAAACATATTCTATTTTACAGAATATGTACACATACCTATAGGCAATTCCATGGATGAGTGGAATTTATCAAAAATGAGTTGTAATTCTTCTCGAACTTGATGGTTCAAAATTTTTATATTCACACCGTTTTCACGTGTGAATCTATTGGTTTTGTTCAGATTGAAAAATCAGTTTTTCGCATTTTATGAGAAAACAAAGCAAAATTGGTTTTAAAAGGTCGATAAGAAAAGTTTGTGCCTGAAATTTTACATCATTTTCAAAAAACAGATTTCAAATTGGTTGTGGCATTGCTGAGAAAATCGCAAAATACGCTTTCTGTAAGCAAACAAGCAAGCAAGCAAGTTAATCACCAAGAAATCTCAATAACGAGACATTGTAGAGACTTCTAGTTTTTTACATTTGATCCGTGCTGCTCTATAGAAGAGCTGTATTGTTTTTGGGCAAGGTAGGAACAGCCGTTGCTTCAGAAAAAGCAAAAAACTTTCCTTTCTTACGAATTTTTTAAAACAAAAGTTGACTGTGATTTTTATAAAATTCAACTTTGGATGAAAATTTTTTTTAAAAAACTTTTAAAGAATATTTGGCATATTCGTCAAGCTTTATACCTTCAAACTTATGCTGAGCGTAGCTATCATCTTTATTTGTGTAAAAAAACATTCTAATCAGGCAATGGGTTGTTAATTACAGTACATTTTGGTTTTTTAAAATCATTTTCTCACGGATTTGGAAAATAAACGTTTTGAGGTCGCCTTATTTCAATTATTGGTTTACAATTTTTCATTTTTCTGCTAAATGACTGTGTTTTAAGTCGATTTAAGTATACAGGGCCATAAAGGAAGACAAAATACACATTATACTGACAATGAGTACTTGTCTAGATACCTAGAAAGTGTAAAGTTTTTGCTTGAAAAATCAGAATTCCACTTTTTGAAATAGGGCGACTGTCACAAAAATCCAAATATTTCGTTAATTAAAGCATGCAGAAGAAAGAAAAAAAGATATTTAAGTAGAATTCATTGATTTACATACTCATATCTAGTTGTTGGATTGTCTAGATGGCTCATTTTCGAAATTTTTATAAAATCACATTCGTGGAATTGCCCATATCCAACACTTTTTGCATGTTCACGTGTACAATGTGTGGCAGAATTCATATGTTGGCAGATAATATATGTCACACATTGCATATGTGCACATATTTTATGTGTGATGTGTGATGTGTGCACATATTTGATGTGTGACACATTATTTTGTTGGATAAATGAAAATTAAACTAAGAATCCAAATAATTGATGAGCTTCAGTTATGATCGAATCTTTAATAGTAAAACTCGTTGCCCTAAATCACTTGTAAATCAATTTTTAGTCAAGTTTTCCGAAAATAAAGTCAAATAAGTTTAAAATTACAGTTTGATAAACATATTTTCGACAAAATAAACTCTTTTATGCAATATTTGACTGTTTTGGTAATATATCAATAATTTTTTAAATAAATTTCACAAAAAAATATCACTTTAGTCCCGCAAATTAATAAATATGTGCAGATTTTGCATGTTCACACTTGATATCTACACACTTAAATATGTGTCACACATCACACATTTTCATATGTGACACAAAATAATGTGTCACACATCAAATATGTGCACACATCACACATAAAATATGTGCACATATGCAATGTGTGACATATATTATCTGCCAACATATGAATTCTGCCACACATTGTACACGTGAACATATTTTTAAAAAAGGCCATATTCTATTTTTAACCACCCTGCTGAATGGGAAATCTATATAAATTCTGGAGTTATGACATTTTCATTTGCATCGTTTGTTTACAAAACTATTTGTTGTCGTCTACAGCATACCTAGTACATAAAATGGAAAAATTCATGTCAGAAGCATTAGAAGAAGCTAAAAAGGCACTAAGGGAGTTTAATGAGGTTCCAGTTGGCTGTGTTTTTGTTTACAAAAATGAAATCATTGCTCGTGGACATAATCTAGTGAATTTAACAAAAAATCCAACAAGACATGCTGAATGTAAGTTAATCACATACTTTCTATGCTTTATTATTCATTAATTACTGTATATTTTCCATAGTTGTGTGTATAGACAAAGTCCTTCATTATTGCAAAATTAATCAGCTGGATTTTAGTGATGTTTTTAAGGAAATAATAGTCGTAGTCAACGTGGAGCCGTGTGTAATGTGTATGAGTGCTTTATATGATTTAAAAATTAAGGAAATATATTATGGCTGTAAAAATGATCGATTTGGAGGATCTACTGTTGTCAATGTAGCCAATTTAGTCAAAACAGACACAACACTTATTGGAGAAATTAATGATAAGGAAGCTATGGATTTATTAAAACAGTTTTATGCGACTGGCAATCCGCTCGCTCCAATTAGTGCCAAACCACTCTAACCGTCAAAAATTATTCAAAAATACAGTCAACAAAGAAGTAAACAACAGGAAACGAACAAAAATTCAATAATTTAATTAAAGTCGATTATGAGCTTAAATAAGCTTCAATTTTTAAAGCCAGATGATTCGGACGACTTATTTGCTGCAGAACGAGAGAATCAGAATGTAGAAGCCACAACTTTTGTGTTTAATTCGAATAAAAGCCTAACACTTCAAGCTCAACGTGAAAAATTGCCGATAAAAAGGAGAAAAACTGACATACTTTATTGTCTTGAGAATTATCAGACACTGGTGCTATGTGGCGAGACTGGATCCGGAAAATCAACTCAAATACCTCAATATCTTTACGAACAAGGATATCATTCAAAAGGAATCATCGGAATTACACAGCCAAGACGGATTAGTGCATTAACATTAGCACAGCGAGTATCCGAAGAAATGGGTCAAGTATTTGGTGATGAAGTTGGTGTATCGGCAAGATTTTTAAGTAAATTTAATGAAAATACAAAGATCAAGTTTATGACCGAAGGCATTTTAATTAGAGAAATGTACGCAAATCCTTTATTGTCAGAATACTCAGTCATTATGATTGACGAAGCTCACGAACGGAACTTAATAACTGACTGTATATTAGGTCTAATCAAGAAGATTGCTAAAAAACGAGACAACCTGAAAATCATCATATCTTCGGCTACAATGGATGCTGACTTATTCTATGACTTTTTCAACTTTCGTTCAAAATCAAAACCAAAGGATACAGCAGTAAGATTATCGGTGGAAGGAAGAATGTATGAAAATCAAGTATTTTATCTCAATGATCCATGTCCTGATTATGTAAAAGCTACAGTGGAGACAGTCATGAAAATTCATCATAAAGAGCCACAAGGAGACATTCTTGCCTTCTTAACAGGACAGGAAGAAATCACACAAGCAATAAGGATGTTAAGAGAACACATGGAAATGGCCAACATTAGTGAAGAAGAATTAAAGCCTTTACCAATGCATGGACAGCTCACGCATCATGATCAATTAAGAGTTTTCTTTCATACACCGAAAAATTCACGAAAAGTTATTTTTGCTACGAATATAGCAGAGACATCAGTCACGATCCCAAACATTTCTTATGTCATTGATTGTGGATTTATAAAATTAAATTGGTACATGGCAGATTTACAAATCAATATGCTCGTCATTTGTCCAATTTCACAAGCTTGTAGTCGTCAACGAACTGGACGTGCTGGAAGAATAAGAAATGGAAAAGTATACAGGCTCTACACACAAGAAGCTTATCAAAATTTGGCGACAATAACACCGCCAGAAATGAGACGTGCTGATTTGTCTACAACAATTTTAACTTTAAAGGCATTAGGAATTGACAACATTTTGAGATTTAATTTTCCATCTCCACCGCCTGCAAAAAATATGCTTGCATCTATAGAACTTTTGTATGCAATTAATGCGATTGATTGTGTTGGAAATTTAACAAATGATGGATTTATTATCGCAGAACTTCCTCTACTCCCAATGCATGCTAAAATGCTTTTAGCATCAAAAGAAATGGGATGCAGTGATGAAATTCTATCAATTATTGCCATGCTACAAGTTCAACAAATTTTCTCAAGTCCTAAATCGGGTCAAGGCTCGATAACAGCACGTCGTCAACGAAGAAATTTTGAGGTTTCAGAAGGAGATCTTATAACTTATTTAAATGTATATCAGGCATTTGTGTCGAATGGCTGTACAAAAGAGTTTTGTGGACAATATTGCATGCTGTATAGAAATTTGAAGAGAGTTGTAGAAATAAGGAACCAATTGGCATCAATGCTGACTAAACAATTCAACTTTAAGCTAGTCAAATGCAAAGGAGACATCAATTTAATCCGGCGAGCTATTTGTTCTGGTCTTTTTCCATTTGCTGCATATCTTCATCATTCTGGATCTTATCGAATGGTCCGTGGTGATACTGAAGTTCATATTCATCCTACATCATGTCTTTATACTGAAGTTCAGCCATCGTGGATTGTCTTTAATGAAGTCATTCAAACAACAAAACTATTTGTGAGAGATATAACTGTGATAGAATCGTCTTGGCTTCTCGAACTTGCTGAACATTACTATCATAAAGCTGCTGTACCAAGAAACTAAATTTAGGAAGCAATAAAAGAATATTTTGTGTACAAGGAAATTAATTAAAGTTGTTTGTAAGTTTATTCCGTTATGTTATCAAAAGTATCAAAACTATTACACCTGAAATAAGAATGGAGGAAGTTAAGATGATGTCCAAATATGAGAGTCAATTAACTGTTTACCTAAAACTATTAACAGGATAATAAGGATGTAAGTTTTCTTCTTAAGAGCTTTAATTTGCAAATCTCGAGCCTTTTCTAGTTCGTCAGCTCCTTTGTCGACATTTTTAGAAGCATTTTCTGTTTCATACTCAATGACTTGAATTAAGGAACCTGTGAAGGCATCAAATATTCATCAATTGGCATAATATCTGTGGATTCAAAGCAAAACCTCACCTTGTTCCATGACATATGTGGATATATGAAAGAACATGTCACGAATTTCTTCCATAGTTTTCTCTAAATTAATCAGCATGTTGTGCCTTTGAACAATTTCTCTAAGTTCATGCTGTGCCTTCTGTGTCTCTTCGAGAATCTAGTACATGATAAATTAATCTATGATTCAGAAATGAGTACTCATTTAAGCTATTTACATTTCCGACAAATAATGACGGCCCTTTTTCTCTATTCGATATCAGTTCCTCTGTCTCTTCGATCGAAATGTTTCTAGACACTATGTCCAATTGAAGAAAAGTTATAGAGATTAATGTGATAATTCATATGTAACACTATACATACTAATTTGTGCTTCCCGTTTAAGTATTTTTTTCAGTTTCTCCTCATACTTTTCAACAAACAGCGAATGCTCTCTGTACACATTTAAATATTCATTTTTTATAAGCGACAATTGCATATTTTTGACTCTAAATATGATTCGGGATTCGCATGGCTCTGCAAGTTCGTCCTGGAAGACTTTGATTGACTTGTGAACCTAAAATGCTCAATTAATTATTTAACGGTTTTTCCCAGTTTTTCCAATTTAAAAAATGAACAAAGTTTTTTAATTCAAATAGACCAAGTTCAAAAATTTAACGGTTTTCAAAGAACACCGAGCGCGTGATCTAGTCAGGCAAACCGCAAATAGCAAAATTCCTTAACAAAATATTCTTAATTAGTTGAACTTTACTTACATTTTGCGATTTAGCTAAGCTATCAGTTATTAAAAATTCCATTTGTTCTCGAATATCTAAAAAGTATTATAAAGTCATCATTAATACTTGAATTAATACTTTGGATTGCTCATAAATACTTTTATCCTTATAGTGAAACTTTTGTTCATTAACTAAAGCTTTCATTGAGTCTATATTGCTTCGTATCAAATTGATTTGTTGTCTAATAGCTAGAAACTGAAATGACATAAATTATTAGACACAGACATGAAGTAGTAATGATCGAGATGAACTTAAGTATGAGATGAATGAGTCAGGGTAAGCGTGAGTGACTAATTATCGTTCAATTTACTTGGAAACATTATGTATAATTCCAGAGAATGATTGACGGCTACAGGGTTATATTTTTGGATTTATATTCTAAGATTACGGTTGAGAAAAATTTGAATAAAAAGTTCAAAATTTGAACATTGAGATATTTTGTTTTTCAAATTTTAAAAAACCGTTCAAAAATCAAAAGTTTAGTCAGCACGTCAACTTGAATCTCTGTAAGTCATGCCAATAAGTGCTTTAAAAAGTGTGAATGAATGAATGAATGAATAAGAGAAATGATGAAAAGGAAATCAATTTGTCGGTATTCTATCATTTACCTTATTTAGTACATTATGCAGTTCATCTTCTTGCTCTATCTCACTGTCAATTTCTATAGATTCGTCGTTATTTATCTACAATTTATTGTTAATTTCTTATGAATAAGCAAGCTTATTAAGGAAGATTGAAAGTTCTTACTGGTTTAAGTTCATACAAACGATCACGAATCATTGCTGCTTACTGGATCTTATTACACTTCTTAAAATAGAATATACTTTTTTATGGATAACTAGGTCGGAGGATTGCACAGAATTTCACACTTTTTTTGCCACTTATCAGTTTAGACTGTATTTAGACAATGCTTGTTCAAAAGTAAATGTTTGGGTGTATCCACACATGTTATAAGAAAAAAATTACTTTAGGCTCCATTATCGCAAATAAATACCTTCGAAAACTTATCGCTCCCACTATCAAAACGATAATGAACCCCAACACACTGCAAAATGTGACTTAATTTTTTTTTATCATCTTTTTTCCTTCACACAGTTGTAAAATTCGCTCCAAAAAGTGAGTCTACGAAGATAAATAAAGTCTGGGGAGATGTAATAATAAAAATTGATATGTAGGCAAACATTGAACAGCGTTCTGCGGTAGTGACAACAAATCAATTGATATCAATTAGCAAATAATATTTGTGTATGGATTTTATTCATTAATGGAACTGGCGACTTGTGAATTGCTGCAAAGAGATTAATAAGTAAAAGTTTATTTCCTTTTTTTTATTATTCAATTTTTTTTTCTTATTTATTTTATTGAAAAGTGAAAATTCTTAAAAGAGAGGAAAAGAGATGGAGAGAAAAATAGTTTTCTTTTCTACAAAAGCATGTCTGAGACATTTAAATTATAAACATTATTTTGCACATAAAGTGCCATTATTTACGAATGAACGATTTCGGGAACAAACTGTCCATTTTTGTGCTTTAGGTACATTTTTTTATCTTGTTTTGAAATTTACTTAAACTTTTCTGAGTCTAAAAGATTTTCCTCTACATTGTTTCGTCTTCTGCCTTATCACAGACTGCGATTTTTTGTCAGAATGCTTATAACAAATAAAAAGTTTTTGCATTTATGCTTGCAACATTTTAAACTTAAGATTAACATTTTTTTGTGCTGATTTTACTAAAGTGCCATGCCACGTGACTCAGCCGTTATTTTCAAATTTTTGAACTCAAGAATTTTCGAAAAGAATTTTATAGTTATTTTTCAAAATAAATTTTACCATTATATTTTCACTTTAGTAAACTCAGCACCTATTTTAGATACCATTATTTATGCTTCAGAATTTATATTAATTAAAAGTAAGTCAAGTACTTTCTCATCATTCTTGCTTCTCGTGTTATAATGGAATGATTTTTATTTCTAAATTATTATGCTTATGCGGCATTATGCTTTTTAATTGAAAAGCTGAACGGAATCATATTATAGCTATTTATTTTTTTGAATGGAATAAAATTGTTAACCTAATTAAAATCGTTTCCTTTTTGTTTCGAAAAAGTTTTCAAATTACTTTATCAATTTTTTAATATTTTTTTTGTCTCTTAAAAGTTAATAAGGTTCGAAAGGCAAAATCGTAAATCTAGCATAAATCGACTTTAATTAAAATTTGCGCTTTGCATTATTGACTAGCATTATCATTTTCTAGCATTTCTAACGGCTTTTTCAATTTTGAATAATTATTAACCATTAGCTGGTTGCAACATTAATTTCAAAATTGAGAAATTCGTTAAAAAGCTAACATCATTTAAGAATTGCTTAAATGCCTCTAATTATCTATCTGAAGAGTGCAAGTGAAGGAAAATAAGTGCCACAATATTCGGAGATATGAACTTCATCGTCACATAACTCTACGGTAATAATTTGATGGCTGATTAACATATTTATAATGCTACAACATAGCCGATGGATATCTTTTTGGTGGAATCGAGGATTGATGTGACATACGAACAGATGATGACGCTCGTGAAGATATTCTCTATATGAATCTCCAATCACAGCGATACTCGTCGACGTGTAAAAGATGAGAATGAACATTATAACCAGCAAGTTGCGCCAAATTTAAGAATTCACTCCATTTGGCTTGAACTTCCCAATAATTGTCACGAATTTGTGTACGATCTTGCAAATATGAAGCAACGAAAAAGTATGCACGTAATATCTCATGAGGCTTAATATCATAATGAAGATAAACTCCAACATAGTTCTTCGTTTCAGCTATTAAGAATTTATCGCGAGTCTCAAAGCATGCAACTAAATCCTCAATCTCATATTTATTCCGAATTTGCTCCGTCAGATCTTTAACTGAACATCCAAGCCTCACTTTTGCAGTAAGTGAGACCGTCTGGCCAACAGTAACTCTTTCCAACTGGTTAACAACTTTCGGGGGCAAAACTGAACCATTTCTAAAATATTCCTCAAGTGCAATCAGATAACGAGCCTCATTAAATGTTTTTAAGCATACAGATTTGACAGCCTTAGTATTAGAGTAGATGTGAATGAGCGTAAAGAAGAAGAAAATGCCAGCAACCCAGGCTGGATTTGAAACGCTTGTTAATAAAAATAAGCCGATGAATGAGCCAATTAAATTTACACATGTCTCTTGGGCCGAGTCTTTTGCCGAAACATCAGCCATATTATTTCGAATTGCGTGATGTAAAGTTAATGCTGAACGCGTTGCTCCGCCAGAAACACCCACTATAGCCCTCATCATTGTTGTTAAGCATAAAATATATGTTGAGTACTTTGAATAGTAAGGTAGTACGAAAAGCTCGATAGACATTGCTAAATCATTTAAAATGTCAGCTCTCAAACGCCACTTCTTTGAATCTATATCCAATTCACTCCTACAATGGTATTTAAAAAAGAGGCATCATATACTTTCGTTTATTTATTTATATTAGGAGAGGTATGAGGTCATTTAGCGTGATGATAGATTATTGATTATCTTGTTACTCACCCTTTCCAATAAGCGAAGAATATTCTTCCCAAATGACCTGCTCCATCTTTGAGAATCCACGTAATCGTTGCTGACAATGCTGTTGATTCGTCGTCGCCCACACCAAGACCTTTTAACACGGAATGTGTTGCTATGGATTGAGTTTAAAAAATTCATTAGTAAACGTCTAGAAATCATTTGAATATTTAACTGTCAATAAATATTTGAAAAGTCAAGTTCAAAATTTGATCTAAAATATTTCAAAATTAAAATGTCAGTTAAAATAAAATTTACCCAAACACCCAGTAATCGTGCTTGCAAGTGCTTGTAATGTATCCCATCGTTGATAATCTAAATAATCCTCAGCAACGGAATCGGGGTATCCTAATAAAAGAAAAAGACAAGAAAAGAGAAAATAACAAAATCATATTCAAATGTTATAGTTCGTAATGAGGACGTGTCATATGTACTCGAAATGATATGAAAATGAGCCACTCACCGTTCGGGAGAAGAGTCTTTTGGATGATCTTGAACAGGAAAAATCCTTTTGAAGGTTTCTTTCCGTCTATAGCTACCCTGACAATAGTATCCTGTTCAAAAATAGATATAGATAATAATATTAGAGCAGGTTCATTATTGAGTATTGTGAAGAGGGGGAGCATTGTGAATAGTTTGGTGGCAAGAACTAGGCTGGCCTGTATAATAGTGTATAGAAATACACACATACCTGGTCAATAGGGGTCACATAGAGAAATTCCTCTCCTAAAAAAACGATAGATGGTATTTAATAATTCATTAGGAACATCAAAAGTTTTAATATTCAAAAAATTTAAATTTATTGACTGATTCTCGTTTAAATGTTGAACTTTTGCTTACCTTTCGTCCCATACTGTTCACGAAAATGTACTTTCATACTTTTATGTTAGAAAATTTATTTAAAAATGTTGTAGCAGCAATTTAATTGAATTTTTTTTTCTATATACACAAATAGTATCTACAGGAAAATTTTCTTTTATTGCTTAAGGGGTGCAGCATAAGTTTCAACTATGTGCGCGCGGGACATTTAAAAAATTCTGTTATGTTCTATCCTTTTCTTTATTGTTTATATTACTTATGACTGCTTAAAGCTTTAAAAATTACATAAACAACATTAATTAAACCTTAAATTCGAATGCTAATGGTAAGGAACTCCACGAAATTTCGTTATCTGCCAACTTCCATATCTTGTCTTTATCATTTGAGTCAGTTTTAGTGGTACTATCTTCTTGCAAATCTACGAGACTATAAATTTTATTTTCCTTGAATGATGATGCCTTTGCACCAGTTCTTGAAGAACTAAGCTTAATATTGATTAATTGTTTCATAGATTCTATCTGCTCGACTGTCAATCGTGGATAAATGTGTGGCATTAAGCTCAAACAAATGTTAAGATCATCATCATGTTCATTCAATGTATTCAATAAATGCAGCACATTCTCGTTCGAGTATTTTAGTGATGTCGGCAACATTTGAGTTTCAACAAATATAATGACGTTCTTTAAATCAGCACCGAGTTGATAGCTATAGACACTTTTAGTTTCCGGTGATATCTTTTTATGATCCATAATGTCAATTTTGAGGAACTCACAATACTTTTGATAAAATTCATAGCTTTTAAGAAGGATTACAATCCAAAAATGTGCAGTCTTTCGACGAACTTCCGATTCAGCATGATTGAGATAAACTTGAAATAACATGTCAAGCAATAGCTTTAAATAATCATTTTTTGCAATGTGCCAAATCAGGTGCTGGAATTGATTAACGATTGAATGACTATTTGATTTTTTTGCGCGTTTCATTGGAGTTATTTCAACTTCCTCATCATCAGACATCACTTCTTCTATAATTAAATCTTTTGACAATATAGATGCCTTCATGAAGAAATCACAGTTTGTAAGCATTACGTGGAAAAAGGTTGTTGGATTCAATCTCATTTGCTTTGAGGCGATTATGTCGCCTAGAATCTTTGTAAAATATTTGAAAGCCTCACGAAAGTTCTTGAGATTCTTCTCCTTCATATATTCAATCACAAATGGCCATCGTTCTTTTGACACAGCACTTAAATCTTTCAGTTCCTCAAATGTTCTAATATTACTTAACATAGCTTCAGCAAGCAAATCATAGAATGTGAAAATGTCATCAAGTTCTTCTGCCAAATTTGCATTATATCTAATGTAACGAATATCAACATCTCGAAATTTATCACTTTCTGTATCCCAAAAGTATTCTTTAATCCATTTCATGCAAATCTTGTGGCTGTATCTTTGAACATCTAAATTAAATGATTGCCGTCCATGAGCAAAATTGTGTCTTAAATCGATGATAAATGAATCTATTCCTAATTGATTTGCAGATGCGTACATTGTATTATTACCAAGTTTAAATGACGTTGCATAATTGGTAAATTTCGTTATTGCTGATCCATAAAGTGTGCCTAGAGTCGACGAGTCAAAGATCTTTTCTGGTTTATCATTATCTTTAACTTCGACATCCAGTAAGATTAACGTGCATAGGATACCGAGTGGCGTTTCTTGTCCTCGTCTAATTCTCCATGCTTTTAATACACCCAGTGCCTTCTTCTTATTCTCAAATGTCGTGTTTTCATCAAAAATTAGCTTTCTTACTTCCAAAAATTCATCCCTTAATTGAAATTCGTTCTAATTAGGTTTTTGATTGATTAATAACATTATTTAAACTTACCTATTCTTCCAACATGAAACTTTATGACTAGCGTTAACTGAATCCATGATTTGTGCCTTAAATCCTATTAATTTTCACATTAAACAAAGAAAAAATTAATAATCGTGTCTTTTGTTGATGTTTGTGTGACAATGTGCATTTACAGGGGTCCTTGATTTCAAAAACTTACTTCCAAACGGATTTTTAAATTTCAAATCGTTTTTTTTCTTCTGAGAGGTAAGAATCTTTTGCTTTTTTTTTAAAAATAAATATTGGCTCAAATTTCAAATCTCAAGTTTAATTAATTAAATTAACAGAACAGAGACCATGATGAAGTTCCGTGGATCTGGCAGAGGGATTAAGAGACGAAGACCGTCATCACTTAATCGCATTGGTATGATTATTGCAATATATATATGGTTATTTCAGATAATTTGTAATATAATTAATAGATTTGCCTGATTTCATTCCATTGGAACGCATTGAACCTAGCCAGTCTTATCATATACAAAATCGGAATCAAAACTTTCATTCAGCACCATTCCAAGACAATCGAAAGACCAATAATCAGAAGCAGAATTATAATAATACTAATAATGATAGATATAGTGAAGAAAGACATCATCAGAATCGACGTGAACACAGTGGAAGTATGGAGCATCAAAAGCGGAAACATTCTCCAATCACTCATCATCCAAGTTCCAGTCAACCAATCAAATATCGTTCAAAATCACCAAAGAATCTTAAAGTTATTGCTCATTTTGGAAATCATCGAAAACATAATGCTAGCTTCTCAGAATATGACTCTTTTCATGGACAGTATGGACAGAAAAGGCAGCATGATGAATCACGTCAAAAGCCTTCGCCCATTGTTTTTGATCTCAATGATCCAAGAAGACACTCCACGAATGAATCCAATGGATATCAAATGCAAATGCCATCAAAAAGTAATCATCAGATGATGGTTCCTGAATGTAGTAACAGTCAAAGCAAGGACCGTGACAATATTTTGGTCTCTTTAAAATGTCGTTCTGAATATCATGAGACACCGCCTAATGATGTTAATACGGTGCTTGAAGATAGTGACATTTTAGTGCGATTAGAGACATTAGAAAAAGATAAGAAACAGCTACTGGTTCATTGCAATGGACTACGTGATACCGTTGATCAATATTATAGAGAAATATCTAAACTAGAGGCATTAATTCATACATTTTCTCAAGAAATTGAGATCATAAAGCGTAGAATCTATAATTAAGCAAGTAAGTTAAGTAAGCTAATTTTAATAGCTAAAATAACGGCTGTAAACAAATCAAATATTTTTCCGATAAGTTTGTTATTGAAATTGATGAAAAAAATTATTAATTAATAATAAAAAAATTCAAAAAGCACTAAGAATGGCTTTTCTTTACAATATTGGTGATTGGTTCAATTTGGGACATCATAATGCGTACAGGCAAGTCTTTAAAATGATGACCGAGTAGAAATTTTAACAAATTCTGATGATTTTGCAGAAAAATTGAATTATATTCAATGGATTTTCCTGATGATATCAATCTAGAACAAATGAAAGTTTATGCATCGCCTTTTGGTGGTCCATTTGCTGTTATGAAGGATCCAAACTTATTGAGAAAGACTGGATCAACTGTGAAGCCTGTTATTTTCATTTTTGCATCATCCGGAAATCTGATATCGAAAATTAATGTTTGTTGTGCCTTATGCATCATTCCTTATCTCTTTGTAATTGACATGCTTCTATAATTTTAGTGGAATTCTGGTGTTCTATTGACAATGGGATGGTCAGATTCTGAGGAACTTCTTTGCATCCAAGAAAACGGAATTGTATTAATTTATGGCTTGTTTGGAGAGTTTCAACATAAGTTTTCTATGGGTCAAGAAGCTACTGATACTCAAATCATTGATGCTAAAATATATCCAAGTACTCAGGGCACTGGAATTGCCGTTATGACTACACAATTTAGAATATTTATTGCTAATAGCTATAAAGATCCAAAAGTTAGACTTCTTCCTGAAATTCCTAGTACGTTCTTAATGTCTTTAACATAATTAACAGTACAGTATTAAAATTAAATCATTTTTAGAGTCAATGCTGGATCCATCGAGTTGGGCAATTTTGATTGAAGATCGTAAAACCACTTGCTTAATAGCACGCGAGCAGGAGCTGTTTAGAGTCAAACAAGACGAAAATATTTGTTCAGCTGTCATTTTCTCAATTGATTCCGATTATAAAGCTATACGGTTCATATCAGTTTCCTTTAATGCTCGTCATGTTGCCTTGTACACAAATACAGGTTTTTTGTGGATGGGAACAAGTGATTTGAGAACAAAGTATTGTGAATTTAATACGGGACGAATGGAATTACCCAAACAAATTGAATGGATTATGGACAGTGATGATCCATTAAAGGCAGAAGCACTTATTATAACTTATAATTCATTCCTTTTAATTGTTGGCACTAATGGCGAATCTAATATTTATCCATACAATGATGCAGCAATATTCTTAGTTCCTGAAATGGATGGCGTTCGTGTGCTGACCAATGGTTATCATGAATTCATTCAAAAAGTACCAAAGAGTGTCAGCAATATATTTGGCATAAGTATTTCAGAACCATCAAGCTTCCTGTTTGAAAGTCACAGGAAATTCGTTGAACGCAGTCATCAATCTGATGAATACTTATGCTTGATTATGGATAAAATAGAGGTGGCAGTCGAAGAGTGCATTAAAGCTGCTGGCTATGAATTTGATACTGAAACACAAAAAAGTTTAATTAGTGCTGCCCATTTCGGTAAAGGCTTTATTAATGCTCATAATCCTGATGAGTATATAAGAACATGTAAAATATTAAGAGTATTAAATTCAATAAGAAGTGACGACATCGGAATTCCTTTAACTATTAATCAGTTCCTACATCTGACACCTGCTGTGCTTATTGATCGACTCGTTTTTAGAAAGCATTATGGCCTTGCTATTCAAATATCAAAACACTTGAACTTATCAGAATCTCGGATTATGGAGCATTGGGCTTATCATAAAATTATGTATGATAAGAATGACACGGAAATTATTCAAAAAATTGCTGAGAAGTTTGCAAATGCTTTAAATTTAGGCTTGTCATTCTGTACAATTGCTAAGAAGGCTGAAGAAATTGGCAAGACAAAGTTGGCTATAGAACTACTCGAATTGGAACCAAATCAAAGTTTAAAAGTTCCATTGCTGTTGAAATTAGGAGAAAATAGAAAGGCATTGATTGCTGCTACTCAATCTGGCGATTCTGATCTTATTTATATGGTTTTAATGCAATTAAAGGACACAACTCCACTCTCAAAGTTCCAAATGATTATCCGAGAATTTCCATTGGCACAAAACCTGTACAAGAAATATTGCTTATTAAATAATGTCACAGCACTTAAAGATATTTATTTACAAGAGGATGATTTCTTGGCACAAGCTGAAATGTCATTAGATGAAGCACTAGACAGTAATGTTAAGCTAGATTCATCACTACTTGAGATATCAAGCAATTATAAAAAGGCTCATAAAGAACTTGAAGCGGAACTAACTGATGATCATCGAAAATTGATGAAGCAACAAAAAGCATATGAAGAAAAATATTCACGACTTTTCTATGGCTTATCATTACATGACACAGTTAAGGAACTTTTAGTGATTGGTGATATTAAATTAGCGGAGAAAGTCAGGACTGAGCATAAAATGACAGATAAGCATTTTTGGTATTTGCGGATTCGTATACTTGGTAGCAATTTCCAATGGGAAGAGCTTGAAAAGTTTTCTAAATCTAAAAAATCACCCGTCAGTTACGAGCCATTCGTAGAAGTGTGCCTTAAAGCTCGGAATGTCAATGAGGCTAAAAAGTACATTATTAAATGTCGTGAAGATAAACGTATCTTATGGTTTAATCGAGCAGGGTCAGTATTATTTGGACATTCATAAAAAAATAAATGACGTCATGATTGAGTCACGTTCTTCTTATTTTACTATTTTATCTTTTCTCTCGTATTATAGTCTCTATGAAGAGTCAGCAAAACTGGCGTTTGAGTTGCGGGACACACAGTCTTTATTTCATATACACAATCTAGTGTCGGCGACAAATGATCAAAATTTAGCTTCAAAAATAGAAAATTTAATCGCTACTATGTCATCGAAAAAGTGAATCATTAACTATTAACGATAAAATATTCATTCCTTTACTAATGTGACTGACTTTATGTACATCTACTCTCTTATATATACATATATATTATTAAATTAATGAGCAAATATAAAGTGAATAAATAAATGTATTGCATAATCTTCAACGTGCTAAATATATCGTAAAATAAAGATACTATTTCTCAATTTTGTTACCACTCTGATCACATGTAAATCATTTCTGTTTGTATATATTCATTTACTGCTAGCGAAGGGAGTTAAAACAGAGCGTTTAACTATCTACAGATTGATTGTATTGGGTTTTTCGCATTTCTGTTGATTTTTAACGGTTTTCAAAAATATGAATTCAATTTTCAAAAAGTCAAATTTAGATTGGTCGTTAAATTAAATCCGAAGGATTTTAATCCGATTTAAAATAAATCTTTAAATCTGGCTAATTTCTACTCAGCCAAGCAAAACGTCTGCATTATTTATCAGCAGCTGTGTGTAAACATTCATCGAGTAAATGTGATAAGATGCGTAAAAGTAAGGAGGAAAAAGAAGAAAAACGTTATTTTCAGGTACGGAATCGATTCAATAACTCTTCACATATCTTGCATCACACATCTCACAATAAACAAAATTTTCACGTGTTGCTCGACAAAAATGCTGCAACTCTATACAACCCAATTTTCTTTAGCCCTGAATGAAAACGATCATATAGTCCTATATATATGTGTATATTTTTCACAATTTTGTATTCTAAAAATAATCCAAAGCACCTAGGAAGTATAAATAACTGATTTGTTTTAATTTTCTGAGCCACACTAAATTCCAACATCATTTCGTATCGTTGCAAAGTCATTTTTTTGTTTTTGATCAGCCATAAGTTCGCCGCACAGCATGAAAAAGAAATTAAATAGAGATGACAAACAACTATTGTGCATGTTTAAATCATTTTTCATGTACACCGAAGAACTTTTCTTTCTTTTTATTTCCACTTGCAAGTGTTCAATTATGCTTAAATAGTTCCTTAATTTTTGATTAAAATATCATAAAGTAAAATTTCCCGAGATTGAATTTAAAAACACTTTTTTTCAAACTTTTTGCTCAAAGAAATTCAATTAATTTGTTTAAGGTATTATTTTAATGCTTGGTGTAGTTTCAAATAACATCAAGTTTCGGACTTGAAACTTACATAGAAGAAATGTATGTGTTATTAGGACAATAATTATTTATAGACGAATTATTTTTAAGTTTTTCTTTTTCATTCATTTCACATTTTTTAGAGAAATTTGTAAATTTCATTCGTTTTGGTTTTTATTAGGTATTAATTTTCAAATAGTTTTATCAATATTTATTTTTCATTTAACATTTACAGTTTTTAAAAAGTTTCAAATTCTATTGTATTATATCATCATTATTATTTAAGTTTTTCAAGTCATATGAAGAACAAAATAATGAGTTTGAGCAGTCTCTTTAAAAAAAATCATGATGAGTAATCATCCTTATGTAGTTTATCAGTTTATTTATTTTTAATTATTTCGATAAAGCATGGAACTTTGAGCCTTAAATGTCCAAATTCTGCTGAATCAAATAACGGTCAAATTATTTTTGAAAATTTACCGATTCTTAAATTCAAATTTGATTGAAAATATTTTGTCCGTTATTCAACTGTCAAAATGTCACGTGACTTTGATCATAAATGGGACAGCTAAAGTACTTTATTTGATCCAAAAATATCTTTTATCATGAAGATTATTCAACAATTTTCAGGAAATGAACTTTCTTAATCGTATTGTTTTTAAAACAAACTTCTTTGGATTGATCGACAGGAAAAAAAATTTGTTTTCACCTTTTAAGGAAAGCAAGAAGCATGATAATTGAATTTTAAATTACATTAGTACTTCCTTCTAATGGATTTCACTTGAAACATTTCTTCTATACTTATAGCATTAATTTAATAATGATGCAAAAAGTTCAAAGAACGACCACAACGACGATTCTTATCAACTGATTTTTCATTCTATTTACACATTTATCATAATAATAATAATTATAATAAGTTATACATACGCTTATTATTTCGCTAGGATGAAGTCATCTCATCTTATACAAAACTTAAATCATTTACAAAGTTCAAATAAATAATTTTTTTGTTGATTTTTTTTTCTTCTTTTTCGTTTTTTTTTCTTGTTTAATTCTCAATCAATAGCATTCATTAACTTTATTACGAATAATTGTATTTATTATTAATATTATTATTAAAAAATAATAAAAAAATTTGACTAGCTACAATTTAACACAGAACAATCTTTCATTTTTTTATATTTCTTTCTTCCTTTGATGATTTTTCTCTTTTTTTTCATAATTTCATTTAATAAAAGAAATGAAAAGTGAGAAAAGTTATCCACAGCTTTTTGTGAACGAGGAAAAGAAATGTTTAATAGGAAAATCTATTTCAGTAATTATGAGGCTATAATTTAAGGGATAACTCTCTCATGTATCCTCATTTTTATGCTTTTCAAAAATAGTGCATTAGATGTACATTTTTTGTCCATTCTATTCTATGCTTATGCTTTGTTCATCCAAAAGCACAATTACATTGTTTAATTATGATTTTTTTTTTCATGCGAGATGATTATTAAGGTGATTAAGCTTAGAACAATGTGCAAATTATGATTACTTTAATGAGAATTGCATGTTGGATGTTCAAATTCAGATAATTTTCAATATGGCAAATATCCGTTAAATAACGAAAAAATTATTTTAAAATTTATGAAAATCTAACGGTTTTCAGCAGAATTTTAAAATAATTTGACCGTTATTTGACAAAATTGTCACATGCTCAAGGATTCTAAAGGCATTACAGAGCAAAATAATCATAATTTTCACTACATTTTCACCTTTTTCACCCTCATTTATGAATTAATTACAATTTCTTTACTTATACAAATGTTTAATGTGCATTCATGTATTACACAAAAGGACATAATTTGCGACTAAGAAGGGGTAAAGGGGGGATGAGATGAAAATTTTGTTTATTTTTTTTTACATTTTCTTTCGTTTAATTTAAAGACGACGACCCTAAAATAAATTTGTTTTAGTAAAAAATATGATTTCAGTCAGTCAAACGCATCACACATGATGATTCATGTTTAAAAAAAATAAACATGAAGCACTATTTTTTTTTAAAAATATATATGTATAGAACAAAATTAGTTTAAAGAGGAAAATCAAAGTTAAAATTAATAATTGCACTAAACCGTCATTGTAAACAAAAAAAATCATATAGCATGTGAAGGAAGGATTCTTATCAACAAGAACAAAGTAACAGGAAGGACGTCGATAGTAACACAAAGCCTCAATAATCAAAAAAATTATAATTTAAAGGACATTTATATATAATTATCAAGTGCAATGAAGCATAAAGCAAAAAAAAAAGATGATGATGAGTGATACAAAACTCACGTGTCCTTATTATGTGCTGTTGCTGTTTCTCGTTCCAAAAATGAAAACTTATAACGACTATGAATCAGATTTCTTGAGCTGATGCTGATAACTCGTCGTACTTGTTGTAGACGAACTTGGCGATGAGGCAGGGCTCACAGGAGTTAAAGGTATATCGACACTTCCATTGGAGGTATTGAGTAAGTGACTATTATTATCCGAAACAATCTGTTGTTGTTGTTGCTGTTGTTGATTTTTCGGCGATGTTGCTGGAGTAAGAATTCCTAATCCATCATATCCATTTTTCATCGTCAATTTTGGAATCTTATTACTATTATTACTGCTACTATTGTTAATATTATTATTATTATTATTATGTTCACCCTTTAAACCCTCCTTATTATTTCCATTTCCTTTTGACGTACTCGCTTGGACATTACCCGTTAAAGAGATGCCATTCGATGCCTTTGATGTCTTTATTGCTACGAGATTTATTGAATTTTTCATTGTGACTGCGAGTGGCGGTGATGCTGAGTCCGATAATTGTTGAGTTGAATTGAGTGATGATAGTGATGATGATGAAAGCGAGAGATCAGAAGTTGAGCCACCATTGTGAATCAATAATGTATGATTTCTCAATTTAAGTGACGTTTTATAGCTTTTACCACAATGACATTTGAATGCTTTCCGTATTCGACTGTATTTAAGGAAGAATGAATAAACGAACAAACATCATTAGATAACAGTTTCTAATAAGAATACGAATCGCACGAATGTGTGCCAATACATCAACAACAAACAAAACAATTGAGTGATGACTTACTTGCCATCCTTTTTATGGCCGTTTTTTGAGTGGTATTTGATACCGTTTACATTCTTATAACGCTTTTTACAGCCAGGAACAGGACATGCAAATGGCTTTTCATTCGAACCATTCGGCGCTGAGCTTCGACTACCATATCGCATAATAAATTCAGAGCTGAATTCTTCTGTTGTCCAAGACTCATTGCTATCTTCCGACTCTGAAACCATTATCTCGTCCTCATCAATTTCGCTGCCTTTAAAATTACAAAAAAAAACGGAAGTCAGTAAGATAAATATATGTGAGCATTTAAGGATAATACAGGAGGCAAGAAGAAAAATCGAAACAATAAGAAGACATGGAATGGAGGAAGAGAAAAGAAAATCGATATTTTTTTCATGTTACATCGTTACCTCCCCACCCACCCATTTTCTGTTGGATAAATATAAAGTGTACATACATATATACATTTTCGTTAGGCAAAAGCAACGAAAACTCACACAACATCCTCCCCTAAATTCTGCCTGCTAGCTCTTTCTCCCTTTTATGTACCGTACATACATACATTTATTCATTCACAATTCTTTTATATTTCGTTCATTTTCATTTATTTTTTGTCAGAGCTTTTTCCGAGCACCAAACGAGAGGAATACTTCGATACTCGACTCTTGTTCATATGAAATATTGTGTGGAAAATTTGACCTATTTTTCTTTTCGTCCCAAGCAGGCAGGCAGGCAAGAAGCAGCATAATGTCTCTCGCGCACTCGCTTACTTAAGCTTATCAAATCATGACAGATGAGATTTTATATACTCTAAACTATCATCAGCGGTGCTACATATCATCAATTAATATATGTATATGTGAGAATTTACGAATGTATATGTAGACTAATTTAAAGTTTATTTAATAAATAAATCATCACAAAGCAAATGCAATAGATGCAATTTTTATTAGGAATCAAAGTTTATTGATTGATATTTACCTGTTGGAGTATTACTTCGATTTGATGATGACATACTGTAACTGTGATGTTTTATAGCAATTTTCCTTTTGACTTCAACAACCCTTTCGCTAGCATTACTGGTGCGATCTAGTGATTCAACGGAACCTGAGCTCACCATAAATTGCGGTGGTGTTTCTTTACGCGTAGCATCTGTTATGAATCTTTGCACGCAACTTAACGGAAGACAATCAGGCTTAGATATTGGATCATAATCTATGTATAGAATTAATAGTAGGTACATAAAATTAAGTAAGTAATAATACATTCACGTGTCATCAGTCAGTCGGTGTAAAGAAAGTAAGAAGAGCGAATATGAGTTGTCAGATGTGTTATTAAGGCAATCAATTATTGAACATTTCAATATGGAATCACATTAAAGGGCGAAACAATTTTAAATATCTATCTATCTATAGAGTATAGCTCTATGGCCTTGCCAAATTAGATGTGAATCCAATAGACATGTCGTTTTGTTGATTTTACAGCTTAATTCGTTCACTTACCAATGTGATTTTCCTCAATATGCTGTATGAGATCAATTAAAGTTCCAAATTCCATTCCACACTTGTTAAATTTACAAATATTTAGTAAGAATACAGCCATAATTATTTATTTATTTTTAAAATCGTCAAACTACTCCAGATCTTAGAGGCAGGCGATTGATCAACTTTTTTATCAAATTTTGACTTCGAAAACTTATTATTCAGCATGTACACACACTTAATTGGCTTCTTTGATCCATTGATGAGTTAATTAATCACTTTAACATCATAATATGATCCTCAATACGTCAAAATTTTAATAAATATTGCCTATTCCGATGTTCACTAGATATATATATATATTTTAATCCAAGTCAAGTATGTCTCTTTCCGACTGCACTTTATCGAGGCACAACAGTCCGATTGAGAGTGGCTGGTTGCTAATGTTTTGATGGATATTTCAATCTCTTATTGCCGTTATTTTTATTAATAACTTAATTATTTTATTCTTGTTAATTTTACGATTTAACAATATTTTGTTTTTTAAAAATATTTTTACCTTGCAAAGGTTCAGTCCCCTATAAAGTTTAAATCCTAAATGTACGTTATGTTTATGCTTTATTTAATTACTTATATTCGTGTACATACAAGACTCAATAATTATTGAACTATGCAGAATAATGATATAACAATCTACTTTGCATCCACCTGTATCATATTCACACAAAATTTTAAATTTTTGTGGATATATTGTTTTTGGTTTTTCGGAAAATCAGTTTTTTTAACTTTCTGCTTCAGGCTTACGGAATCAACCCAAATACCTGATTTGTAAAAGTTTGTGCCTCAAAATACCTATCTAATGGTGAAAATAAGTTTTCATTTGGAACCTCCAGTTCCGAGAAATCGCAAAAAAAGGCATTCTGTAAGTTTATCGGTGCGTTAACTCGATTCAAACTCAATGTTAAGACTTCCGGTTTTTTGCTTTTGATAGATAATGGCTATCGCAAGAAACGTATTGTTTTTGGAGTCATAAGTTGCTTCCAGTGAAGCACAAGATGCATAAATATTTTTGTATGGGAAAAGTTTAACCGATTATTACATAACATATTTATTTTTTGTTTACAACGGAAATATTTGTTGGTAGTAGTTTGATATTAATAAAATGGTTGTGACAGTATGCAATAAGTTAAATGTATGTGAAAAAATGTTGGAACTAGCTGGTTCCTTCGAATCTTTAAGCTTACTGTTTCTATGTTATTGAATACATACTTTACTTGTATCATAATGGAAAAAAATTTTTTGGTTCCAGCATTGTTTTTTTTCTTGCTGTATACTTACTGGATCTTGGTTCCAACGATAGCACAATTTCAATTTTAGTGGACTGGATTTAATTTTCAATGACAAATTAAATTATTTAACCAATTTTTCACAATGATCTCTCAATTTCAACAAATTGTCAAAGTTCACTTAGAACTTTTACTTATTTCTTAATTATAAAATTCAAATTGAAATTGAAATTGTCAAAGCCCACTTAGAACTTTTTCTCAAACTTCAAATGGTTCAAAGTTTCAGACATGCTCAACACTTTACTGGATCATGAAAATTTGCTGCAGATATGATTAAAACTTTACTGGATCTTGGTTTTAAGTGTCAGACATGATTAAAACTTTACTAAATCTTGTTTCCAAGTTTCACACATGCTTAATACTATACTGGATTATGGTAATTTGTTGCAGATATGATTAAAACTTTACTGGATCTTCGTAATTTGTTGCAGACATGATTAAAACTGAACTGGATCTAGGTCAATTTTATGCTGATCGACAGCTGATCAAAACTATCCAAGACTGTAACCTTTTTTGAAGTCTGATATACATAATTGATTTAATGGCTTTCTACATAAGTCGTATTGTTCATATTTATAATTTTAAGTATTGTATTTTTTGCGACACTGGAACCATGATTTTCGTTGTAAAATGTGTTTTTAAGGCATGATTTGTTGATAATATAGTTAAATGTTTAGTTTAAGTCTTACATTTTATTGAGAGAAGATCTTGCATTATTTTCTGAACAATACATAGAGTTATATAGAATTGTGTGAATATTCCCATGAAGCGTGATCGTCTTCATTACTAGTTTCATAATGCATTTAACTCAGCATAATCATGTGACGTAATCTATTTGTTATGGATGGAAGTAGGGAGGCATTAAAATGTTGATATTGATAACAAGCTTTATAAACAATGAACCCCCAAAAACAGATCAATATCCATGTCGGTTATTGCATAACATAAATAACGGTGAAAATATATTTGAATCACTCAAGATTCAGCAAAAAACGCTTATTCTTGCCCCTGATTTTTTTCGAAGAGTTCGTTCATTGTGAATCGATAGTTCGAAGTAAGTAGACGTTTATTTAATTTTATTATTCTGTAAAGTAGAAAATTTAAAGTTTATTTAATTCATTAATGCATAATTGGCTATCAAAAGTTTAAAATTGTGCTTAATCCTTAAATTCGTCGTGAATTTTCATCAAAATTAATGTTTTTCGGCAAATTTTCTTGCACACACCGCCATTTTGAAAATCTCAAAGAGAAAATTGTTAATTATATTAATATTACCTACAAAAGACCTAAAACTATCACATTAGATGCTCAAAATGGATGAAATCTATCGATTTAGGGCTCAAGTCTTGTAGATTATCATGTATTATCTAAGAAGCATAATTGATCCGATTTGTTACATAACGTGAAAAAATTGAAACAACTAAAATTGTGACATTTTTCCTTATTTAAACTATTTGCAGATCCTCCTTTAAAAGCACCGGACAAAGTCAGAAAACTTGATTCAAAAATGTTCGTAACATCAGCTGCCCGAGTTGCTCCACGTATTGTAAGTATTCGTTTTTTAATCCTCTCTTTTTCAATGTCTCAAATAATGAGCTTTAGTAGGGTTGATTAAACCCTTCTAGCATTAGTTTGGTCATTACATAATCGAATAAAATCAAGTTCAATGAAAATGTCTACAGAACTTGTTATGTATGAGCTCGATTACGTAAATAACCTCATACTTTTATCAACATTTTAGGTCGCTAATGGCACAAAAGCTTATCTTAGACCATTGAGCAGTGCTGTAATTTCACAAAGCCAAACATTAGCAGCCCAAAACACAACACCAGTCGCTCTTCTGCCACAAGTCAGGTCATTCCAGACTTCACAAGCTACTCGTGATATCGATTCTGCTGCCAAGTTCATTGGTGCTGGTGCCGCTACCGTTGGAGTCGCTGGATCTGGTGAGTGACATTAGATTAAATCGATACTATTAAACTAATACTTTTGTCAAGAATAGAAAAGAATAGTTCCTTTGAACTTTATTTCATTACCTAATAGTGTAACGCATAGCGACAGAAAAAAAAATCGTCTATGTTACGTATGAGGATAAAAACTACATGTTATCAATTTGAGAATTACATTTGTGAGAATACATAGAATTTAAACTAGAGACAATCTTGCATTTGGGGCTCACAAACGAGTATCTGATTACTCAAAATTTATAGCTCCGGGAAGGTCTGAGATAAAGTGTGTCCTGATTTGTCAGGAAACATCCAAGCAGGATGCTTCAATGATTGAAGGTGAAAGAACCAGAAATACTGTGAAAGAAATCTTTTCTTTCACATTGGAAACTTTTATTACTAGCCATTTGAGTTTAATATGCAAGCTGTCTAATCCTCTGACGTTAGACAGAACTCAATTCAGACTAATCTGCTTCTAGTTTTATATCTCGTCACACATTTTTAATTTCTCAATCGACATTTTGTAGCAGGCTTCACATATGATAACACTGACATCTCAACATTAATTGCAATTTATAGGTATTGGTATAGGCACCGTATTTGGTGCGTTAATTCAAGGATATGCTCGTAATCCATCACTAAAGCAGCAATTGTTTTCATATGCAATTCTTGGATTCGCTTTAGCTGAAGCTATGGGACTCTTCTGCTTAATGGTTTCCTTCTTGTTGCTCTTTGCTCTTTAAAAGAAAAACTTTTTCAAGATTCAGTCAAGACGATAAATTGCTTCAATTTCAAGATTGTTCAAACGCTCCTGTTGCTAGGATTCAAAACCAAACGAAAAAACAAATATTAATGATTAGGCTTATATAATAACTTTAAATTATGAATGATAATTGTTAATACAGAGTTTACAGAGTATCGAAATATAATTAATATCTAATTTCGTCATTCACAGGTGCTGGTATCGGAACAGTATTCGGTTCACTTATCATCGGTTATGCCAGAAATCCATCACTTAAACAACAATTGTTCTCATATGCCATCTTGGGTTTCGCCTTGTCTGAAGCTATGGGACTTTTCTGTCTTATGATGGCTTTCTTGCTGTTGTTCGCTTTCTAAATTTATTATGTTAAAAAAACGTCTTCTTCGATAACCCCACAACAACCTTATTTGTCGAAAAAAAGTGAATTAAAAATGTTTAATTTTAAGTTTATAAAGTCCATCGAACAGCTATATAATACAGGCAATACATAGAAATGAATGGAAATCCAATTATGGATCTCTAGACGTTTTGAAATTATTGAATAATGTATAAATTAGGGTGCATTAATTAATTTTTTTTGATCTTAAATTGAAGAATGTTTTATTGTCCGCATTTCCATCAGCCAATTTAAAGATCCTTTATAATAGTAAGAACCAGTGACAATGCAAAACATACATAGAAAAGAATACATTTCCATCAATTAAGTATTTTTAAGGAGAATCTGAAAAACTATCAAAGAACTTTCTTGGTGCATACAGAAATTTTCAATCGACAGCCTTTACACCCACTTATAGCTTCTCTTTGTAAACAAAAAGGGAGGATTTTACATAATTGAAGCATATTTGGTTCGTGAATTGACTGTTCCTGAAACATTCGTTTGCATTCTCGGGAAAAAGGTGTTAATACCATCAAACTGAAATTAGAACGATAATACAAAAAATAAAAACAAGTGATTAGTTACGACACACAAAACTCAAGTCTTTTTATATTCTTTCTTTATTTAAGTTTTTCAGGATATTTTATTCTTGCTTGCATAATATAAAATCCACTACTTTGTTCCACAGATTTTTACGACATATCCTTCGATTTCATTTTTTTAACGGTTGCTGAAAATTTTAAATAAGGAGTTTTCAACTATTTTCGATCTAGTGCTTTTCCCATATGAGTAATCTCGTTCTTTTCCTATATTCTTTCAAAGAGAGAAGGTGTGTTTTACTCGTCCCTTAAATAAATTTTTACATGTCATTCGATTTCTTTTTTTAACGGTTGCTGAAAATTTGAAATGAGGGGTTTTCAACTATTTTCGATCTAGTCGTTTTCCCATATGAGTATTCTAGTGGTTTTCCCATATGAGTAATCTCGTTCTTTTCCTATATTCTTTCAAAGAGAGAAGGTGTGTTTTACTTGTTGTTCCTTAAATAAATTTATTAAACTAGTTGAATCAATGTAGATTTGTTCAATTAATATTATTAACTCTATTGATAGTCATAGAATTATCGATTTCATGACAATAATGCTTGAAAACGTTAATTAATGATATTCCTAACCTTAATTTCACAACAATTTATCAATGTCGTATTAGCGCATTTTTGAAACTTGTTTCAAAAAGGTAGCTTAATAATTAATGATTTTGTATTTCATAAACAAAACCACGTGTTAAGTACTTTTTAAAAATTGTTCAGGGTATGTTCAGAGATTCAAATTTATTTCTACTGTTAAATATATGAATCTCAAAAAACCGTTAAATGAAATTTTCATTTGAATTCAAGATTCGCATTTTGATGCTTATCAAATACTGATCGCTGCGTCAAAAATGCGCTAAAGTCCCTCGATAAATAACACGAGCCCTAATGTCTTATTCTATTCCTCATTGCAGATAGATTGAACTTAATCAGGTAAGCATCCATTGGAAAATGTCCTGAATCGGTTAATTTATCGATATGTGGGACAGTTAATCTATTAAATTAATGATAGACCAATGATGTGACTTCTGATCAAAATTGTTTTTGATTTCGTTGCTAGGTCTATCTCCCGTGAAAATCAACAAGAATGGGTGCGTACAGATACGTCCAAGAGTTATATCGCAAGAAGCAAAGCGATGTATTGCGTTATTTACTTCGTGTAAGATGCTGGCAATATCGTCAATTGACAAAGCTCCATCGTGCACCAAGACCTTCACGTCCCGATAAAGCACGTCGTTTGGGATACAAAGCAAAGCAAGGATTCCTCATCTACCGCATTCGAGTACGTCGAGGAGGTCGAAAACGTCCAGTTCACAAAGGTTGCACATACGGCAAGCCTAAGAGTCACGGAGTCAACCAATTGAAACCATACAGAAACTTGCAATCCGTTGCTGAGGTAAGCATCAAGTTCCCACTATTATTTTGATTACAGCACGCACTTAGATGATGATATCCAATCTTATTCACTACTGAATATAATTTGATGTTTTAAGATTTATCCTTCCTTAGATGTCTGAAAATAGCCAGACATCAAGCGAAACTAGTTTCTCAAAATAAGAAGTTTACTAATGAAATGTTAATGTTAATTATAGGAACGTGTTGGACGCAGAATGGGAGGTTTGAGAGTCCTCAACTCATACTGGGTCGCTCAAGATGCTGCCTTCAAATACTATGAAGTCATCTGCGTCGATCCATTCCATAATGCAGTTCGTCGTGATCCAAAAGTCAACTGGGTCTGCAATGCAGTTCACAAGCATCGCGAATTACGTGGTCTTACCTCCGCTGGAAAGAGCTCTCGTGGTGTTGCTAAAGGATACAGATATTCACAAACAATTGGTGGATCACGTCGTGCTGCATGGCGTCGTAAGAATCGTTTACATTTACGTCGTTATCGTTAAACTGGAACATATTCTTTGCGATTGTAATAACATCCCAACAATACTACTACATCCAATATTAAGAATAAACTTTCTTATGTAAAAAAAAAAGAAATGACTTGAAGCCTGTTTTTATTATTTTGTTTATTAGCTTTACAGATTAATGATTTTATTGATACAAGAGAGATACATAAATTTAAATGCTCAATAATTAGCAGATTACAAAACAGTTTTAGATATTATATGAACAAATAGTAATGAGAAATTAAAATACAGACGATTGATTCATTTGCCGGTTTCTCTTTGCCTTTGCGAGTTTACAGCTATTGACGGTAGCAGCGAATCGTAGAGACTTGACAGTTTCTGTAAAACAATCTTGAAATGGTGATACATTTACAAACATCAATGTTTTGCTATTTCCTCCCAAGCTAGGCATCAATAAATGCGTCAATTTTGAATTTCTGTACGGTACATGCTCATTTCTTTGTACTAATGCTAATATGACGTTACTCAATTCGCTTAATGATCTATTGATGTTCTTCGTTTCATCCATTCGTGTGCTTGTTTTTGGACTTTCACTTCCAGCCAAATCTACTAGATTAATCATACCAACTAATGTTTCAGGCTTACTAGAATGTTGACCAGTTAATTCAATTCTCGTCACAGCATGTGAACGACTTGATCTTTCATTACCAGCTGTGGCAGCAGTTGCTCTATTTGAGCGTGCAATAATCATCAATTCGTGAAGTCTTGCAGCTGTTTTAACTTCGACTTCAGTCAAATTTGAGACATAAATCTCTGTTTTGTTTCTTGCATTTGCCATTCTTATTTCCACATCCTTATTCTCATTGCTTAGTAGGTCGTAAAGAACTTCATTATAAATTTCCAAGAAACTAGCTTTAATCGTGTATTTCCATCCTAAAATATCAGCAGTTTTAATCGAGTCAAAAAGTAATTTAACTGTTCTCGGTATTATGCCCAATTTTCCTTCATGTCCATCCATTGTGAAAGTCTTTCCAGAGCCAGTCTGTCCATAAGCGAAAATGCAAACATTATATCCATCCATAGCTGATTGAATTAATGGCGAGACCATTTCAAAGATTTCATCTTGAGCCGTATTAGGATCAAAGACTTGATCAAATGAAAAGTCATGCTTTAATTTTTTAGATCCTGATATTTCGTTGCTCAGAATTTCCAATGTTGCTTCATCAGGAAATGACCATCCACAAAGCATTTTGTCTTCTTCTGTCTGAAGTGGTGGACGTACACGAGCAAATACACGAATATTACCTCGCAAATCGAGAACCATGTTATGAAGAACTTTTCGTTCAATATTAATCTGATAAAGTTGATCTTGTGACAATAACAATTTATTCGAAGCCTCTTCATAATCATGCTTCATAGTTCCAGATGTCCTTTGCAATTCCTCATAATCAATAGTTTGCCTGTCATGCTTTCTAGTTAATTCCGAAAGTGACCGTTTTGTAGTTTCAAATTGTTCAGATGTCACATTCAAATCTGCTGAAAGTGCTGCATTCTTTAATGTCAAGCCTTTATTTGTACTTTTTAATGCCTTAATCTCAATAATCAGTTTTTCTCGTTCTTCAGTCGCATCAAAAAGTTCTTGTTCGATTTTCTCAATTTTATCAAGCAGTTCCTTCTCGCGGCTATCGAAATTTTCACATTGTTCTTCAAGTGTCGATATATGTTCTTTTTGTTGGTCTGATTTTGCCTTTAAAATGTCATACCTTTCCTTGATATCATGAAAGCGTGCCTTAAAGTCATATGGTGCTATTTTCGGCTTATTTGCAACTTTTGCTGGCTGTACTGACGAAACTGTTTTATTTACAGTAGCTGTTTTTGTTAAAGTCGATTTTGGTCCTTCTGTACTGCTGGATTTAATCAATGGTTTTTTAACAGCATTTGTCAATAGACCGGAAGACTTCATGGTCGTTAAAATTGCATTTTTCTTCTCCTGTGATGGGTTTTTAAAGGCATTAATTTGAGGCTTTACAATAGATCCAGTAGGTTTGAATCTTTTAGTCGGTACATTCTCAACAGTTGTTTGCATTCTCTTTAGTGTCGGTCTGCTCATTGTCAAATCTGCTGATGACTTACTTCTTCGAAGTTTTGGCATTGTCAATTGATTGGATCTTTGTACATCCGGAGATTTTGAGCGAGTAAACTTAAACTGTCCCATTACATTGATGCCAAGCTCTAAATGATTATAAAATGATATAATTAAATTAAATTTATTATGTAGATATACAGCGCCTTACCATTTAACGGTTTTTTGCTTTCATTCTCTGCTTTCTTATTCTTGATATCATCAAATTTATTAATTGTAGCAAAATCGAACAAGTTATTGCCCGCTGGCTTCTTCTGTGGCACTCCAGATGACGGTTTTGGAATTCTCGAATCCATTTCTCTGATTATAATCCTCTAATTTGTATATTTTATCTTAAATTTGTTGTACAAAAACCTAGTAAAATTAAAATATTTTTTTTTTAAACTTTAATCACGATTATTTAAACATTTAAGCACCAATTAATATCAAATTTGATTTTAATTCATTCACTAGTATGTTTACTTAATGTTTTCTACTATAATTAACTTGTTATTCTGTTTGTTTATGCACAAAAAGTATTAAAATGTCAAGACTTACGTTTTTTTTAAACAAAAATAAACTGAATTTCAAAATTTAACCGACAATAAAAAACTGTTAAAAAAACATTTTAAAAAACACGCTTTTATCAAAAAGACTAAAAACCAAAAAATTGAAAATAAAATAAGGTCACACTTTTAGCGAATCAGAATTTTAAAAATTTTCTTGTGATAACTAGAAATGTTACATTAATTTTTTCAAAATATTGTGATTAAGTCCAAGAACACAATGACTCTAAAAGCGTGGAGCTATGAGATTTGACGTTCTCTTACTTAAGAACTTAGCTGAACTAAGAAATTATCCTTAAATTACGCCCCACGCTTTTAGAGTCATTATGTTCTTGGATTTAATTACAATATTTTGAAAATAATTTATGTTACATTTCCAGTTGTCACAAGAAAATTTTTAAAATTCTGATTCGCTAAAAGTGTGATCTTATTTTATTTTCAACTTTTTGGTTTTTAGTCTTTTTGATAAAAGCGTGTTTTTTAAAAAGCTTTTTTATTTTCTTCTTTTAAGTCTTTCAATCTTGCAATCTACCGAGTAGCTGAAATGACATAATTTTCTCTCTGTCTTGTTCGATAGTTGTGTCTTTCATTGGCAGTTTGAATACTGACACTATTTTTAAGCATGTTCGACGTAATTTTAAAGACATGAATGCATATACTACTTTGACATAGCGTAGTGACTGGAAGAATTTTTATACTATACAATTCTGATCTGCTGCAGAACCAGGTTTTGTTAAAAGAATTCTTAATGACTTTCTTTGGGCAATTTCAAGCGAGTTTAAGTTGTACTGCGCAGTTGCTGACCACACAACATTCATAAACATACCCTGTTTTTTCGTTATAAGCTACTACTCGTTACTAAGCTACTAGCTTAGTAAAGTTTTTTTGAACTTGAAAATTTTTTGTAATCTTTACTAAGCTACTACCAAAAATATAGTTTAATTAATCTTTTTCAACTTTTTAAGTATCAGTTTCAATGTCTTATGACATTGTCAATGAAATAAAATCGAGAAGATAGCAAAATTTCTTTAATTAAGTTAAAAAATTCAAAATTTTCATTGAAGTTCAATTTCTTTACTAAGCTACTACTCGTTACTAAGCTACTAGTGATCCAAAAAAATCACTTTTTTATTCTTCTAAGCTACTAGCTTATAACGAAAAAACAGGGTAAGTCGTGATTGAACATGTGCATAATAAAGCGCTATCGCTGTTTTATCGCTAATCTATCTTCAATATATGAAATTAGTAGTCTAGTGAAAGACTTATCAAGTTTAAGTAACTTTAATTTTTTAATCAGAATGTCATGCCTAATAGAATCGAAAGCCTTTGAGAGATCAATACACGTTAGGGCTACGGCTTTTCTATGATCAATACCACTGTAGATGTCATGGAGGATGTGAGTTGTTGCGACTTCAACATATGAATTTTTAACGAAACCGAATTTATGGCAACTGACAATCTGATTAATTTAAGCTCGATTGGAGCAGTAGAAGTGGTCGAAAAATCGATTGCAAGATTTGAACGTGACAAAGAAACCAACAGACAGAGCAACTCAATAAAAAGCGTGTAAAAAATGGAGGCAAATTTAAAAGTTTCGAAACAAAAAAAAAGTTTATTAAACTCAAAACATTGAGTTTTTAAAAATAATAAATAAATAAAAATCAATTACAGTCTATCAACAGACTAGGAAGTTAATAAAAATAATTCAAAAGTCAGAGATAACAGAAAGAACAATTAAAATTATTTAAAGATTAAAGAGTGCATTTAAGTGATCAATAAGCAATTCTATCGAAGCTTTATATACATAGTTGTATTTCCCTGAAAAAGGCACAGAGAAAAAACGTGAACGATGGCAAGCACTGGTAATAATTGAATTTAGATTTAAATATATTTATCGTGTAATTTGAGGCTTAAAGAGGCAATAAAAATGTCACCGACACAAACGACCATGTTATAGTGCAGTTTAAAGTCAAGGATCTTTGTAATTGAGTGATTTTTGAGCATTAATTTAAAATTATTTCACATGGGCGCTTGAAACAAAAAGTTCCAACGTGAAAAAATGTGACTTTAATGTAAAATTTCATGTTTAAAGCATAAGTTTATAGTAATTTGGCGCATTTTCTGTGATGCTTTTCGTGTCTAATTATATCCCACGGCTTGGCTAATTTGATAGTTCATTCTTTACGATGCAATTCTATTTCTTTCTTAAACAAAATTTCTTAGTCAACGTAATCAAACAAATGTGAGATAATGCAGCATTAGCACTAGTATTAGTAGTGAAAAAAAATGAAAGAAAAAAAGTTGTAGGAAAAATCTAAAAATATCTCTCGTTATTTGATCGCAAATAAAGTTATTAAAAATGTATATGCTGGGGTGATAATAATCATTCATTCATGCACGTATCAGTTTATCTCCATTCATAATGCTATTTACTGAATATTGACAGAAATGCACTAGTTTCCTTGTTTGGCACAAATAAAAAATGAAAGTGCTAGTCGATTACTATGAAAGTTCACTATAGTAACCTTGTCATAGTTTCAATTGCTTACTTTACACCATAACTGGTTTTCGTACACGAATATTTTTGACATAATAATTGTTATGCGACACTTGAAAAACTATTAATTGACTAATTTGTTTTTGTGCGCTCAGGTAAAAAAGGCAAAAAGTCCAAGGAAAAGAAGTTATCACTTCAGGATTTTTTGGCAAAATCGGGTCCAACGACAGGCGGAACCACTCAAGTTGCGGTTCAAAAGTATAGTAGCTGGGCAGAAGAATGTGAGGAAGATGAAGAACGTAAAATTGAAATTATTCAGTTACCAACTGCTCCCAGAGCAGCACGAATTTTGGAAGATAACTCGATTCCATATGATCCACCGTTCTATGCTAAAGTATCAAATTTACCATTTGATTTGAGCGAAGCAGATGTTGATGAATTCTTTTTGGATCATAATATTCATATTAAGGAAATGAAATTGGCAAGAGATGATGCAAATGATCGACTACGTGGTTTTGGACACATTGAATTGGAAACAAGAGAAGATTTAATGGATGCCATTATGATGAATGATCCGGTAATTCGTAACAGAAGAATTCGCATTGAGTTTACAATGGAACCAGATTCAGTATCAGGACGTACGGTTAGAAAACGTTATGACAATTATACTCCTCGTGACTCAGCTAATGAATCAACAAATTGGCGTGATCGAAAGGAATCAAATTTCGAACAAGTTGATGGACGTGATGGAGGTGGACATCGCGAAAATCGACGAAATTATCAGCAACGTTCAACTTTCCAAAATCGTCATGAATCAAATGATTCAAATAATGATGGTGGTGGAAATTGGAGATTAGGGGATCGTCCAAATAATGATTCACCCCCGCCAGAAAGAAGACGTTTTGGAAATGATAGAAACGATAGAAATGACAGAAGAGGTCCAGGCGATAGAGGTGGAAATCGTTATGATCGTGATAGACGTGAGCCACGCGACGAACAAGTTCAGGAACGTCCAAAAATTTATATTGCGCCAAGAACATTACCACTTCCTGAATTAAACTTTCCAAAAGAAGAAGAGCTTGAACGTGGAACCAGAAAGATTTCACTTAATGGCGACCATGATGATGAAAACGATGATTCTGGCTTAGCTGAAGATGAGGACAGAGAAAAAGCTCCAAAAGTAAAGATTCCACAACAACCAAGAGAAAATATCTTTGGAGATGCTAAGCCTGTTGATACAGCTGGCAAAGCGCGAGAAATTGAAGAAAAGAAGGAATCAGAACGTCAAGAACGATTTAAAAATGAGAAAGAAAAGCGCGAAAAAGATCGCGATGCTGGAAGTTCTACATCACAAAGTGGAGATGATAAAAAAGATGTTATTGTCATCCGTACTGAAGGTTCAAGACGTCAAGAAGAACCAACAAATTGGCGTAAACGTGACGATACTTCAAGTAACGGATCTATGGACAATAAAATTCGAAGTGGAAATCGTCAAATGGGTAGCAGACGTAAGTTGCTAAGGCTCTTTATTATCCTTTATTTTGCTTAATTAATTGACATTTAAATTACAGATGATGATCGTCCACGACAATTCAACAAGGATAATAATCGAAGCTACAATAATCGGTAAGTGCTTAATCTATCAGATTTACATTTAAATCCTAAGATTTATTTTTAAATCTCAAGATTTATATTTTAATGATTTTCTTTTTGAATTAACAGTGATCGTCGAGATGGAGATAGACGTGATGGTGATCGCAGGGATGATTACCGAAATAACAGAGACAATAGAGATAACAGAGATAGAAGAGACAACAACATGCGACGAGGAAATGACAGTGGGCCAAGAATGGAGATACGTCGCGATGATAGAGAGCCGAGAGGAGATATGAGAGATTCAAGGGAGCAGCCTCGTGATATGAAACCTCGCGATAAAAATCATGACATGCCAAAATTCGTTGAAAACTCTGGACCTGTAAGTATTTCTAGTGCTGCAAATATCATGAAATGCGATATGGTTTGAAATAAGAAGCACAACTTCCGTGTTTCATGCTTCGTGTATAAAAACTTGATTGCATCTGATTAACTGGATTCTTAGTATAGATTAAATTTAAAATGATTAACCAGTTTTGGATTGTCCATAAATAATATGCTTGACTAATGAAGTTAACTTTGAATTCTCATTTCAGAATTTACACGTTTCAAATACATATGCTGGATTAGATGATGAAGTTTACGATGACTAAAGTAATAATCAAGTTTAAAGGGAATTTTTTTTTGAAAAACAACAAAATATGATTAAAGATAAATAAAATTAAAAAAATTTGGTGACATTTAATTCAAATGATAATATTTATGCAGCATATAAACAAGAAAGTAAAAAAAAACATAAGTGGGCGAAAGAATTTATGAGACATCATACACAAAGGAAGTTAAAACTAAAGAAGAAAATCTGTCGACTGAATCAAAGTTATCAAAAAAAAACATAAAATACAAGAAAAGAGATAAATTATTGAGGAAGTAAAAAGGTTTTTAAATAATACTAATATTAGCTGATTGCATAGGATTTTTGTAAAAAAGAAAAGAGGAAATCATAATTTTTTTTTGTTTGATAAAAGTAAATCGAGTCGAGATAGTCGAGGAAATTCCCTAACCATATAGCTTTACCTTTATATTTTTAAAGATTTTTAAGGGAGCTAGATTTTTAGGGACTTTTAAGCAATTTCTTTTTTTGTTCGTTAAATCATTTGAGTTGTCCTATTATTAATATTTTATTAGCTCATTATATAATAGTAGTAATTATTATTATTATTATCAATATACTAAAATTAATGAAATGTCAATATTCAATATTAGAAGAAGATTCCCCAGCTTTGATGCTGCTGTATTCAGAATATGGACAGTTATCAAAGCTGGGGAGAGATATTGCTGAAGTAAATGGTTTATATTATATATGTATAAGGATAAAAAAAAAAAACAAAAAATAAATGAAAAACAAGCAAAGAATTGTAAAATTAGGTAGTAAGAACTATTTTTTTGTTATCAATTTCTCTTTTTCTATTTTCTACATAATAATAATAATAATTATAATATAAATAATAGATAATTTTGTAGTCCTTATACAAAAATGAAATGAAAAGATTACACATTAGATAATTGATTGTAAATAACATGAAAAATTATCCACTTTTTTCTTACTTTGTCACCTTCAAAATTATATCCATCGAGAAAGAAAATAAAAATTTTAAAATGAATAAATTCAATCAAGTCTTTTACTAGTTTTCATTTTTTAACAACTCATTTTTCAAAAGTTCAAAATAAAAACTATATTGAACTTTAGATTTTTCAAACATCTTTTGACAGTTAAAACTTGTCATCATGATTCAGATTATATCAATTAAGTTCTAGATACTAGTCATTGATTTCAGCATGTTTCATCACTTTATATCCCAGTCAAAACTGCCAATATCTACAAATCCACGTTGGACTAACACTGAATTTCTAGTAACGTATTTTAAAAATTCAAATATATCTTTTAAGGGGCCATCAGATAGTTTTCTTCGGAATTAATTTCCCCTAATATCTCATTCTAAAATTCAAAAAAATACAAAACAGTCAACAGTTTCTACCCGTGAATAAAAAAGTGAATTAAAGCATAAAGTACGCATCAATTAAGGGTCAAAATATTGTAAAGTGATTTATTTTATCAAAACACGTTCATATAAGTGAGTTGGAAGGAATATTATCCACAAATTAGAAAAAAATAAGCTATTTCTTAAGTATTGCATCAGACAATTTCAGTGCTGTTGACGTCACAGTCAAAAATCAAGACTCATTGTAGTTAAGTATCTTCATTTTGGTTCTTGAAACCAAATTGTAAACATCTTAAGTGAAACGAGTGTGCACAAAAGTTAAACAAAGAAATAAAAACAATTTTTAAATAAACTTTAATTGAACTAATCTTATCAAATCCAATTAATTTCTCAAATATTTTGGGATTATATCATATTATAATAAAAAAGATAAGCAGTACGAAGGTAAAATAAGAGTGCTAACAAAGCAAAATCAGTGAACAAAAGAGAAGAAAAAAAAGCTTCCAGAAATTTCTAGATACTTCATGTGTTGCGTATATAGTATGTCAGTTGTTAAGGAAAGTTCTATGGTCTCAAAAATTAATAAAAAAGTTGTTGTTTGTGGTATTGTCAAGAAGAGTAAAAACATTAAAATTATTAAGAACAATTCGATTATTTCTTGTGGTAAAACTATGTCAACTAAAACTATGTTACGTTTACATGGCACTATGTAAGTATCCTATCCATTAGAATTTGATTTATTTATATCCTATGTCATCACAAGTCAATGTTCTTTACTATTTATTTCGCTATCATGACTTTCAAATTTTGAATTACATGCACGCGAAGAAGTCTTTCATCATGTGTTTTGGTATAGCAGACGAGAAATCACATGAAAGCATATAAATGTCGTCATACATTTTTAATATTTAGGAAATTTAAAATAGGAGAAATCGTCGTTTTTAATGACGACATATCACAATTTTTTGATTGGTCAATGTCTTTATCTTGGATTTTGTCGAAATGCTGATAATTTTTGAAATTTTAAAGTATAAAAGCCAAAGAATTTTTATTAATAAATTCAGTTTTTAAGGCTTACAATAGCTCTAAACTTTAACTCAGGAAAATAACGACGTATAAGATCCCCACTTTTTTCTCTATTCATTCTCTCTCTTCGCTCGGAAACGAAGTTTACTTTTGACTTTACGTTGCGAGCACATTCTCATTCGTAATATTTTCGTCGTGAATACAAGTTCTGATTTTTAAAGAGGAAACTCTGCCTGAATACTATATTCTTTACATATATTGTTTGATACTTGTGTGAAGTTTTAAGTAAGAATATAATAAAGTTAACGTTAAACGTTTAGCTCAAAAATAATTTAAACCAAGGCTTAGAAAGCTACTACAACAGAATTTTAAAGGAGATTATCGAATTTCCAGAAGGTTTGAAACCTTTGTTAATTAAATTAGTACAAACGCGCTAAGTTTCCTCAGCCGGTTACGAAGCTCTACCCAAAAATAAGACTCAAAGAGTAAGTATTTGGACATTTATAAATTAAAATAGAATAAATACAAAGTCAGATGCCAAAAAAATGTTAATTTACCGGCAAATTGGCAAGAAAATTGAAAAAGTCTATGAATTTCATAATATTGTGCAATGATGATTCATCATTGAAAAAAAAATCCCCATAATCACTAACACAAATGAACGTGTAGAAACAGCTGTAAAGTGTGCTTTATACAGTCGCGCGATACGATTTTCTTTTCTCTGTGCTTGAACTTGTTCAAACATGTAAAAAATGTTATACAAAAAAATAAAAATAAAAATGAAAAGAAGATCAGCCTGACTTATTGATATAGTCGGTGCATTACATTTTTCTGCGAATTCCTATTGATATTGTGATGACTCATACGATTCTTCAGAAATGAAAGTTGACTTTTTCTCACACTATTTATTTATTTATTTCCTTACAGGTTGAGACATCACTGTACTCAGCTCTTTAATTGGCACGGTTGCTTTTAAACCGTTAAGATTTTTCGTGAATTGAACGGCGAATTAATTTCCCGATCAAAATGCAAGCCAGCGGCTTTGCCAGTACACTTTCAATCATGCATTCAGAAAGCTATTTACGTTACAAATCCAGCCGATACAGTATCGACGGAAACTCAACAGAATCAAGCGACAAATACGCAAATAATTCAAAAGTTGCCAGACAAAACAGATTTGATAGAACAGATTGGAAATTTAGAAATACTGTTCTTGGACGACAATTACAAGGAGGAAAATCAACAAACGATTGTATTTTTACCAGAGACGGTACCATTTGTGTCATTCCCGAATTCATCACAGTTGACAATACCAGCTATAAGCGATCAAGCAATCGAAGGCTCAATAAGTACCGCAAGCATTCAGCAACAGCCATCAGAGGACGTGCATTCATTGTTCCCAGACGAGCTGTTTTGGACGCAAGCATCCTTACCGCTAAACGACATTCTTCAGGGTGAACTTAATACACCAGAAATCGGTAAGCTTACTACTTCCATGTTCTTTTTTGACTGCCTTTATTTTGCCAGATATTGTCGCCATTTTAAATTGAGTTTTCAATTTTATCCAAATATTCTTAATTACGTGTATGTTATGGCTATATACAAAAAGTATTGCAAAGTTTAAAAAAAAATAATTTAAGACATTCTTGAAAAGTTTGAATTTTTTGACACCCACGCTTTCAAGTTTAACCAAAAAAATATACGTACGTCATAACCTATTGAAACTTAGCCCAGTTTAGAAAAAGCTCCTATAGACTCTAATGTTATCTAATCAAAACCTCTCAACTGCTCCTTGTTTCTTACTTAATTAATAGTACTTAATTAATTATTAAATAGACGACATAATCTGGCAAGAAAAATTGTCAAAAATATCCGAACAAAGTTATGAGCCTTCATTGAAAGTGTCAATTTGTGCTGAATCATCCACAATCTTTGTTGTTCAATTTAAATGACTCGAAAAAAAAAACTTTTTGACCTCCTTTGCGCGATAAAATAAAAAATGTATTAGTTCTGTTGGTTGTTATCAATTTAATTAAACTTTTTCGTGCATCACTTCTGTTATGTAAAATGTAATACATTTCTTGACGTGATATACTCGTACTCATCATGAATCTCGTTGATAAAAAGAGAAAAATAAAATAGTTTCAATAGTTATTTCTCTCAATGCCAAAATTCCTATGAACGAAAACATGTTCAAACGTGTCGTAAAGAAGAAAAATCGTTCCATATGATCGTGAACTACGCAAAAAATAAGTTCATTATAACACAAACGAACCAATGACGAAAATAGACACACACTGCTTAATATTTCCCCTACTTTAATATGTGTTCACACATAACATGATACCTATACATTCAAATTGTTATAACATTTCCATCGTCTTGTATATTTGGGAAATTCTTTACTCATTCATTTATTCTTATTTTGCCGGTCAAACTAATCAGACGCAAAGTTAAAGTCGCTCTTACTAAATTTAATTTTTCTCTATAAAATAAACAGATCAGCTGGAAGGATTTAATTTTGATATAACAACAACAGAAAATACAAGTGCGAACACGGATAAAACGGATAATAAAGATCAATTGAATATTATAAACGGAATAGAGGAAGTGCATCAGTTAACGAAAGAGTTAACAATTATAAATAATCAACAAAGTAATAGACAAGCATTGGAAATAAATTCCGAGAGTAAAAGCATTACACAGTTTCTTCAGGAACACGAACAAATGCTTCGTTCAAGCCAAGACCCACCAGTCTTCGAATATAGTGAGGACTTAATCAACATTAATTTAGGATTTGGGGATAATATAGATTTAAATAATAACAACTTCCTGAGTCAAAACTTTTCACCAGGAGATTTTGATATGTATAACGAACTTTTTGGAACAAACGATTTAATGGAGAGAAAGGAATTTGAGACACAGTCATTGTCACCGCTTCCTGCGCCTGCAATGATTTCAAATCCACCATCACCTATTGCACCAAATGTCACAGAAGAACAGCCACAAGATCATCAACAGAAACCCAGATTAGACAGTGTTGTCAAACTGGAAGGAGAATTTTTCGATTTAATCGAGTATATGGAGGTGAGTGGTCACTGCACTTTTTCATTGCTAGTAATGTTTTTCAATTCTTAAACCAATTGTTATACTTTAGCGTTATATATTGTTATACTAATGAAAAAATTCTTTTTCTTCGTTTTACTTAAATAGGATGATAACGCATTGACTCCCTTCGAAGAAAAGCCATGCCCGAGCTTTAATGTAAGTCAACAGAGTCAACAGCAACAACAACAACAACCGCCCGTTATCAAAATCGAAAGTAGTGAACCCTCCACATCAACTGCCTCATCTAGAAAACCTTCAGTCGTTGAAAATGATCATTCATATGATTCATTATTCAGACCTAAACGAACGATTAAAAAGAGACGATATTCAACAGATAGTGACTTTTCAGTTGGAACATCAGCCTCGTCATATAACGCAACAAAACAAAAAGTCCACAGACGAAGACGCGGACGACCAGCAAAGGAATTGATCACAGATCTTCCAACGATTGAGGAATTGACAAAAAAAGGCGTATCAGCAGAAAAGGCACCACATTTAGTACTTCGAATTAAGAATAATGAGGCGTCAAGAAAAAGTCGCATGAAGTCAAAGAATGAACAACAAAGACTTGAAGATCAATGCACAAAATTGGAAAGACGACAAACATCGTTGAAAGACAGGAGAGATAAACTCGAGTCACAAATTAAGCAACTCCACCAGTGGCTGTTGGGAGCTAATTAAATTTAATTTATATTTTACTATTGAATAGTTTGTCAAAGATAGGAAATATTCCTTAAATAAGTTGTAAATATATCAAAATCTATGCTGTTTTAGTATTTAAATTATATATCCCATAATCCTTAATTTTATTATACGATCTAAGATTTGTTGTTTAAGTTTATCATGATAATTCATTAAGAGCATTTTAACTTTAATTAAAGAGAAAAAAAATGATGAAAAATCAAAATAAAAAAAATAAATTGTAGAATTACTTCATTTTAAAAACATCCAATATGATTAAAAACGTACAATTTAAAATGAGAAGAAAAAATTATTTGTATTTTATACTTTTTACCGACATTCACAAACTTATTATTGTACTCAATTTAAGAAGAAAATCTAAATAATAAAAAGTTCGGGCATACAAAAACAAGACAATGAGAAATTCGTTTATTTTAAAAGAAAATTTCAGCGGAAAAACAGTTTTTCTTCTTTGCAGCTAGTACAAGTGTCGTTATTTGCATGCACAAACATGATTCATACAGTCGGTCTGACTTCCAATCGTATGATTATGACGTAAATTGTGACGTCATGATCTTATTGGAAGCTATTTCAACGTTGCTCGAAAGTATTTCACCATCGACTTATTCATTCCAGAATATTCAACTAGTGAGGAACTGCTCTTATAAGAAATTCAGCCTTACAACACATTAAGCTAATTTTAATTTTAAAAATTAATAAGAAACTATTAAAAAGGTCTTAGAGATCGTTTTCAACATTTTATCGGTTAGTTAAAATTATTATTTGATGTTAAAAAAGTGAAAGAGAAAAGAATAAAGTCATACGTAATCAAGCCGGTAGCCATTTTGTTATTTGCGAAAAACTTTTTCGCATAATACAATATTTTATCTAAAGTGAATAATGAAATAAAAGTGATAAAAAAATCAATGGTAAATTAAAAACCCCAATTTCAAACATAAAGAATCGAAAAATTTATGTCAAAATAATCAAGATCCAGTGCTGGATCATTTCAATTACATTTCTCAAGGTCGTAATAAATTGTGACTTCAAATCTCGCAATTTTCTCCTTGATTTTTCAAACAGCTCAATTGAATTAATACCTTTTGAAATCAAATCAGTTTTTAAATATTAATATGGTTCAATATAAACGATGACAAGAAACAGTCAAGTCTGTTTGGGAGTGGTTCAGATCTACATGTTAATTCTATGATTAATTGATAGGTCTGAAAATCCTAATTAGTTAAACAATTACTGGCCTTATAATGCATACAACTTTAAGGTTTTGATCTTAAGTTTTAAACAGCAAGTTTTTAATAATCTTTAAAAGCTCTTTTATGAACATCCGCGAATGTTCAAACTTCATATTAGCCCATTTATACATCTTGGTCAATTTTAAAACAAAAATAGTGAAATTTTTTTAAAATAAAACCTAAGTGATTTACTTTAATTAAGTGATTTTATCAAAAAATTGTTATGAAAAAAAAATCAGTGAAAATATTTGAAAAGTGATATAAAAAAAAGCTTAACCAACATGACAAACTTCGGATTCTAATCTAAGTTACTCTATTTCACACAGATTCCAACAACAATGAGCGTCAACACAAACTCATTAAATGCTCTTCCTTGTAAGTTATCTTTTAGAGTTGCTTGTATTGGGGTATTCGGACATTACTAAAAGCTTTAGACTCTGATTTTTTAAAGCTACACAAATTTTCACTTTTACGATACAAAAATGAGCAACTTTTTAGAACCCACTCTATTCTACCATTTCTTCAATATTATTAAAGAACAACCTTCTTGACATTAAGTTGTATCCGAATGACCCCCGAATGTTATAAAGATGCATGTTTTATTGATTCAATGATTTTCTTTTGAAATTCTACAGCTTTGGACGTCAAGTCTATTCAAGAATATATAAAAACTTTTAATGAAGAAGATATTATTTTGAATTCGCAAGAATTAATAAATAATAATACAATATGTAACAATCCTACTAACAATGCTTTGACTTCGTTCTTGTCAACATTTGTAAGTAACTTCTTAAAACGATGCATTCACAATATAAATTCGATATACTGTTCAAATAGGTATCAAATGATCTGAATGAAGAATTAATAAGCTATCCGAAAAGTATTGTCAGTGGATTTAATCCTTTTGTAAATCCATTGGATGTTGAAGACATTTATGTATTTCAACCAAATGAACAAATAAGCGATATAGATGATTTTGGATATATTTTAAATACTGAAAATGTGTCATATTATGATCTTGACTCTAGTCAATCAGACATTCTGTCTTTTGATGGAACTGATTTAATTAATCTTGATGATTTGTGTCGAACCCCAATTACAATCATTAATGAGGTAAAGTGATAATTAAGTCTTATTAGAGTCCTTTAATCATGCTTTAAACTTTAAACAGCCAAAAGAAATTGTTCAAATCATAAAGACAATTAAGAAGGAACAAAAGTCCAGACGTGGACGTGGAAGACCAAAAACGGAGATAACGAAACTTGATGAAAAAGTTGCTGATGCGGAAAAGACTAACGATAAGCATGTGATCAGAATTAAAAAGAACAACAAAGCATCAAAGGAATATCGAGATAGAAAGGCAGACAAAAAAAAGCAGCTTGACACTGACTTATCGAATCATACCGATAAATATCTTAAATTAAAGAAAACTCATACCAAATTGAGCTTAAGAATCGAACAGCTAGAGAAATTGCTAAAAATGCATTCATTTTAGTTTATAAGCTACAATTACCTAGCTTTTTTTAAGGAACCTATTTTCGTAACAAATTGATATTATAATACCAATTGTAATAATGTATTACTTATAAATGTTTTTATGTCGAATAAAATAATAAATATCCTAAATGATCTGAATATTAAAAGAAGCGCAAATTTAAATTTATTATTATGTATAAAACTGACAGGAACATATATGTCTTATTTCAGTTGTTTCTTTCAGTGTTAATATGTATATATGCAGTTCAGTTTTTAACAATTTGGAAACAATAACGACAATCTAGATTTCAAACAGTCGACGTTGAGCAATTTAGAGTTAAAATTTTAAACTTGTCACGAGGATTAATAAGCGCATTTTAAGGATTATCAATTGACTTACCTGATACATTCAGTTCAACTTGAATCAATCGCTCACCTACTATTCGAATCTATGCTTGAGTCTTATTCCAAACCTTAATAAAATTCTTAGTGATTAATGAAATATTTCTTGATAATTACGCACTTTTTTCAAAACAGTCAGTCAAAATAAGAATTCTCGATTCCTTTGATCAAAAAAATTGAATTAAAAACAATAAACGAAAAATTTAAGAAAATATAAATAGAAAAATTGAGAATTAATTAACTTCTGAGCTGAAATTATTAATAAAATTAAATCTATTCAACGATTTGTTGTTAACAGTATCAAGAATAGAAATTGTCATTTACGGTAATGGATGTAAATGAGCAAGTTTCGTCATTATGTGAAGAAACAGAATTTTTCGATGAATCTTCAGTCCTTCTCAAAGTTGCTGGATTATATGCAAGTCACTTGCTAAGCGACATAATCCTAGTTGTTGGAGAAAACAAGTAAGTGGAGTGATTTCTACTGCCAAAAATCTATAATTAACATCCCAAAAAACAATTATTTTTCAGGTATCCAGCACATAGAGTGATTCTTTCTGCTTCATCGGAAGTCTTTCAATGCATGCTGATGAATCCACAGTGGACAGAATGCAATAAATCAATAATTAATTTGGTAGAGGATAAAAAATGCACAGAAGTTTTTCCACAATTTTTAAAATACTTGTATACAGGACAAGTCAAGATAAGCATAGAAACAGCAATGCCATTATTATCTCTAGCTGATAAATATAACATTAAGGATCTCATTGTTTTATGTCGTGACTATATGACAAAGTCAGTTGCATTAGCTGGAACTCGTGGATTTCTTATTTCATGGCTGCAGTATACTTTATCATTTGACTATCATCAACAATTATCTAACGATTTAAAGAACTTCCTACGTCTTAATTTAGAAACTGTCGGCTATAGTAAGGACTTTATAGACATCGATCCAAATAATTTATGTGTATTACTTCAACAAAATGACCTAGTTATAACGAATGAAGCCAAACTATTTGATATAGTTATAAATTTTTTAATGCTGAAAAAGGAACAAATTGAACAAGAAGAGTCCCTTTCAGATGAAGATAAGCAGAATCACATGAAGTCATTAATAGAAGGAATATGCTGTTATATCAGATATCCAATGATGACAGTTCAGGAACTAGCATCGATACCCATCAAGCCAATAACGCATTGCTACAAGGAATTCTTTTGCGATAAAATGGCACTAGGAATGTCTTTTCATGCAAATCAGACAATATCTCCAAAAAATGATTATCTTCAATATACTCCTCGACTTTACACTTCCGATAACTTCTGTCTCGAATTGGTAATTAAAATTTAGTTCAATTAATCGTTTAAGTTTAATAACTTAGTGTTTCTCACTGTAGGTTGTTCCTGAGATTCATAAAGTAGAGAATTACAAGACATTTGGAGCCTGTATGTTTAGTTTGGAAGACTTCCCTTACACTGAATCGGGTGATGGTAAGCTGATCATGCGATTTGAGTAAAGATTAAGGATAATCAATAAGTTATTTCACAGAAAATACAATCCAATGGGAAATTGATTTCTTTCCGAGAGGCATAAGATATAATCGTGCTCAGTTAATTAACATTTACAATTTACAACAAACACAAGGAAGAATTGAAGTTCCAGAATCAATTTTACGGACAGTTCGTGTTCGTTGTACCTGTAAAAGTGTCCAACAAGAACTGAGATTTAAGGCAAGTAAAAAAGGATTTAAATGAAGCCTCAGAGATGATAATTGTTTGCATTTTTTAGATTGCTGTATTAATTAGCGGCTCACAAAACAACATCATACATATAAAAACCTTACATACTCGCACAAGCTACTTTTCTAGAGAGACTCGTGTCATAAATTTCGACAATTTAATTCCGTTCGAAGAACTAGACACTGATAATAGCATTTATCTGATTGGAAAGAACCGAGATAATATTAGAATTCATGTCATTATTCTTCCATTTCCACAGTCAATCACCCAAGACTCACCCCAATTCGAATTCAAATGAGATATGCTACCCTTTTTGATTTGTGGTTTCGTTGTATTTATCTTCTGGATTTTATTTTAATCAATTAACACAAATATTATCATTATTATTGTAAATATATATTCAGCAAATGAATAGAATTGAAATGTTACTAAGAACATCAAATAATAAAATTATTAAAATTATGTTTTGCGTTTTTCTGTGTAAGATTCTTCATTAAGTACAAATGTTAATTGTTATTCAAAATAGCTAATCCTAGGATTTAGTAAAAAATAATTGAGAGATTTAAATTAATCGGAGAGTTTAATCCTAGGATTTAAAGACTAATCATGTTATTAAATATTAAGCAAAAGTATGTCCTTCAAGGAACTAAAGTTCTTTCTCAATAGAAAGAACCAATAAATTTCACATTGGAAATTAAATTTCGTATGCTTTTTGAATGGAATTATTAAAGCATGATTGGAAATTATCGATATAGTCACGCCAAGCGTCTTGCATTAGTTCCTCGTTCTTTCGCAAAGCTTCCTTTTTCAAATTAATCAGTTCTTTCTTTTTATTTTGATTGTGCAATTCTATAGCTTCAGTTTGCATTCCAACTTCTCGTTTTAATGCTAAGAACATCTTTTCTTGTTCTGTTAGTTCAACCATAAGCTTATATTTCTCAGATTCATAACGAAGATGCAACTGATTGACGTGCTTTAATTGAACCTTAGTCTTTTGAACTTGCTCATAACATTTCTTTCCTAACTTTGCGATTGAATGATCGTATTTCTTAGAAATATTCTTTCCATCATCATCGATTTTCTTCTTACGTAATGTCAATTCCATTGCAGCTTCACGGCTCCGAATATTAAATGCCTTGCTTGGATCCATAAATAAATTATTATTATTTTGGGTCATAAGATTGTCGTTTTGTGATGCATTATCTGCTTGTTGGCTTGTCGATGGATATTCAAATCCATAATGTTGTGTCATGTTAGGCTTCTTTTCAATAGCAGCAGTAAATTGCTTTTGTTTTGGAAAATTCTTATCATCTAAATCCATACTTTCATGACTTGATGAAGAATAATGCTGATGTTCATCATTAGCAAAATGTCCATAAGACATTCCACTTTCATTATCAGCATCCTCGTTCTGAGTTTCCATTGTAACTTGGAGAGGTTTTTGATTTTTTTGAATTTCGGGTTCAATATGATCTAGAGACATATCGAGACTGAAGGAATCAGAAGTGCTTTTCAGCCATTCCTCAACTCTGGACGTTGTTTCAATTATTTTTGGTGGTTCCTTATCTGATTCACATAATTCAAAGACATTGTCAATGGTTAATCGACGTCTCTTGTTAGCTGGAACTTCTTGATGCTCAACTTCCTTTGGACGTTTCACTGCTGGCTTTTCCTTATTAAATACTGAGTTTCGAGATAATCCAGAATTATAGGATTCGTCGTTTGCTTCTTGAACTACTTTACGCTTCTTATTAGATTTATTTTCAATCTTAATTACCGGTTCAATTTCCATATTATCATCGATTAAGAAACCGTCAGGGACACGACTTTGAGGTAATTTACGCTTTTGGTTCTGTTGAACTTGCTTTTGTTCCTTGATATTTGTATTTTTGATCAAGTCAAAGTTAACCAAAGGCTTTCTTTCTTCTTGCTCTTTAACTCGACGTTGTCTATTCTTTGGTTGCTTAATCTTAGGCTCTTGTTTGTTGACATCATTCTTTGTTGCCTTACCTTTGCGCTTAACCTCATGATTTTCTTCATCCGTGTCAAAGTGCTTTGGTTTCGATTCATATTTATTAAATTTCGTTGTTCTACTTTTTAATGTCGTTCGAGTGATTACTTCAACAGGCTGGAGATAATAGTTTCTGTTATTATCTTGACCATCCTTGTTTTTAATTGTCTTAGCTCCTTCAGTATCTTTCTTCTTTTGTTGTGCCTTGAAATCGCGATAAGCTGGTAGTTTTCCTTCATCCTCCATATTATCTTCGTCGTAAATATCAGATAATCGTTCGTTAGCTTTCTTAGCGCTTTGACGTTTTGTTCGAGGTTTAGCCTGCGATTGTTTAGATTGAGCAGGTGCTTTCTTTGGTACTGTATTTTCATTTTTAAAGACTAAATCATTAAAAACTTTCTCGTTTTCCATTCGTGGTTTAACTTGAATAGTCTTTAATTTCTCTATTTTAGGGATTTTTACTTCTTCGAGTAAGTTCTGGGTCTCAATTTCCTGATTGAATTGAGTTTTTGTCTCGTTCATAGTATTTAAATCGTTCAACATAGAAGCACTAGTTTGGAAAGTCATTATCGACATCTTATCAACACCAGAGGCATGATCACTCATCATTCGTTCATTTTGCTTAAACTTTTCAAAAAATGAATCTGTGAATTTATTCAATGTAGCTTCTTCATCAATAAGTCGAAGTGATATCTTCTTAAGTTCATCCAAGCTTTCGCGATTCATATCTACATTGAAGGTAGCTGCTTGGCTAACATCAATAGCGACATCAACAAAATGTCTGCCTTTATAAACTTTGCTGGTCGAAACGATTGATTTGCATTCGAATTCAATGAAAACCAAAAAGTCATTTTCCTGCGTAGCATTTTCTTGACTCGAGAACAAACTATTTTGAATGAAGAACGAGACTGTCAAATTTCGACCATTGAAATTAATTAGCATGTTTTCTTTTTGTTTTATTGGATGTCCATTCATTTTTGTCATTCGTCCTTCAACTGAGAGAATGCATGTCTTTGGAAATAGATTGTTGTTGTAGAATCTAAGAAACTTGTGAGAAGTCTGTGGAAAGAATAATTGGGTTTAATTTTATTTAACCATCATAATAGAATTCTGACTTACATTCTCAAAATCGTTGGAATTAATCTTGTTGAGTTTTTCAATAACAAGCTTCACAGCTTCATCTTTGGCATTACGCATCAAATGATGTTTTGAGATTGTATCACTAAGCAAATTCTTCAAGTCTTTGGTGATAAAGATGAAAATTTCAAGAACTCTTAATTGAGTAAAGTAAGTTTGAACCAAATAAATCTTTTGAAAGATTAATTCCAAAGTTTTTGCATATTTCGTGACAATAACTTTCAAAGTTGATTGCGGTATGATTTCGAGAGTTTCCTTAAGAACAACACAAGTACTTCGTATAACGTCTTCTTCCTTTCGACGAATCAACATTGTTGTGCAGATTCCAACTATACGATTTACTGCTGCCACATCAAACTCCATTGATTCATTCTTAAGAGCAGACTAACATTTTAATGATTAATAAATCTCGTTTATAGCTTTTACATGTCATAGACTTACCAAGAAGCATCTGCACAAACTCAGGACATCATTGACGCACTCAGGCAGATACTTAATGTAATGTGCGAAAAATTGAATGCAACTTTTCAAGACTTTGACTTGCTCATCCTATTGAAAAAATGTCAATCAATTAATAACAGTTATTTTTCGAATTAAAAATGTATGATACATACATTAACAGATTCTGGAAGTATTGCTCGAATCTTTTCGCAGTACTTTGCAGCCAATAAATGGATTTGAGGATCATCCTTGGAAGTTTTTTGTTCAGTCTGCATGGTTTTCAATTAAAATTACTATAAAATAGTAGAAATTCAATGGTTTTTGACTGTACTCCATATTATTGATGCTTCTTATTTACTTACCAGCTAATTTAACTTATTTTTCAACTAATTTTCCTTTCAAATCACCAATTATTTAATAATTTTCCGATTTTCACTTCTTCACTCAACAAACCAACGACATCATTGACATTATTAGAAAAAATGCAATTTTTTTGATTTTTCTTAAAATAAAGCCTAATCATATGATATATTGTCATTTTCTTCATCAGAAAACATTGAAATATAATGCAAGATTATCAAATATTAAGAATAATAAAGGTAAATGCAATAATAATACAATTTTTTTTAAAAAGAAAATGTAGTTTTATCACGGATTTGTTTTCAAAAAATAGTCGTTAAAATTTCATTAATTTCATTCAAATAAAAATTAGGAAACTAAGGAAAATGTGTAGTGGTTGAGGCGAGAGCTCGCTGTACTGCGATGCTGGGTTATAAGTCCAGAAACTATAAGACCAGAGATTATAAGTCCAGAAAATCAAAGTCAATAAAGGTTTATAAGTCCAGATACAAATTGCACCTGGACTTAAAAACCAAACCTGTAGTTTATAAGTCTCTGTACCTTTTACAAAGAGATTGAATAGAAAACAAGGTACAGTAGCGTGGAAAAGTTTTCTCACAGAATGCAAAAAACTGATTTTTCAATCTAAACAAAACCAATAGATTCACACGTGAATACGGTATGAATATAAAAATTTGAAATAATTTTCAAGGACTATAAGTACAGAAAAATGTATCTGGATTTATAATCGCACTGGGAGATTATAAGTAAAATTTGTAAATTTTCTGGAATTATAAACAACACGTGAAGTTTATAAGTCCAGATATAAAATGTACCTGGACTTAAAAACCTCTCGTGCAGTTTATAATTCCAGCTGTATCTGTACCTGGACTTATAAACTGCACGTGAGGTTTTTAAGTCCAGGTGCAATTTGTATCTGGACTTATAAACCTTTATTGACTTTTATTTTTTGGACTTATAATTTTCTGTGTACGATTTTTGTACCTGGACTTATAATCTCTGGACTTATAACCCAGCATCCTGTACAGGGCTATTAGGCTAGCGTCCTGTGGATCATGGTTTGGTTGGAATCAATCTTTCAGTCACTGTTCTCTATCAGGATTTCTGAATAAGAACCCTGCTTATTGGATAGAGCCCGATAGGATCTCAGGAGTATATGAATTCTCAAAAACATTTGAGATCATCATCAACAATCGAGAGGTAGTGTACGACTTTGACAGTCTAAAAGCTGATTCAGTTATCTGGTTTACAGATGGTGCGAAAAACAGCGAAGGTGTAGGAGCTGGTGTTTATTGCACCAACTCTCAAGTAGAACTTAATTTCAGCATCACAGAACATTCAACTGTCTTCCAAGCAGAACTTCTTGCCATCAAAAAATGTGCAGAAATCTGTTTGGAAGAAAAATTAACACAGGAAAACATTATCATAGCTTCTGACAGTCAAGCAGCTTTAAAATCACTTGGAGTTTGTAAAGTCAGGAGCAAAACAGTATTAGAATGCATTCAAGCACTCAATCAACTAGCAACAACGAACAGGGTAAAGCTTGTTTGGATTTGGAAACGGGATGTCAATCAATGGCTCCTGCTTAAACATAAACAGCACTTTACAGCAAAGGATGGCATGAGGACATCAAAAGCTTTCTTGTCAGTCAATGAGAAGAAATCTTTTGAATTACTCAATCTTCCTAGGAATGACTTAAGGTTATTTCTAGGTATTCTTACAGGACATTGTCGACTCAACAAGTATCTGTGCGATATTGGAATTAGAAATGACCCAATATGTAGACTATGCAAAGACAAAACTGAAACTTCAATACATATTTTTTGCGAATGCAAAGCACTAGCAGGACACAGAAGAAAACTTCTAGGTTCTGATCTGGTAGAAACAACAACAATTAAAAAGACTAAGTATTCAATTTTATTGAATTTCTTGAAAAGCTCCTGTATACCGGAGCTAATTAATAATATCTAACAATATCTAAGTTCATTCACAGGGAACGGTACAATAGATTCTATCATCGATCAGGATCGCAGTGCCTTCCTATTATTAAGGAAAATGTGTCACATGCCAAGAGTACTGGATTTATATTCAAATATAGTCTACGATTGAATATAAAGCATACATTGTGCTGTGCTGTTCAGTAGAAAAGAGAAAAAAATTCTAAAAAGTAATCTCGAAGGAAAAAAAATTATTTAAAAAGGACTAATCATGTAATTTTAGTTTAATCTTTAATAGTTATCATATCTTTAAGTGGTCGGTAAGTCAATTGATCATTAATTCATCATAAAACATAAGAGTGTCCTTGCTGTAATCGCGAAAATTTGATGAAAAGTTAAGATAATAAATTTTTCAAAAAATTCCAAATTATTAATTGTATTATGGTCTTTAAAAGCCATGAACAACACGATATAACTTAATTTTTCAAGTCTAATTTAATAATCATGTTTGAGATAACCAGATATTATGAGTTCCTGAGTGAGAGAAAATTTTATCGATCGAAAAAATGAAAATTATATCAGAAGTTGCTAATGTTGGGCATTAAGAACAAATCATTTTAATTTCAAATAATCCCTTTCTCTCGTCCCTCTTTCGAATGACCAATAATGTTTCGGACATTTAAGCTATTAAACTCATCTCTCGGTACTCAATTTTAGTGTAAAATATATAAAAAGGTGTTGAAAATGTCATCAAATGAGCATAAGCATCATTCGAATGGACCTTCGACGTCTGCAACCAACTTGAATGGATCACTTCATTCGTGTGAGATTTGTGGCGAATCAGGCTTTACAGACGAGAAAATCTTGGAACATACACAGAAATGTCACGTAGAAGGTCATGGGCAGTGTCCATTTTGTGGCTTAACAGGAGGATCGTCAACTGAATTACTTTTGCATGTAAATCAGGCTCATTTAGACTATTTGACTCCCGAAAATGAGTTAATGTCATTTATTGATGATTCCAAGACTCCAAGTTGCGATTCAGACTCAATGTCTTGTGGATTATCACCTTCAATCACGGAAATTCCAGCAGGTCTTGATAATGTTGCCGTCGTTACGAATGGATCGACAAATAATTTAAGCAATGGAACGATAAGCAAAAATGATTACAAATCGGCAGCTAAGACATCAAATTGTACAGGCACGAATACAAAAATTTTAATTAATAATCGATGCGATCCAGAAATGATCAATTGTAATAATAATGTAATGGATGATAATAATAATAGTTCCAATAATAATAACTGTGATAATAATGGCGAAAATGGAATTGAAAATCACGGAGAAGGTTCGCCACTAAGAAGTCAATTGGGATTGAAACTTAAAGCAAATAAACCCAAAATTACCATACCAACTATTCCATCTCCACTAGTCTGCTTAATGTGTCCATACACAACAAATGAACCGACAATTTTAGAAGAACACATCAATCGATCTCATTTTGATCCAATGAGTCCTGGTGTCATTAATAATTCTAGTAACGGTGGACATACAGCACATGGAACATCAAATCATGTCGATACGCTTGATAGCTTTTCATGTCCAATTTGTGTAAGATGCTTCGAAAATGGAAATGCTTTAGAATTGCACGTTAATCATGAACATAGTGATATTCTATCGCCAGCAAAAGTCGATTCAGCAGCTGCAAGCGGCGGAATTTCTACATTAACTGTAACGGAACAGGATGAGGCTGGATGTAATCATTGTCCTGTTTGTGGCATGTCTTTTGAAAATATGAAAACGCAACAAATGGAATTGCATATTGAAGCTCATTTTGCTAAATCACCAACTTCCGTGACATCAAACATTTCTCCGGATTTAGAGAAAGAAGCTAGAAAGGCACAAGAGCAACGAGAATTTGAAATGCTTCGTGCTCAATATGGTATGGATGATCAAGGGAATTTTCGAGAGCAGTCAGCTGTTGCAATGCAACGTGCTGTTTATGCTGGAGAGATGTCTGTATCAGATTACTATTGTCGACAAGTAGGCCTTCGAGCAGCTGAATCAAATGGCGTTGATGATGGATCGTCATGTACAAAATCAGTAGCACCGCGAGTTTCTAATCTATCAGCTTCCTCATTGGGAGTTTTACGAAGTTTTGTGTGTTCAAATGTCGATCATTATGCAGCCAGCTATGGTAATTAATTCTATTAATCGACGTAAGGGTAGAATCTTATTAACATGAGTTATTATTTCCAGGTGATCGTGGCTGGGGTTGCGGTTATCGAAATGCACAAATGATAATATCATCACTTTATCAAAATCCAATTTATAGTGAATTATTAAGGAGTGCTATCGGATCAAATTCAATGCCGAGTATTTCGAGACTTCAAAAAATGGTAGAACAAGCGTGGTCAGATGGATTTGATGTACAAGGCAAGGAACAGCTTGGATGTAAATTATTTGAAACTAGAAAATGGATAGGAGCTACAGAAATCGTCACACTCTTTTCATGGATGAGAATCGAGTGTCAACTTGTTGATTTTCATCGTCCAACAGCTTTAAATGGATGTCACCCAGAATTGTTCAATTATGTTCTTCGCTATTTCGAGCAGCCAAGATCACATACGCCGCCTTTATATCTTCAGCATCAAGGTCATTCGCGTACTATTGTTGGCATCGAGCAGAAATCTAGCGGACTTACATTGCTTATCTTAGATCCTAGTCATAGGTGAGTTGCGAATTACTTATGGCTTACTTGTTTTACATGATTATGTTTACAGCCCAAAGCAAGTTGCATCATTAGGAACATCTCAAGATTCTTTAAGACTTATTAGAAGAGGACAAAGTGCGATGAAAGCTCCTCAATATCAAATTGTCTCGGTAGTTGGAAAAATTGTGACTGAGGAAGAATATCAGGCAAGTGTCTGGTGATGTTATTTATTACTTATCTGTGCTAATCAATTTTGTTCTTTTAATTCCAGGCAAGCAAGATAATTCGATCGTTACGAATTCCTCCAGATCGTTGATTCACATTTTGTTTTTTAACTATCGGAATATTAATTTAAATATTGTTAAATTAAGTTCACGGTTCACACAAGAAAAATTTGACAATTAGGAACTAAAGAATTTTCCCTTTATCTTCTTGTTTCTATTGATGAAGTTATTTTTGTTAAGTTATTTTTTTTTTGTTGCTAAACGATACAGGTTTTTGTAATTTTTAATGCTAGACCTATAAAAGAAATTAAAACTATATTAATGATTAAGTGCACCAAGAGTAAATGAACATTTAATTACCTAGATAATGAATCTTCATTAGACTTTTAAGAGATATAAAAAAATTTACTTGAAAAGTTACGGGTTGTAAAGAATAATCTTCAATGAAAGTTGCAGACATAAATAATAATAGTAATAATATTAGTAATACATAAAGAATCCCTCTACAGCAATAAAAAGTCCGTCACTGCATAGAGATGATACAAATTGTATTCAAAATTACATAACAATCACTACCCAGCATGTATTAAACGTGATGGAACAATATGAACTTGATTATGTTCATTAATTACCTAAATTTTAGCTTTCATGATTAAGATATGAAACTGAGACTTCATTTTTGTGATTTATCTTAAAGTATTTTATTATATAGCCGAAATTTATCGATGACAAAGAAGAACAAAACAATTAATAGAATAGACACAACAATGATAATTTGGATTTTTTTAATTGATAAAATTTTTATGAGCATGTAAAAAACACAAAACACAAGCAAAAAATGCTTTTTATGGCCGCAGCATAAACTAAAATCTCAATTAAAAGTTTTTATTCATTAAGGAAAGGAATCACTAGGAAATATTTAAGATATCATTCGTTAAAATTCTCAATACGCTTCTTAAAAGTCACCCCTTTCGTTTGACAAATTAAAAAGTCTCCGGGTTGCTTGGCAATCAGGTTTATCAGAGGTCGAAGTCGATGAAGTGAAGTGAAGTAAAGTGAACTCAAGTCAACTCGTGTTCACTTCGGGGAAAAAAAAATTGTTCGATACACAAACTCATTTCTGCTAGCTCTTGTGAAGTATGTAATCTCATACAAATTGCCGAGTGAAGTGAAGTGATTTGAGTAGAATACACAGCCGTCATTTTCATTTTGAATTAAAATTTTTGAACTCCATTAGAGTTCAAAAATTTAAAATTTTGGAATCTGTTAAAATTCAAGTTTTCAAAAATCCGTAGGAAAATCATTTGGTTTTAAAATAGCAAATATCAAGCAGCCCTGAATGAAAGTGGATATAAATGGATCATCTCACAATTATTTTTGCTCCTAGCACTCGAAAAAAGACTTTTTAACTTGATGTTTAGGTAGATAGAAACATTTTTGAAAAATTTCTCCCAAAAAATTGTTTTTAATTTTAATAAATTTGAAAAAAAAACCAAAAATCTCGTGTAACGCGCGAAAGCTAAAAACTACAAGGAATGGAATTAAAGAATATGAAAGAAAAATCGTGCCTGTTTAAGATACCACATTTAAATTAAAGCAATTGCTGACAAACTACTTTTGGAAATGATTCTGAGGAAAAAAATCATAAAAAAGTAAAAAAATATTTTCAAATCAATTATTTTTCTAAAAATTCACAAAGTATGATAAATCCATTAATCTGTGTTTGAATCATAGGCTATGCAGTCCTTAATTTTATGATATAAAAATGACATGTTGCTGCATTTATTATAGATATCCAGGCACTCTAATTAATTACAGATGATAAATGACAAAAAATATGCAATGACTATGATATTAATGAAGAAACTCCAAAAAAAATTCTCAATTATCGCTTCTTTTAAGGCTTTTTTTATTTTGAAAGATCACACCTGAAATGCAAAAAAGTAAAAGAATAAAAAGTTCAAAATATTATAAAATAAAATTAAGGTCTTTTACAGTCACGTGTGCAACACAATTTTAACGGTTAAAATTTGAAAGTTTCAGGAAAAAATAAATCTGCTAAAGTTTCTCATCATTTTTCTCGGTCAATCGTTAATAAATTAAAGATTTTATCGAATCAGTGGATGCAAATCATCATTTTGCATAGCTTTTTGTAATTCACATTTACATGAATTTTATTTTTGTAGAAATACAACAACAGTCGTTTAAAATTTGAATTTCAGTCTACGTAAAAACTTTACGTACGCATTTACGTAAGGAATTCTCTTTAAGTTGATGCTTTCAATAATAAAAACTTTTTTCATTAAAATTTATTAATTCACATACAAATCGAAATGATTGACAGACTTAAAACGTGTCGCTGTTGTCTACAAGTGCTAAAGAATGAAGAGGATTTGTATGAGTTTAGCTCAGAAGTCGCAATCGACGCAGATTCGACAAATTTTATTAAAATTAATACTTGTTATTTGGAAGTGACTAATTTCAACATTTCGGCTGAAGATGAAGACATAACAAAGATCTGCTCTTCATGTCTAGGTGATCTAAAGTTTTGCTATTTGTTTAAGAAGAAATGTGTGGATGTAGCAAAGGCTTTTGATCAAGACGAAGATGATAACAAAGATATTGGTAAGTTTTGCAAATTGTTTTGGGATCGAGGCAATTGTTGAACGAGATCCAGGCTGCAAATTTCATGTTAATAAAGTCCATAAGTCGAAATCTCATGATCACGAGCTTTTAAATGAAAGTTGTGCTACATTAATCAAACATTTTTGCATTTATAGAACCGGAGAATGTTGAACAGTTTTGCCTTATCGATGACGGATCAAACGAGTTGAAGGTTGAATCACAAATCGAAGATCCATGCTATATCGAGTATGTAGAAGAAGAAATGATTTGCGAAAATCCACAGGATGATGACGAAGAAACTGACGATGGAAGTGACTATAAGTTCAATACAAAATATGATCCAGTGAATATGACTAAACGAGTCAAACTGGAAAGTATTGAACATGAAGGCATAATTTACAGTTGTGATCTTTGTCCAAAAACTTTTGATCGAAAAGATTACTATCGAAGACATTACAGGCGAGCCCATTTGACAAATATTATCGAGGAAAAGGCTGATCAGTTAACAATTGAAGGAAAAGTCTCTGATATTAATCAAATGCAGCTGTATCAGTGTGGCTGTGGAAAAATTAATGTTACTAGAGAGGAATTTGAAGCACATCAAGCAGAACATGAAGGAGAAGCTCGATTTAAATGTAAAAAGTGTGATCAGACATTTAGTTCCAAAGAAGATGCTCGAAAACATTTAAATACAGCACATTCTAATGATGATAAGCCGTTTAATTGTGAACTTTGTCAAAAATGCTTTAAAAATCGCTATCAATTGATTCTTCATAATCGATCGCATACTGGCGAAAAGCCACACGTCTGTCAAATATGCAATAGAGGTTTTAGCATGTCCAGCAATCTTCAAAAACATCTCGACACTCACAGTACTGAAAAACCTTACCAATGTGTAAGTTTCTTTATATACTTTAATTAACACTTTTTTTGTTGATGAGAAATTTAATCCTTTAGAGCTACTGCGGACAATACTTTAAAACTCAACGATCACTGAAATTCCATACAGTCTGTTATCATCAGCCTGAAGCGAAAGTCAAATGCACTCATTGTGATAAAAGCTTCGTCAATAAGTCCTATCTGAAGATGCATATGCTGTATCATACTGGTAAGGCTGTCTTTCTTATTTATTATGCAAAAACATTATTTATTTTGAATTTTAGGCGAGAAAAACTTTACCTGCACAATCTGTAATAGTAAATATTACAAGTCATCACATCTAAAACGGCACATACAAAATGTTCATGTAAGTCACATTTTAATGGTTTTTTGAAATTTAAAATTTACAAAAACAAATAATTTGAATTTAAAATATACGTTATAAAATCAATGTTCGTTTACAGTTCAAGTTGCGTTTGATGAAGTGCGACTACTGTGCTTCCGATTTTGTTAGGAAGGAGACGTACAAGGCTCATATCATTAGCCATCATAAGCGTCACTTATCCGATCAAGAATTTGAGGAAGTACTTGAGAAAATTCGAAAGTTCCAACCACCAGCACTTGATATCAATCAATTTACTGTTGAAAAGCAAATGTCTGCTCAAGGAATTATATTAGCAAAGGTTGAAGAAGGCGAAATCGATGTAGAAGAGATGATCGAAGAACAAATCGATGATGGTATGGATAAGGACGAAGGCATGATAATTGAATCTACTGATGATTATCACGAACTTTTTGACGAAGACGACGAGGAGGGTATAGAACAATAAATAAGTATAGGCTTATTAACTGCTATAAACGGATAAATAAATGAACTAATCTGTAAAAAAAATGAGAAATAAAGCACACCAAAGGATTAAAATTTGTGTATTTGAAAATTATTTCCAACTATGTCCATGGGTTTCAATTAACTTTTGGGTTGTGACTTTATTAACTTTGTCTAGTTTCTTGTTTTAGATTTTCTTTAAGATTATTAAAAAAAAAAAAGAATTAAAATATTTCACATTTTGTTAAAATTAAACTATATGTACAATTACGTGTCATTATTCTTAATTAAAATTAAATTGCTCCGTTGAAAAATCGGAACTAAATCTCCATTTTCGTTAATTTCTCATATTTCTCGCATCCAAAAAATGCAAAAATGTTAATTCTTAAACAGAACAACGAGGTTTAGACAGCTTAACTTTATCGATAGCGCAATCTAGCGCTTCTTTAATCTCACTAAATACAGGTATGTTTTGACGCTCAGCTAAGTCTCTCAAATATGCACGGCCACGATTGTAATCTTTAATTGCTGTAGACGTTAGCTGTATGTCAATTGCAAATGAAAAAAAAAGAAAAGAAGACATGAAAATAAGTTAAATTGGCAATAGTGATGTCATTTATCCAGACATTAAGGCTACTATAAATATTTTTAAATAATGTTTGTATCCCTTACCTTATCACTTCCAATGGTGCAATTTTCAGGCAGCATTTGTACACAAAGTACAACATTATAAGCCAATCCAATGTAGTGAGCAGCTAATGTCATTGGAGCTAAACTTCTCGTCTCATTCGTAATTACAAAGAGTAGAACTCGACTAGAATCGAGTATACGTGGATTGAACATTGGTGACTCCTCACAAGCGCCAATTTCTTCCAACTTATAGCCTCCATTTGTATTCTTTTTCACCCTTTTTGGATCTTTCATAATTAAGTTATCGTGAATTGTTGGAAGGAAGAAGGAAATGTTTTTTGACTTTAAATATGGAATTGCAATTTCTCGTCGCCACTTTGATCGTAGCATACAGCTACCGCCCAAATAAATGTCCTTAACTTCATGCATCAGATCCTCGTCAAGAGAACTGCTCGTACTAAAGACTGAATCATTTGAATCACTGTCAATGTCATTAAACTCGTCTTCAATTTGAGTTCTTGTTGAATCCGTTCGTCGATAAGTACACGTCATTTTTGTGTTTAGAGAACTCCCACTGCAACCATTCAACAATCTATTATTTTCATTGGGCTGTGGTGATGACGTTCCACTGTCACGACTACTGTCACTTCTCGGACCATTTGAATTGGACATCATTAAGACAGTTTCACTTCTGCTAGCTTCAATTGTAAAGCTTTTATTTGACATCGAGTGACGTTGCTGATGATTTTGTTGTTGCGGACAGATCCCAACTATTGTATTATTCTCGTCTGTTTGCGAGCACTGTTTACTGTAGTGATTCAAAACCTCTATAAAAGGAAAAAAAAAATAAATATTTAGTTGTTGATGCTTATTATTATCATAATCATCTATTATAGCGCGCATATCTAATTTAAATAGCTATAAAATACGTTTACGAAAAGGCGACAAAACACATTAAGAATCACGATGTTATCAGACATGCTTGAAATTATAAACACCTAGTTTTGAGTCTGAGAAAGAACTTACCTGGAGTATTTGTAAGATAGATAGGCGGTGGTGGTAAATTAGTCCCTTTAATTGGCGATACACAAGTATTCTCTTCTATCTCTTGTTGTAATACAGATAAATATGAGGAAATTACACAGAATTCTTCAAATGTGATGTTGTGTGTCTCTGAATTATTACTTTCCAATATCTCAGACGATGAATGCGATAAAAATGATGATGATGATTCAGTTGAGCTTAATTGTGTTGATTCGTTACGATTATTTAGCGCATCTCGTACCAGGCTTAAAATACGTTTTAAATTCTCACTTGATACGAGATCTCGACGGTAGCCAAGCGATAATAATTGTTGATTGCATTGTTTTAATGTAAGACCACTTTCGTTATTTGTTACTACTCTATCGAATGATCGACGGACGGAACTAGATTAAAATTAAATTGTAAGTAATTATGATTAATTTGCTCAACTTTATAATACTTACAGCAACCGAGAACCCAACGATTTTGGAATATTGTAAGGTCCTTCGCCACCTAAAACATCTTTTATCACTTGTAAGCCTTTAAGGATATTGTCATGTACTCTAATTCCACGACGTGTTACTAATTGCCTCAGTAATCTTTGATTCCGAGAAAGATCAAGGAATTCTCTGAAATATGATGAAATATCACATTATGAGCAATTACAAAAAGTTTTTGCATATCTCGAATTACTCACTCTTCGGATATAGGTTCATTAAAAATTTTCTGATTCCTCTTGTATGGATGTAAAACTAGAATTAAAGGTTTCTGATTTTGACCGGAAAGATGAGCTACTTCTATTGCCCCTGCAGATGCTCGTGTCTCTGAATCAATTACAAAGAATAGAATGCGAGCCTTTTGTTTCGCTCGATGCTCCATTTGCATTAGCTCTGGTGTCCACTGTGATACTTGCTGCTTAATATAAAATTTTGTTAATTAATTGCGTACACAATTGACTTTAAAGTTTAAACGATTTAAAAAATATTTGAATTTGAGTACGTTTTCTAGCGGAGGAAATCATATATATAATAGTCGTTGACTAGCCTAGATCTTTGCAGGTATCATCAAAAGGAACTTACCGGGTTAAAGAATGAAATATCAAGTTTTTCTAGTTCTGGTATAGCCACATCTGCTCTCCATGTTGTTGGATTACAAGAACCACCCAAAAATACTTCTGGTGCTTCAACTTTTGACTCTTCAGTATTTTCTTTCGTCGTAGGTAAGCGCTGTGGCTGTTGATCGGTAAATATTTGTTTCTTGACCCGTAATGAACTTTTCGGCGATAATGAGGTGATTTGGAATGGATGATTTCCATTGTGATTGTTTTTTGGACTAAATAAATAAATTAAAAACTGTTCAGTTATTTCCATAAACTCAGGTCAATTATTTAATTTACCTAAATTTCCGATAATCTGCAGCTAACACAGCAAACTCCCCAAACGATAATCCTTTGCAAAATCTTGCATTTGTTGTGTAGAGTTTTGCATTACGTAGCATGTCATTGACTATAAATGAGATCATAAATGCAAATAAGTAAAATTATTAAATTAAATTAAATTGTTTAGCTGATGATTTAATGAAAATGTTTACTTTGTGGACCGTACTTAAATGACGTCCCTAAAAGTGATATTTCCAGACTCTATCGCAAAAATTTTTTTTATCATATTTGAATACATTTTTAAAGAATTGACGCAAATACTTTTTTACCCCAAAACGTGAGCATCATTTGTGGATATCCCGTTTATTCATTTTGCGGAAGATATTTAATTGAATTGAGTAAGGAATAAAAAGTAGCAATCAAGTTGAAAGAATACAAACAGTTTTATTATTCAATCAACTCTTGTAATTTTCCAGGCATTCGTAATTAGCTGTATGTTATGAATCGCTGTATTTTTTGACATTCATATGGATATTAAAAATTTCAAATGAATTTTAACAATCATCGGAAATAGTTTATTGATGGATGGACATTTAAATTGTATGATTGACAATGCAGGGAATTGATCTAGGTGCTGGTTTCTTGACTATAGCCTTACTCGAGTATTTTGTTACGATATTTACGAGATTCCAGTTGTTATTTGAATATAGAACGCAAATATGTAACTTTAAGACCCCCTTGAATTAAAATATAACTTACAAATGTTAAACAGCATCCTTATTACTATACAAATTCACTAATCAGTAGACCGACTAAAAATGATTGAATTTCAAACTAAACGTTTATACCTAATTCACATTTACTACGTATGTTGAGCTATCACGCAAATTTTCCCTCCTAGGATATTCCAGAAAATTCCAAAAACTTTAAATCTCCTACTCGAGTTTTCTAAATGATCTGTGAACGTTGCTTAAAACAACAGAATATCCATAAACTTTTCCGCAAGATGATTATAGACTAATAAGATGTAATTTATGGCAGTAAAAGTAAAACTCACTTTGTTCGTCGGTCGGCTTAAGGTTCAATTGGTAAAAAAGATCATGAGCTGATGACGATGAATTCCATACAGATGATGCCTCCCTGAAAGTAAATGGGAAGAAGAAAAATACCAATTAATTAACAGTTAATTAATAATTTTTTTAAATTGTTGTAATTGCGCATTTCAATTCGTCTATCGCATCATGGGAAGGCATGAATTGAAATAAATTATCATATGAAGCAATTAAATAAAATGATAAATTGACAAGATGAAATGTACAAGTAAGTTAAAGAGATTCTCAATTGGAATCAATTAAAAAATTATTTAATTAAAAATCTCTTTAAATCAAGTGCTGCAAAGTGAATTTTAACGTCATTGTAATTGCAATGCATCAACATCTGTGAATCATAATGCATGCAACAACGTGAGCAATACGCAAGCCTCAGGAGTAGCAACAAATGTGATCACTCGTGATCGACAATCGCGTCATTTTTCCTGCATTGAAAAGAAAATGTTGAATATGAGCAATAAATTAATTTGAAGATCAGTAAATATATGAAAAATAACGGTTAATTGGAGTTTGAATTAGCTGAATCAATTCAAATAAATTGAATCGGTTTTAAAATAAATGGAAAATTCCAATGAAGATCCCAAAACCAATCATTGAAGAAGGTTTCATCCAAATTTGAGAGTTAAATCAAAATCTACAAATCTTCTGCGACAATAGCGAAAACGCACTCAAAGCTATTTAACTTTATTAGAAATAATAAAAAAAAGATCTTTCTGGTGTTTTACGACCTCGATTAGGCTAGACATATTGTATGCATACATTTTAATTGAGAGCAGGATGATGTGAGGGTGAAATCAGCATTCAAAATAAATTTTTCAAGATTGCAAAATTCGAGATTTCTTTTGTAAATAAAGGCAAGTGAAGGCGATGATCATGATGATGATCGATTCTATTTCATGGTCAATTTCATTCTTGCGTAAATAAAAGCTTGCATGATAAATTTGTGTAATAAAATGCATAGGGTTATTAATAATTGATGATGTTTTGTAGCCGCAAATAAATATAAATCAGAGAACCTTGATAAAGTTCGGTGCTCTTTGCTACACAACAAAGCCCGCAATTTAAATCCATTGATATGAAATCATTTGCTTACATTTAGCATTTGTAATGTATACTTCCAGTACACATTTCAATGTCGTCATCGCTAACGATTGATCGGTCAGTTATTATAAATATTTGGCCTTGTTTTTTAAAAAAAAGGCGAAAATGAATGCTTTTCAATAATTTTGTGCATAAAATGAGTTCATTTGTGGGATTTATTTGAAGAAGGTGGTACAGAACTTACTGTGTGGGAGATAGAAATTTGCTTCATATATTTTTTAAGAAAAACTCTAAAGTCTCAATGATTGACATGTTAATTAAATTATTAGCTTTTCTCTCACTTCTTAGTCACATAATTTCCACCTTTATGGAATGAGAATCTTTAGTCATCTTACAATTCCACTGAACATTTCGCGTATTGAGTAGCTGACACATGTGACATATTCAGTAAATTATTCTCCAATGAAAATTATATTTATTCGTAACATGATGTCATTTCCAGTCAGTTGTTTGTTTGATCATTTGTAAACATCTGTCTACATTCTAAATAAATTTCAATTATTTTTTTTCTGGCTTGCATATATGAGAAGTAAATGTGCTGTGTATTTGTACGATAGCATTTACGTTTTACAAACGTATCGCACTTTGTATTGCTGACGACATGGCTATTCTGGATTGTACTACAAATTGAATTTAAATATTATTTGCAGGATCAGCAATAGGATAGATCTTATTCGAAACTAGGTAACTTGATTAGGATAAAACTAGCAGTCTACAGGACATGTAAACTATCAAGAAATTTCCTAAACAAAAAAATAGATCATTACTTTATTGTTAGAACAGCCGTTCCACCTATTTTCAATAAATTAAGTAAAATGTTTGAATCTCCAAATATTTGTGTAGGAAGAATCAATTTCAAGATCTTTATTAGGCAAATATAAATTATAATTTTAAGTATTCTTATTTAACGGTTCCTAACGTTATAAAATGTTCAAGCAAAGGTGAATATTTTTGGTTCCATTGCTACTTAAAGTTCAGTCTATGCTTTGATCTTTTATTTCTAAAAATATAATATATTTAAGTTTGAGGGACTCGAATGAAGTAATTTAAATTGGCACATCAACACTTGTGATGTTAAGATCTTCTCTGTTGCTTATTAAGATAGAGAGGCACTTTTATGCTTAATTTGGCTATTAAGAGACAGATGACTTTGAAAATTAATAAATAAAAATTTGTTAACTGTTGGTTGGATTACAAGGGAACTTGCTGATGTCATTAGAAGTCCTATAGGACAGCAAAATTCTGAATGATCATATAAAGAAGTTTAGAGGATTTTCAAATAAAAATTGCAGAAGTCTGTTTGAATATAAAAGCTAAAGTTAAAGCTCGACGATGATCGAATGAAATCAAGTCATCAAAAGTATGATTTCAGAGACCGATTCTTTGACCTTAAAGAAAAGTTATTTCAGAAATTAGGAAAAAATATATTCTTTGTTCACAGAATTGACATTGAATTTATTGTACACAAACTATTTTAAGTCTGAATGCATCGCTATTTACGATTGTGTTATTGAATTTTCCTACTTGTTTACTTTCTACATGTGATGCGGTGTGGAATATTTTTATTATATGCTTTTTATCACTTCATTCGTAATTTACGACAGCAATATTAATCATTTTTCTATGAAGTAAACTTCTTATTATTATTGTCATTATAATTTCGTGTAGCTACAGGCTAATTCTATAGATTCGTATATTTTCCACGAAAAATAATTGAACGTATACATTCACAGTCAAATAACTATGATTTCATCGAAGAAGCACTTTATGATCACAATCAATAATCAGCTATTATTCATTACTATTCGACCACCCAGCAAATAAAGACTTTTTAAGCAATCCAAACAAAATGTAAAGATTCTGTTTAAATTGGCCATTCTTGACAAAATGAATATGGAATTTAAATTGAGCAGAAAACATGTTTCACATATTAAGATAAAAGATTTAAAGATTACTTAATCATCAATAATATTTGCACATCAAACAAAACGCTGCTGTGACACTTAATCCCATATTTTATGGTGATTCGAGATGAGAACGAACAAAAAAAAATGAATATTATTTAAATGTGCTAGACATTTTCGTCATGCTATGTTTTCAGAATATCCAAAGCATTTCTATTTTTGACTTAATTCCTTTAAGAATCTCGTATGATCTCAACTAATAGTATACTATGAAGAAAAGAAGAAAATTTATAGTATGGCAATTACGTAGGTGTTAGGATTTCATTATTTTCTGTGAAAAGATCATCAATTTCTAGTGAAAGGTTTTTCTTACAAACAATCAAGCAGCAGCAGCCTCGTACTTTATTATTTGATCTGCGCGAATGAGAGCCGAGAGTAGAAAAAAATGAGAAATAAATTTGAATTTAACCACTGAGGTGAAAAAAAGAGTAACTAAGCAATTCCAGACGCCTATCCTCAGGTAATGAAAGTGCTATTAAAGTCTTCTTCATCTCAGCAATTCAATTGAAATCACATAAAATAAATTAGATTGAGAATGTAAACATTATTCGACCCCGGTCTCGATAAAAACGGACCATTATATTTGTATACATCTCTTTTATATCTCAAACAAACTTCCTTCTTCTTCTATCGCTTTCGTACACGCTTTTTACGCTTTCAATGCACTGTAGTCACATGTTGAATACATAGTATAAGAATTGAGCGCGCGAGAACACAAAGAGAGAGAGAATCGCGAAATCGTTGTATGAGAGAATCAATCCGATGAGCTCATACAGCTAAGAATAAAGCATACATGAACACACAGCAGTTGAGGAAAAAAAAGGGAGACGATAAAGAAAAATTATATACATTTCATTCTCAAGTTTGTGTTTAACGTTTTTTGTATTGTTGTAGATCGTCTCCATCATCTCCTTTCTGAATTCTAAATCAGTCGTGCATTTATGTTTAATTTAATAGAACGTCGTTTTTTCTTTTCGCTTTAAGTTTGCACATATTTTATGAGAACTTGTGCAATGTTTCTTGTTTTTCTTCATTCCTTTCTTTTACTCGTTCATGCCCGAGCGACACTTGAATAAATCAATTATTTTTTTCTGCAAAGCATGATGTCATGATGTTTTCAGGCTATCGAAATTTTAGGATTTCCGAGATTTGGATTCTAAGGTATAACTTGAAGTTGTTTAAGTTCATTCTCTGGGGAGGCCTTTATGAATTTTTTAAATGAGCCATAAACGTTTGAGCAGACTTTGGATTAATGGAGTAATTGAGACTATAGAAAACTCTGAAAGAAGGATATCCCAAAGATTTCACAACTGACAGTGCAGCTCGGACCTCATTCTTTGATTCCTTATCTCTAGCTTCAAGTTCAACGAGTACCATAACAATATAAAATAATGGCAACAACTTTTTAAAATAAATAAAAGAGAGAGAAGTAAGAATAAGAAAGGATGAAAAATGCAGGAAATGTTTCATGCTGGTTACATTAAAGTCATTGCATAAAGTTCATTTACACAATGAAGTATGAATGAATAAATGGCTTTATAGAGTAAACAAAAGCAGTTTTATTTATTTTCACAACAATATAAATACACGTTCATGTTTCAATGTGACATACTAGAAGACACTGACATTATAATTATAAACCATTTCAAAAGTATTCTGTCACGATTTAGCTTACGATGTTTTGTCAATGTGAGCAGTTAAAATGAGATGAAAAAAAGAGGAAGGAATTTTATCATAGATTTAAATTTAAACACTTCTTTTCTTCTTGCCTTAATTCATGCGTGGGAATTAGCATACGAAATATATTTTCCTCAGATGAGTGTTAATTTGTTTATAAAAATTTTAATAATGTTTTCCTCTGTAAATCTCTCGTAGCTCTCGGAAAATCGAGAATTGCATCGCTCTTTTGTCTTTTACATTTAATTTTTTTACAGCTCTAGGACGGTGCAATTAAGTTGACGGAAAA